ACTGAACTGATTACCAAAACGTTTATATTTACAATATTATTAGGTAGTGATTGTCAGGAGAAACGTTGGATTTACTTCAAGTTCATTCGCTGAGATTTTACAAATATATTCTTCCTATTTAATGTCCAATACAAGCTTTTTTACACGAAAGCTGATTTTAATTTTTCCTGAATATAGGATATGTAATTTAATTTATTGATCAAATTTATTTAGACTTGTTTTATAATACAATATAAATATCAAGTCCCGGAGTGAAAAACAACTCTGGGATGCAGGTACATCCATCTGACGAGTACCAAATTGGACGAAACACTCGTCCTGAATTTCAATACTAGCCACTATCCATCTTTTCTTATAAATATCAAGTCTGTTTTTATTATTCATTAGAACTTATTTGCACTAATAAATGGTAATAAAAATATTTTATTTCAAAAATTGGTTATGCTTAATATAATCGATCGATCGTATAATAGTCAGCAATTTGTGATAGTATTCTTTAATCATCCGACTAAATCAATGTTAAGCATCAGAACTTTAAAAGTAATAGCATGATTTTTATTTGTGAACAGTTTACAAGTAGGTTTTCTAATCATAACGTAATGTACTTAATTGTAAATGATTTCTAGTTAATAATAATGATAATAATAAAATCAATCATTCATACTGCAATATCTCAAATTATCTGAGAGGTATGGTCTTATATTTAATGTGAAACATTTTATAATGTAACTCCGCCTGTAGCTCCTCTAAGGGCTACTGCTGGTCCCAAACACGGATAAAGGAGGAGGGTTGAGCATGGGGTTAGTAACACCATCCCGTAGAAAACTAACTCCCTAAAAAAACGCTAACGAGTAAGTAAGTAATTTTGTAAAGTATGAGGAAACATTACAATAATATTTTGCGTGTTGTCCATTTGCCTTATGAATGACAACAAGATTCAATATAAATATAAATGAAAGAGACATTTTATCTTTTCTGGAAGGGATGATAACCTAATTCATACCAACGTTTCTTCTCTATAATGATGATTTAAAATAATCAGTATAAATGTTTAAAAAACCATATAAGTGTTGACTAAAAAAGACAGTATTATCTAGCTAGATTTGTGGAGGTTGGTTCAATTCGATATTATCGCTGACGTCTTAATGTGTGACAGTTTCTTGAAATTTTGGTCAGAATTCTCGGCTAGCTGAACTTGGAGATTTCAGAACTGGAACAGAAGTCACCAGTAAAATTAGGTGACCGCTCAAGTCTATCAGCACTTGATTAGAGTTGGAATTGTGAATCATTAGATTTCACCTCAGTGGTTTGGTATTATGCGCCAACAGGGGGGCTGATGATCTTGGGTATGACTCCTGGTGGGGTCTCCAGTGCTCACTGATATGGAGTTAAGTGCCTGGTCAAAACAGCTGTCTATTGCTCATTGAATTCAAACGATACCTCATCTGAAATCAATCTGTGACGAATATCTTTAAAAATGCATTTGTGGTATTAAGAATAAATGGTTTTTGTAACTTATTTAAGTCTAAAAAGTCAGTCGTTAAGTTACATGTATTTTACAGAAGGAAAGTGGTATAATTTATACTGTCAGATATAATTTACACTGGCATTATGGACTTTCAATTTTATGAAAACTATATTTATAAAATATCAAAGGATTTCCATGAAGAATTATTTGAACGTTCTTAAAATGAGTATTGTTTTGCAAAGGTAGTTTATCATCGCATTATGTTTGACAGTCGTGAAAACATTTCCAAGAGAAAAGACATGAACAGAGACAGTATGTTGTTTCGTGACATAGTTTCTGTTGCCAATACACTGATAAACTATTTGACGTATAAAATAGGTTTATATGTCAAGTATGTGCTCTAAAGGGACTGCTTTTATGAATGATACCTTATATTTTGGTGATAAGAAGTAACTGATAGAGACCGATAATGTCGGGGGGTGATACAGGTGTTACTGATGACAGCGGATGATGTTTGCGAAATTCCGTGAACTGAATAGTGTTGGGAATGTCTGCTGCTGAATGCCAGTTAATTGCTATGAAATATAAAATGTTGGTATGAGTAACATAAAATCCTGAACTTTTATTTTTTAATAGTCGCTTATGTAAGCAATAGTTGTAAAGGAAAATGAATTTTCCATGAAAATTTAGTTTATGAAAGTAAAGTTGAGGAATTAATGTTATGTAAATTGAAAGCAATTTTTCAGCCAACAGTATAGAAAAGCTCATATTTTCAAATGCTAAATGCAAGTCTGTTTTTATTTTATCCTAGGGATTTAGCAGAGTGATTATTGGATATAAACCATTGAAATATCGAGGCAATTACTCATATTTATTAATATAACTTGAAAATGTCGATCATCTAAAATGTTCGGAGTACTGGCAAATAATTCTTGAATATATTCTACTGATGTCAAAATAGACTAAAAAACACGAATCAATGAGATGGAAGACATATGATTATCACAAACAGTTAATAATTCATCAGTAATGACCGTCTATTTACGAAGATGCTCAATCACTCGCCTAAATTTGAATGAAGTAGTATCAAGTGGTGATTACTCAAAAAAACTGCAAACGTATCAAACGACTGGGTGCTCAATGATGAAATAATTGTCAGTCTGTCTTTGTAGGAAAATGGTATAATTTATTTCAATTTCCAATAGATTGGATGATTCCGTTGTTATTGATTTCATCTGAATTTTAATTAATCTTAGCATGTGTGTGTCCTATGCAGGTTGAATCGATACAGCCGTAATGACACAAGTTAGCATGGGATTAATCGAATGTCACTAGAGTTGGAATTCAGGACATGCGTTTTATCTCAGTTCAGATGCGTCAGTTGAATGCGCCTGGGATCGTTTGCACAATTTAAAAGCAATCAGAACTCTGTAGCTAAGTGGATAACGCGATAATATTTGAGGCGAACGGTAATTAGTAATAGTCCTAGAGTGGACATCAACTACAAACTACATTTTTAAACTCTCAAATTCTTAGGAGTTAATTTGTAATTATGACATGTTTAGATGTACACTATTGTTGAGACAATGATTAATGATCTTCCACAAGAGCAAATCATAGGGTTACAATTCTGCATCTAAATAACCATTTAATTTATGAAGGACTTCAGCATTTAACATTATGATCATTCTAGAATTGCCATGAATTTTAGACAGGGAACTTAAACCAAAATATCAGCACTAAATCGTTATGAAATATCAACAGGAACAACATCTAATAGCATTAGTTGAACGAATGGAAAAACACCTATTGTTCATACAAAATTTCATGTTTTAGACCTTATTCAATGATAATGATTGTGTTTCCGACACATACTACCAGTACTGATAGTAATCATATTAAACGTTTTGTTATTATTACCATTACCTACAATAAATATTATTATCCCAATAGTTTACTTTTGTTCTAAATATTAAAAATATAATAGTTCTGTATATAACGAAGTTATATAATAAATATATATGAACCTCATGATGAAGATTTTCTTCCATTTACTTTATTTATTCAATCATGAAAAGAAGTAAACTCTGTTAAATTAGAAAGGAAAAAAAATTATACTTTACATGTGACAATTAGAATAATAATAACAATTCACATTGAATAATAATTGTGATAATGGTCAGAGATTATTATTGTAATTAAGAGTAATAATAAACGAATGAATTTTATTTGAAATACTCTAGAGTTTAGCCTTAATGAGACAAAATATAGGGGGACTTTTCTAAAACTGTTTCAATCATAATGTGAAGGAAATAGAAAGGTTGATAACAATTTAATACAAGTTTTTGAATATCATTATTCTTCTTTAATGAGGTTTATTTGATTGTTTTAAAAATAGTCGCTGTTAGGTAGGTTACTATGATTAAGTTGGAACAAAACCAAAGTTCCCTTTATTTTAAGGGTATCGATAGCCTAAGTCATTGTTTGACACCTGGGCAGTATCACAGCCCTCACACAAACCAAATGTGATAATTTATGGAGCATATGTATCTGGTGCTTCTTTGTACCAATATTTATGTGTTTAAATAAGTAGTATTAGTGACCATCTGCATGTTTACTCTGATTCGAATATTGTTTATATATTACAAAGAACTATGCTTGGTTAATAAATTATCAAATGATACTAACTACATTGAAGCAACTATTTATTGAGATCGGTCAATAATTTTCTAAGAAGGAAAGTCAATGATTACCACTAGAACAACTGCAGTTTTAAGTTCTGTTCAATAAAGGATTAGATATAATCACACAGTGAATACTGAATTATATAACCCATAAGTTGATTATCTATTCAGCATAACACTGTGATTTAGCAGTTGAGGAATAATGTCAGGTCTGTAATTCAAAGTCAAGTTATGATTAACCCAATAATTAAAGATGATTGTACTTGATATCTTTTCATTGGTGGATAAAAACGCATTGACTATAATGATGTGGTGTCAGTCATTAGAAAAGAATGTTTCACGATGAAGAATATGTCGTACCGAAATTGATGAACTTCAGGTTTGAATAATGAGGTCTGAATGTTACAATTCTGTAATTATTTTTTACCAGCTTAGTAGCATGTGATATATATATATATATATAAACGGTTATGTCAGTTTTCGTTTTATACCCTAAATATTTGAACGTCTATTATTTGGGTTATTCGTTAAATAGATAAACAATATCTTCTTTTTTGTTAGGAAGTTTTCGATTTTTATATTATTCTTTCGTTACTTGCAAAAATGTAGCTAAGAAATAAACTGTAACATATTGGTTAAAGCTTTGTTCAGGTAACTTTAGATTTAGGAGAGTCATGTTATATGTCAAGCTATTATACGGTAGAATCGATAGACATTAAAGTCCACAGTTATGTACTCATACCTAAGGAAAAACTAATCTTTGAATCTTCACAAAACTACTATATTCACACTAGTTTCCTTAACTATATTAAGGGACCGTAAATCCAACTATAAGAAAAGGTTTTCAGGAACAATTCAGAACAATTGATTATACGTTTTCTTCTTTGAACAGAAATAATTTTGAAACAATAAGGATTGAACATTTACTCTTAAAATCTATATAAATAAAATTATGGTTTTTTTATTATACACATATCAAGTGAGACCAAAAGTTAAGTAATAAGATGTAAGATATAAACTTTCAATTTATGAATAACTAATGATAATGCTTTTTCACAAGTAAAAAGTGACCAATATATGTTTTTTCTTTCTGTAAGGTAGTAAATGTCACAAATGAGTTGATAATAATAAATGATAACAACAGTAATAAAAGTCATGTATATAAATATATATTTCTGTACAATATTTATTATTTCCATGAATTGAAACCCTGTCATATAGATTAAAAGGTTTATATGAATGATAAGTTATGCAATGAGATTAGGAAATAAAGCAATGCTGGATTCATAAACAATGTAACATATACACGTATATATATATGATAAATTGTTGAGATCAGTTGGATATGAGCTGCTATAGTTAATCATAAATATATGCGTGTGTGTAGATATATATATATGTACATATATGACAATCAGAACTATATATATACGGATTTATGGTTTTAGTAAGTAAATAAATAAATAAAAATAGATCCATTCTCCTTTTAGGTTACATTGAAAATCTTTGGTATACAAATACATCAATGTTTGCATTGATTACATTAAGGGAGTTTGAAAAAACTACATGAATTTTGAAAGACTGAAGAAGAATACAAATAAATATATATATGATACAATGTAGATAACAAAGCGAATAAAGGAGTAAAGTGAAAAGTAACGAAAAAAGGGTTTTTTTTAAAAAGAAGAAAACAAATTGCACCGTTTGACGACAAATTCTGTAGTTTAAAAAGAAAGGAAAAAGCCAAGCTAAATAAAAATAAAAGTGCGTCTTCATTTAGATGCTTATTTAGGTTATTGTGAATGGTTTTTTTTGATATCACCGAAAAATAGGATAAATTATACAAATATTGTGCATACCGTATAGCGTATAACTACCAGTGAGCATCGCTAATCTTCTGTTTGCCATGTAACACGACGCGTAGAACTAGCAGTCTTTTCGGCTTCGTGACTTACAGGATTGTCTGAAGATGTAACTAGTGAAGGAACTGAGTTTCCTGAGGTTGAAGCAGTCATTGTGGAAACTTTACAAGGCTTTTGATCAGATATTGATGGAGATGCTATTGAAAAGTAATTCACATTGGATTGACTGCTTATGGATACACGAGGAATACTAGTTGGTGTGGACTGATTAAGGCTACTTGAATGATCACATGTTTTGGAAATTTCATGGATAAAAGATGATAATTCGCAGGAAGGTGCTGATGCGGTTTCATGCAAAACTGAATCTGATGTAGTATTGTTTTTATGGTGACGTGAGTGTCTATGAGACTTAAATCGGTCACTTACATCTTTAAATGTACAACTAGGAAGAAGACAAACCTCTTCATTATTTGATTCTGTATTCCAAGGTAAAAAGCATGGATGCCTGATTTCGATACTTTTACGACATACAGGACATTGATCTACACGATCAGCGCATATGCTGCAGCATATTGTATGACCACATGGAAAGAAAACACGTGATATTGGTTGGTCCATACAAACACGACAGAGTGCTACTTCACGTAAAGTTTCCTGAACTATCTCTTGAACTTCCTAAAACAAATGTAATGCACAAGAGAGCATATAAACATATAAAGTATTTATTACTGAAGTTCACATAATATTACTATAATAGGTTATGTATTTTCGGAAACCTAACAAAATACCAAATCAACTGTTATTTAATTAACAATAAAAACAAAGACTTCTTTTTATCACCAAATCAAGTTCACTGATGTTGAAAGTAAAGAGTTGAAAGGTCGAAAATTGAATCTTTGTTATAGAGTATAGAATATCAGAATCCAATTAAGTAAGATGACGTAATACTTTGTCCCAGTTATTTATTAATGACACCACACTGATCTGAAGGTACTGTCAGGAATACGAGAGAAAGTAGATAGTCAGTAAGGAATACATTTATTTACTTTAATGTACTGAAGACTACAAATAAAACCACTGCCCATATGGGTAAGTTACTTAATATAACTGATAATATATCAAATATAATTTGGTGGATTTGTCTTTTCCCTATTAACTTGACAATTATCTTGAGACAAATGCCGGTGTAGTTACATATTGGTTAATTGATGTAAACGTTGGTCGGTTGCCAAAAGATAACACTTTTATGTTGGATAGGTGTTACCACATAATTCTGTTGATTATTTTCGAAAGAAGGTTTTCCTTTTACTCATAATATCAATCAAAACAAAAATATACAAAACTAGAAAATCTCAGATCAAAATACAACACAATGTATGGTGAAAACACTTGATTATATATATTTATTAACAAAATCATACTTAATATGGAAGGAAATTTTCACAAACAGTAGGAGAACCAGTTTTAAATGCTACATTTATCCAAAGTTATCGATAGACAGACGAAATAAGGTGACTTTTGAAGAAAACAGAACACTTTCATTAAAAGATTATATTCGTATAAATCTAGGTTAGATGGATAGAAGTAATCAGCAGGGGAGTTCATAACTGTGTTTTGCACCGGTTGATACTCTTCAGATAAGCTTGTAAACGGTCTTAATGAAGCTGTTTTTTTTCAAAGTTTTGAGCCCAACTCAACCAGTGTCCACGTCAAAGATGTTATTGCTAAGCGATTCTGCCAGGACTGACAACTTCTAATATAAAAAGTATTTTGATGATGGTTATGTAGGTTGTTGAGTAGAATAAGATACTCGACAAGTAATTACGAAATACTATGGTAACGAAAAAGAAATAGTAAAGAAATGAGAAACCTAAGGAAGTCACGAACATGTAAACAAATATCTTAATCTTTTTGCATTATATAATACTAAATTGTTGTTAAGACAATACTAACACTTTGAGACAACTAATATTGATGATGTCAAGATATTTTCCGATGAGTACATTATGATGAAAATGAAACCTGTATGGATTGACTTTCTAAAAGCATTTTAAAGTTTGTAAATGTCTGTATCGTCTTATTGTTGATATTCAGGAACGAGTTGAATTCGTTATGGTTGAAGTATCAGGTACTTTGGAGAATTCTTCGATATAATCAGTGGTCAAAGATCAATTTTAATTTTAGTGGATAACATGCCGATGCTTAAAGCGATCGGTTTTCGGTTGGAGATTCAGTATAAACAAAACAACCGAGAGAAGATTAATCTAACTGATCAGTCAGGAAAAAGAACAAAATTGGAGTCATAGATTCAAATACATGTTGTCGAACAAAAAATAACCCAAACTTATCATTCATCCTTTTTATTTATATTTTGCCTCAATGAAACAAATAGATTGGCCATAAATAGACTGCTTAAGATATTCAACTATGTTATACCTTTAAATTCACTCATTATTGTTTGTTTGAATCTTCCCGTTGATGGTTAGGACTGCAACTGGTCAGTCTCTAATTGGCATACGTGCATACTGTGCGTATTGCCTCGGTATAGCCTCAATTCACAAGCATTGTAAGCAAAGATGGATAGTGGTTAGCAGTGGAATCCAGGAAGCGCGTTTCGTTCTATTCGGGATTCGTCAGCTGGATGTACCTGAATCTCAGAGTTGATGTTCACTCTTGGACCCGAACATAGTACCATTCGCTTCAAACGCCATCGCGTTATCTACTCAGCTACCGAGTCCTGGTAGCCACTTGCTTGTACAAAGGGGTGAAGTTTAAATTCGCTTGGTATTGTTTGTTTGAATCTTCCCACTGATTATGTTTATTGGCTAACAGAACAATTACGAAAATGTGTCATCGACATATTTACTATAAATGTTCGAAATATAGTAGTAACAATTCTGTTGGATGAGGTTCACTTATTACTGAAGTTTAGCATTGAATTACTACTAAATGAACAGTCAAATTTAAGGCCCGGGAAATATGATTAATAGGTAATTATGTATCCAATATATTATTCTCATGGCAATGGATATATTAAAAATTTTGTTTATTGAATAAATACTAACTGAAAACACGATTTACAAACAAACTACCCAATCAATACATTTTTTATGAAAACGAAAATCGATGAAACTACAACAAAATACAAAATTAGGAAATTGTCAAGGTCATTGCTTTTAAAATATCATGCATTGGACGCATGATTACAATATCCATAATTATTTGGGAAGAAAAATAGACTGAATACTAGACTATTTGGTTTAAACTACCGGATTAGAGATTGATATCCCAAAAAATACAATAAATAGAGCCAAAAATAGTTTAATTAATTGAAATCAAGGAATAAATAAATTATACAATTTTCTTTGAAGCTTATTAGATAAACAACATTTAACTGGTTATTCGTGTTAGCAACTATTCAGTAAAATATTCTTAGTGCTGCAATCGTTTAATTAATATTGAGTAAGAAATGAAAGAACACTTAATCAGAGTTGATCAAAAGTGCGTTACAAGGTAACCTACAGAGGTCTTTTTAAGTAAATTGATTACTTATCACTGAAATATCTAAGTGGATGGTAAATTATATATGAGAAAGTGCGGTGTCATCTACTTATATCTGCATAACTAGTGTATGGTGATGGTCAGATATAGAATGTATTTTGGCAGAAGATCGATAAGGCGAGAACAGGAAGGAAGCGCAATCTGTATAAAAATGCATGAATAATGAACTCAGAGAAAATGAACTGATATTTGCAGAAGGAACAGTCAAGATTGAGACAATTGATTTTTATTTTGCAAATTATCTGATTACTGTATGGTTATTAGAATTTAGTGAGATAGTCTGTATTTTGTGCTTAAATACATTCGATTGTCCCCACTCGTGTTTTTGTTCACTACAAAAGAACCATGCACATAGAATAAACAATCAAAAAACAAACAAAGATATAACAATCTTTTATCATTTTATGATTATTAGATGACCATTGTCTAAGATGATCATTTGTGAATACAGGTCGTTTTCTTTTTTTTGAAATGTTATTTAAACAAACTAATAAATTTTTGAAATACAAATCAAACTTATGAGACAGTGGAGGATACCAAGTTCACTAGTAAAAAATTGAACGAAAAATTAGTTTATAGGCCTTTGGTATACATTCAACCATCATACTGACCTCGTTTCAATAAAACTCTTCACAAATAAATTAAGAAAAACTACTAATCATTAAAGGTAAATATTAATAATTAGCTAAATATTTAATCTAAAAGAATCAACTTTCATGCTTTAAAATCATATTTAAACAAAATCGAAGGAAAACTCATTCGATAATAGCCATTGAATTGAAAAATGTTAGGATAGAGAGAGGGGAAAAACATTGTGGATAAAAAAACACGAAAACTATAGGATACTGATATTAAATAACAGTGTTTTCAGTAAACACATGATATAGCCAAAGGCTGAAAAAAAGAGTAGAAACGAAGTTGTAGTGCTTTAAGCTAAAATAATTAAATTTTATAAAACACAGTACAAGGCCATGTAATATTCAGAATTATATTCTAAATTTTTTTTGGGAAACCCAGCTATGTGAGCTGAGTGGCTAAATCAAAATAGATAGAATATCATTCGAAAGTATAATCCAATGGTGGAGATTCTATTACTTTCTAAACTAAACCGACATCATCTCTCTAGTGTAACACCAAGATATGCTTACGTTTGACAGAACAAAACCTATTTTAGGGTTGCACAGAGTTTTATAATATAGGAATAAAATTATCAGTCATTATATGTAGATTATTAATAAAAGATTTTAATTTCGATGAATTCACTTTTTTTTAAAAAAGGTTGATATCCTTGATCAACAACCAAATACAAGTTTAAAATGTGATATTAATGATACTAATAAAAAATTTAATGTATTTAAAAAATGAAAATGAAATTGTACATCATACGCGTATTATTGAGTCATTAAATTAAAATTGGTCACTAATAGTTATCACGAGGTTGTATGATTTCATTTGTTGAGTTTATTCCCTATTATGAATTATTTTAATAGTGAATAATATAAAATTAAGGTTTTAACAACAAGTCAAAACAATATTTATCAATGTTAAAAGTTGAGTGAGGTGAATGAACTACTTGGTTGCAAATGATATATGTTGACTAGAAACTGGTAGAATGATTCTATGAGACGGGAATCGTCAATATAAAGACTGGGACAGATATACGTTGCTTCACGTTGCCATACCTGCTATCGTGACCAGATGAAAACAACAAATGTGGTGAAATAATGTGATAGCGATGATTTAAAAAAGACTAAATGTTAGGAATATGATTTGAAAAGATAGAGTGTAAGGGATATTGCAATTCAAGATAGAAAAAAAGATATAGAATGAATGCATGTGGTTTATTGTGAACAATTCTGGAGCATGTCACTCAAAGTCTCCAATCATTGATTACTGTTATCAAGTGAACTCCAACCAGGTAGTCTGGATTCACCAACAGGAATTAAAAAGCTAGTCTTTACAAAAGTATACAATAATGAGTAAACAGTTGGCAGTTTCAAAAATACAGTATGAAGTAACATGACATTCGAATAGGATGCTAACAGGTACTTCTACTAAAAACACTTTACATTGTATGAAACGATTCAGTATATCCTTTGAATTGATACAAAATAAAGGGGTAATTCTATCCATAGATTGTAAAACAAGAGCGCTCTTCTGGTTTACTTGATTACAATTAACCTTGTTGCTTGCATAATTTATACAAGCTATACACAGAAAGTCTAATATAAATAAACATGAATGCAATACATTACACATGCTCGTACATGAAATAAGATTCTCTTATATTTATTTAAGTAATAATCTACCTTATTTGAAATATTGAGCAGTTTCCCATTATTTGGAACTAAGTGGACTGGTTAGAGGAGGGTATCACCAGTCCAAAAGAAAACATTTGATCTAAAGCAATAAACATAGACAATTTAATTTCAAAAATCAACTCACCTCAACACTAACAACTGATTCAGCCAAGCTTGAAGAGTCATGCTTTCCTCGAGAATCTCCATTCTTGTGGATAGCTTCTAAGCTACTCGTTGAAATGTTATCAGCATGTATAACAGAATTCACAGAGCCACTCAAACTTCTTGTACGTTGTGTTAGACCACGTGACTCACATGTAGGTATAGGATTAGTAGTGTTGCTTGTGCAATGATACATATGTCGTCTAGCACGATCATATACTTCCAAAAATGTAAATCGAAGATCGAACGCATATTCCTTACCTATTGGAAAATATTCAATTACGAGATACTAAAGTTTGTAAATTCAATACCAAGAGGTAATGATCAATCATCAGTATTCTGTTAGTCGGATAAAACTTTTAGAAATTTATCAGCATAAATCAAAACCTATCAAACTAGAAAGATACAAAGTTCTTAAGTTTGGTAGAGTCACAAGTATACTAAGCATAGTTCATGACAAAAAATGAGGATTTTAGTTTTTGACATCATTAAACTACATTATCAGTTAACTTATACTCACTACCATTTGAAGAGTAACGAAAAGGTTTCCGATGTATGCAGAAACTACCAAGTATTGAGCAGCGATAATCGTAGAAGAGGCTCTCTGACTGTACTCTAATTTACACAGAACAGCTATACAACAACCTTTAAACTGGTTAGTGCTTTATAACCAATTAAAATGACATAAACTCTTAATGCCTTTTGATAATTAATTTAGAGAAATTTGATTATAATGCTAATCATAAAATAATGATAGTAGTATATGCCAAGGAATAGAATAAAACACTATTTTTGAAGAAAAGCTGTTCATTTGTTATTTTTGGTGAGTATTCAATTGATGACCAATCATGATGAAAATCATTCTTGCATTGGCTAGTAGCCTCTAATCAGCGTGAGCTGAAATTCTAGTCATATTTGTATAGTTACAGATATTAAAAGCAAATTAATTCACATAGGCTTTAAAATAAATTTATTCCGTACAAAAAATCTGAACCAATGACGTCATGTCATTAAGCTCACTTCATTCTACTTCAACCGATCGATATCGATGCGAGAATAAGTACAAACGTCTACTGGTTCAAGTTATCACGTTTCATTTCACCACAACATGAGAGAGAATGGATAAGTTAAGAATCGAAAGACACGAAATTTAATACTTAACATCACATGTGCAAATCGAGGAAATAAATTTAAAAATTAAGGAATTAGAGGCGGCAGGTTTCTCAAAATCTAGAAGATGTTTTTAGTATTTTAAACAATGAACAAATATTGTTTTCCTTATGCAATAAAAATGTACATATAACTAACCATTATGATCGAACATTGAAGTAAATGATTCTCGCACGGTTTGGTCAATTAAAGATTGTTTAATTGAATCACTTTGAAAAAAAGCATGAACTTCGGTAATTGTACGATAAAGGGAATAAGCTAAACGAGTTGATGATAATTGATAATTTTGTCCTTTAACACTACCATCTTCTTCAAGCAAATTTAAAGTAACAACTCGTGCGCTGTTTGTGATTGTGTGTACTCGACAAAACGGAAAGCTGTATTTTTAAAAGGAAAAAAAACACAAGCATATTATTTTGCAAATATATAATTCATGACAGTGTAAATCGATGGTACGTGCAACAGAATGGCATTTCTGATGGTAAGTATAACACTTTGATATAACGACTTTCGTATAATTAACGGTTATTTAATTATTCATAAGTTTAAGCACATACATATTAATACAGAGGGGCATCAAAATTTATATAGGCCACATAATAAAAGTGAGATTTTGAAGAGATAGACAAATGAAGGTCAGTTTAACAAGAAAAAAGGAACCAAAATGAATAGAAATTGGTGTATGAGGGTGAAAATAATAACAATAAAAGTGGGAGGAGTAGTTTAGTTAAGAAAAATGCAATGCAGAAAGGAATGATTTGATTTGGGTAGAGTTTCGCTCTCTGAGCGATAATTGGGATGCCATCGGGAGTAGAATTATAACCCGATAGTTGTTGTTTAGATTAGGAATACAAGTTGCTGAATGATTGTTTGCTTTGCGCTATTCAAACTAGCTAGGACTTTTATTGACTGGATTGGAGTTTTTGTATCAAACAATTGTTTGTGGTTTAATTTATCCTGACCAAAAGGTTACAATGTAATGTTGTTTATGAACTACTTATTTGGACCAGTAGTATATCTCTTCAGTTCAAGATGCATCCTTATGTAAGATTTCATCCTTGTAGCCTGAGCGGGATGAATTTAAGCAAATATTGATCTTCAGTGTTATATATATTGATTACAGATCAACTAATCTTGAAAAATACTTAATTCTCAATTTGTTAACTACTTACAAAATCTAAAAATCCCATAGGATTTAGGACCCATCTTAAAAACATAGAGTTTTCCATAACAATAAGCAAAGTGATGGACATATATAAAGGATAAATTTATCTGCTTGGAAGGGACAAAAATCAGTCACGCATATAGCCTCAGCAAACTGAAGGAAATACAGATGAGAAAGGTATCCAAATAATTTGAACCTATTAAGAGAAATCCATCCTAAACCATCGACTAAAAGCTTTACACAATATAAAACCATACTTTTCACACAATTTTCGCATTCGCTTTTTCTACTCAAGTTGGATGTATAAATGTGTTTTTATGCTTGCGTTTGATATCAATGAATATCCTACCACTATCTGACAAACCACTTAGTTTATGGTCTAGAATTTTAACAAACATAACAAAACCCAATTTATTCACTAAACATGCAGATGTCTATACACAAAAACCTGAAATAGCAGAACAAATGTTTAGTAACAGTAGTAGTACATCATTACACATGTGAGTGTAAATAGTTTGAGGTCAGAATGAACTCAAACAACTACTTTCAATACAGGGATTATACATGTGAATAAATGGAAGTGATTAGTAAAATCAAAATCTTTTCTGAAGAAATCTATGTAAACTGGAAGGTCTAACAAATAATTGATTCGGTGGTTAGCGGTGAAACATCACTTTATTTTTACAAGGTAGTAATACGAAACTATTTTATTATAAAATTTATTATAAAATTTTATTATAAAATTTATTATAAAATTTAAGTTAAAAAAAGAAGAGATTAATAAGTCCAATTTAATTGTAAAAATTGACATGATTTTAATTACAAATGATGTAACAGGTTGGGTCAGAAAAATATTAGTAGTTTTGTAAAGCCATGCGGTTCTTCACAGTGGCTTGTTACCATAAACTTGAAAATATTTAAAAGTAGACTCGATAAGAATATTACTGTTAAGAATTTGATTTGATCATAATCAAAGATACTTAATATATATAACAAAAAAACGCACCATTCAAGATATTCTTGAGTCAATATGGAATCCACCAAATATGTGTAAACGTAATGATGCGACAAGTATACAATAACACATATAATTGAAAAACGCAAAAAATACAAAGTAACACTAGTGACTAATGTATATAAAATGACAGTGTTGTTGTTTCTTAATATCAAAATCAATGTGAAGCACATTGACTTCAACTGATTTAGGGTCATGTCGTTTTAAATAATCAGATTACTCAGCTGTTTTTCCAGTTAATCACATAAACCAGTCTTGATCTTCCACAAAGCTTACAGTAACAAAGAGTTAACGAAAGCGTTATGTTACTTAACCACATGATAGAGAAGCTTTTTCAACTTAATACCTCATTAAACAGGATATGACACCGAGTTTAGCACAGGTCACTAGAATGATATAAGTTTAGAAAGTGCGACGGCCACCATCAATAATGATTAAGTTTTAAAACCATATGAATTAGATATTTGATATTTCAGAAATCAAAACTCAACAACTTAAACAGTGTGACGAAATTCGTGAAAATAAAATGCAATTGTCAAGGTGTTTTTCTTATATTACATACAAAAAACAGGGATTAAAGATACGCTTGAAACAAGGTTCATAAACTAAGAATACATGGAAAAACACAAAAACGTATCAAATATGAAGGGCAAATTTATTTCAGTGATCATAATAGCACCAAACAAAGGTCAGAAAAATTTTGTATCTGAGAATGAAACAAACCGTTTACAAACTTCATTGAAGGGTTTTGTGTGTTACTTTGACTACTCCTAAGTTTCCACTAATTTAATTCCACAACAAGCAACGACAAGATAGACTGGGACTCCGAATATATCTCAGGTGGTACAAGTTAATAACTTAACGGAACTATCCTCTCCAGCTAAGATCTTGCATTTAGTCCAAAATTTGCTGAATCAACATATATATATATATATATATATATATATATATACTTCATGAATACAAAATATCTGAAGAGCTGTTAATGGGTAACTGATATCTAAGCATTCCATTCAATCGTAAAAACCTAGTCTGACAGTCAGAAATCAACAAAAAACAGACTATGTTAGATACTTACATTGGAAGAAAATAAGATGTGTCAATGGACTTATTAGTGGGATTGATTAACAGATATTAACTGAGTGAAAGTAATGAATAGCAGTCGATGTGGAGACGACATTCCAAATGCACAGACTTTTCTCAAAAGACACTTTTGCTAAGTTTAGGATTTAAGTCACTGAGTATACTAGCTTTATTTTCGTGTTCATTTGGACACGAACTGCACTTCATATATGAAAACTCAGACGATAATTTGTTTTTACTATTGTATGCATAGGTAAACGATATAACGGATAATCATTAGTGATAAATAAAAGAAATTCTAATGACATAACGTAATGTTTATGGACTGATGACCAAAAATAACTGTAGTGGTTATTTGAATGGACATCGTAGAGAAAATGAGTACTTGGTAGAATTATGAGAGAAGGGTTACGCAGTTTAAATAAAAAGTTTCGAAATGACATAGTAAGTATCGAAAAACGCTATTATCGAGAACATATATATGACGATTTTAAAGAGTGTACTGAACTTCAGCTTTCCATTAGTGCTGTTACTCTGAGTACGGATAAACAATGAATACAAAAAAAATAATACGAAAAACTAAAGGATGTTTACCGTTCAATAACGCCTCCAGTTGAGTTGCACAAAACAATATCGCTAGGACCAACGCCAAGTAATAGCTTGCGATCAAATATATTCTTTACATCATAAAAATATGTTCCATACGAGGGAAATTCTCGTGAAACAATAGACAAAAGTTCATATTTTGCATGAGAAGTGGTAATATCTTTTAAGTCTTTATGAAAACTGGCAGCCATACGAATAGCTTCTGGTGGGATTTCGTTGCGGCATTCGGGCCAAAAGCAAGCATACTTGCATGGAGTGGTGTTTGGGTTGTAATTTCCAAACTGTATGTATGCCATGAGAGCAATCAAATGCGACTGTGTCTCCAGAGTGGTATCAGCATCCCAAGATCCGTTTTTCAAATGATATACGACGTTTGTGTAAAACTGATGTCTTTAAAAGTACAGTTACAGTTTATTATTTGACATTACCTGGTTTCCTCTAGTTGAAGCGTGGATGGTTGAACAAAATACTTTACTCTAAAATATAAGTGGTATGGAGGCGGCCCCGGGATTTGCCTTGACAATCTGTTTCTACTGTTGAGCCAAAACAATTCGTTCTTAGATCCTGCTAACAGGATGCCAAAATAACTAGCTTCATCAGTAATCCCTATCAATTTACACATCTTATTAATAACTAATCGGAAACATCAGAACATACCTTGTCTATTACTTCCTGACAGTCTGCTTTATGATCAACCTCCACCTGATAAACCTGACTGCTTGCAAGCGTAACGTAACACATAAGAGTATTTGAATTTTTTCCAGAATCGCCAACATTTCTGTTCGGATGACGCTTGTTATTGTAAAGTTCGTGTAAATTCTGGAGCGCCATTGGTACTAGTTGGCATGTAGTACCGAGTGTTTTTCAGTAAGAATTCCGTAGAAACGTGATGCAATAACTTAGAAAGCATAGAAATATCGCATGAAGTTGAACAAAATTCAAAAATACCAACTCAAAAAGACCATCTAACTGATATACTTAAACACAATAGTACAACACTGCATCATCGAATTAATGTGTGCATTACTTTGACTCGAAAAATTAGCTGATTTCAAACTCCTTTCAGCTTCAGGAAGTTAATTTTGGTTATATGAATGCATAGTATGCTAGCAAAGCAATTAGGATCGTAAATGCTCGAGTTTAAACCCAATCTTCAACGTTTTGATCGATGCTGTCAATTGAAAAGGATTGATAAAGCCTCGAAGTAACGATTTACAGCAAATCATCTGAGATAGTTATGCTCCGCAGTATAGTTAGCTCATACGTTTCACATTATTGTATCTACGTCAAACTACGTTACCGAATTATTATCAGTCACTTCCTTGTTTGTATTCATGCTTTCATGAATAAAGTACATACTACTGAATGTTTTACGTTTTAAATTATGATCATCTATTTAATATTATATATGTACTTGTGATATTTGTCCTGAGTGATGGTTCTGCTTTAAAGATTATAAATCGCTACAGGGTTTCACGACACATTTGTCCCTAACACGTTTATGTTTGAAGTATACCAACCCAATGAAGTCAGAAATCAGAAATTATTGAGTTCAAAGACATGTTTGAAAGTTTGTTGACGTGTTGAGGTGCGTTTTATACAAGCTGGTTAGTGCTTGCAAGGGATGCGTATACTGGCTTACTGAATAATGATCTGGTGAGAATACGTGACCCAGCACCTTCAGCCGAGGTGTGTTCAGCAAAGTTGATGAGGTCAGAATAGTTTCGAGGACTTATGGAACGACTTATTTCGAGGATTCTTACTTTCAACTTAGGTCTATTATTCTATTCCTAGCTCAAATGTCTTCTTCAGGGGGATTTGAATAGCATTCAAATGGAACTTAACCTCGTCCGAACTGGTCACGATTTGTTACCCCACGAATATCTGACCAGTGTTCCAGAAAACAATGATCTTGAAATAAAAACATGTGAAATAGTAATTGACCATATATCATCTGAAGTTTCTGTTGCTTTTGATGATACAAAGGTAGCGAAGGAGCTAGACTTCTCATATAGATGAATCAGCCTTTGACACGCTAACCAGTTCGTGACCATATTTTCGTTTTTTAATTCTGTGTCAACCTGTGGCACAAAATACTTATCTCTTCTTGTAGCGTATCGATCTTGTCATCTTATGTAGTTCAGGACTCCTTTGTCAGGCCTCTCGCATGTTCTGTCAGCTGTTTCTACTATATTGCATAAATCAACATCGCGCTTCCCCACCGCCAGAATCTGTTGTACACTCAAAGGAAGAGGGGCGGAGCACAGTTGGTAGAATAGGTTATAACTTACTTTTCTTTCCGTTAGTAAACTTTTCATATCGTTTTTTAGCTGAGAAGGTGTTCTGTCACCCATGTGCACCTGATTCAGAGGCTGTTCAACAGTTTGTTGGCCGGGAAATGACACGGAATTGGTTACGGTCTACTTGATTGAGTCATATGACCACTCGTGATCGGTTTTAGTTTACATTTTCCATATACTATCAGTAAATTTTTCCGGTAGCAATGTGCTTGCGTAAACGAATATACCTTGCTGTAAGTTAACATGGTTATTCTGATGAGCCAAAGTTGTTGGTCGGTGGCTTCAAACGGTGGGACAGAAAAATTAAAGGACCATTAAGATAACGTTTGAGAAAAACTTAACGTAAAGTTTTCTGAAGAAGTGTATATATATGTGTGATACCTAGGAGTATTTGAGTTGTAGTATAAAAAAGTTATTTCAGAAAAAACGCAATTTCATCGAAAAGTATTAGATGAACACGAACGAATGTATTGTATTTGGAATTCAAAATCAAGCAGTCATTAATACAAAAGAATCATTGGTTCATATAAACACCACATTCGCCACAGCTTGAATAGGAGTCTAAGTGTCTGTAATCGATTGTACGTCTTCTTCTTAAGTTTATCTTAGGTCTGTCCGACAGTGTATTGGATGTAGACTATGTATTATCTAGAATGTACCCGTTAGCATTAGAATTATTAACCGAAATCGGAACAAACTCACCTAGTACCTGGAATTGTATACAATAATCATGTCGGTTGTCTAGTGAAACCACCGATATCTAGAATTTGCATCATGGACCTTTCAACACTATCCTCCCCCACAAAATAATGTTGGGTCCTTACGTAGCAGTGTTATGACCAATTTGACACTCTCAATTTGCATTACCTTATCAAATCTCACGCTTCGATCACTGTATGTGAGTATTTGGGTGTACACACTGACACGTATTTTGAGGCATTTGGACTAAAATTCGACTAATTCGGAACGTATTTGTAACACTCACTGAGGATATCATTGGAGGTAAATTCATTGTGACGACGAATAACATTTGATATGACATCAGAACTCGGTTTTTCTGAAGTATTTTTCTCAAATTTATTAAGAGTTTCATTAGAGAATAATGAATCATTAGGAAAATCAGCATCTACCAAAAACTGAATCCGGTTTTTGATCATATTTTGACTCATTCAAGATATTATTCTCAGAGTTGTTAGAAATTTCATCAGAAATATGTGGAACATTATGACAAACCACATCTCGAACAATAACACGAGAAATCTGATAAGAAGTCAGTTGATTAGAAACTTTTGTCTCACAATGATTCTGGGTTTCACTTAACTCTGGACTGCTTTGTGACATCATACCGCTTCTAGAAGTCTTGAATAAAGAGAAGCGATCATTAGAAACACCCAACATAGCAGGGTCACAATCACAAATTTCAGCAATAGTTTCAGCTAAATGAACTATGGTTCTACAAACTGACTGAAAGTGTCCAGTTTTGTCACATTTCAAGCATTTAGAATTACGAAATACACATGAATCACATGGGTGACAGTTGGCATAGATAAAGTATTAACCAAACTTGTGATTATTTTCGTGAAATGTTTCACCACTTAATGAATTGTTATTTGAATAACCTTGATTACGTATTGGACTGGGACGAGGTGGTAAAGTAGTGGGATTCCTTATGTCCTGGCAAATCATCTCATTAAATTTTTCTCCTTTACTGCATTAGAAATTTGTATACTTTACGTGGTCCTATATTAGTTGCTTGGGAGTTGTATAAGGGAGTGAAATTGCCTTGTCTGGAAAGGCCAAAGACTTTATTAAGCTGTATGCTTCTTTTCCGATGAATGTAAGGAAATGAGCCACAATATTAAATTCCTCAACCTCTTCCTTGGTCATAGCCCAGATTTCGAGCCTCTCCATGTAATCCTCAAAAGCATTTAAATCTCTTTAAATGTTTAAACATTCCATCACATGTTTTGTCGCGACGCCAATGTGATAATTAATCATATTGGAATTATAGAATAAAGTAGTTATCGCAGAAAAAATGCGATCTAATCAAGGTGTATTAGGTGAACACGAACGAATGTATTGTATTTGGATTTCAAAATCAAGCAGTCATTATTACAAAATAATCATAGATTCATATAAACACCACAATATGGTAAATGGTTCGAGAATGAAACAATGTATGGACAAAGAAAAGTAATAAAGTTACAAAAATAATCATGATAACAGATGTCGCAAAACAACAACATGGAACAGATTTCCCATATTGAATCAGCATTTCAATTGTACGGTAAATGTCGACGATTATCATAGTTAATATTGTTGAATTACGTTCAATAATGTCAACGAGATAATGTGCGTTTAATAATAATGACGATAACAGTAAACCGCGACAAAAATTATAACCCTTAGAAGTAATCTGGATTGTGACAGAGTATGTTGACTTTCAGATTTGGTTCATACTGCGGAATTTTGCGTTGCATTGCACATCGAGCTAACTATTTCTGAATTGAATGAGCCTGGAGATAATTCCTTAGGCTTCGCATATCAATCGCCCAAATAACCTTTATCAAATAAATCGCAACGGTATATGAATTCAGACGGCAACATAACGCACCAACTACAATTTTTTATTGAATGACACAGGTCACTAAGCCATAAGCATATCGAGCGAATTTGTGCAGAAAAGCTAATGAGCGTGAGCAAGCCAATTCAGGGGATATATATATATATGTATATATGGGAAAGAGAATAATTCGTCGAGCAATTTAAGCAACTAACATATAAGTTAGACACAGAGAGGAATGTGTTCCCAGACTGTCATATATGATCAAGAATACTTGTTCTTACAGACATGATAATAACATAGAGATATGCAGATTGTTACTGTTCGAATTACTCTGTCTGTTAAATAAGTTAATTGAAGTGCTGAGAGAGTTAACCGTAAACAAAATTGAGTATAAGAGAGAAGCTATAAAATCGAAGTGATACTGACTATCAACAAATTTGTTTGTTACAAGTCAAAGACAGTTGGATAAATGTACTGGGTACTAATAAATCTCGTTTGTCTCTACTACGAATTTTTGAAGGAGGTCAATATAATCCAAGATATGCCAAAATATTGTGATGTCTAAAATTACTATTGTGATGTGGGTTACTTATATAATTAATATATGGTGATGGTCAGGCGTGGAATGTATTTGGCAAGAGATCGATAAGGAAAGAACAGAAACGATGTGCAATCGGTATGAAAATGCATGAACAATGAAAGCAGAGAAGATTGACTGATGTTTGCAGAAGGAACAGTCAATATTGAGACAATTGATTGTTATTTTGCAAATTATCTGTTTGCTGTATTGTTATAAGATTTTAGTGAGATAGTCTGTAATTTTCGTGTCAAATACATTTGAATGTCTTCACCCGTGTTCTTGTTCCCTACCGTATAGGTTATTAGGGATTATTATTAAACATTACACTGTGAGGCACTAGAACTCTCTGTCATCTTTTATTATAAATGTACAGTGTTAAAAATGCACGCTTGTATCGTCGTTAACTGTTATATATTTATTTCATTATCAATCATGAATGCATCTTATGTATTTACTGAGAAGATAAATTAGTTTTTCTATGATTCTCTCCTTCTCTGAAGACTTTTGACCTATGCCATAGAGAGAATATAGAATCAAAAAAAGAAGTTCCGCCAACCGACTCATATGCACTTTAAATCTTGCCAAAGGACTTCATCAGTTGAAAAATACTGGTTTATAACAGAAAACGAAACAAATTCTACGTATTCACAAACATTTAAGGAAAATCAGTAGAGTTTTTAGGTGAATAACATTACAATATTTATTGTTAATTTAGAAGCAAAATAACACGTCTTTGGTTCGGAATAGTAGTTATTTTCATGTAAGTAGGTCACCGAATTTAGACAAGCCTTCATGTCATATGATCCGAAAAAAGAATAATTGAATGCGGAAAGGAAAATTAACCAATAAACTGATGACATTAGACTAATAAACGAAAGAAAATGCTCGATAAAAGAATGTACGCTTACTAAGACACTGCAGTATTTTAATACTTTAAACTACTGATTAATTATAAGTAGTGTGATAAAATATACGAAAATACAGGCGGAGAAGGAATGAAGTTTTGGACCAAACGAACTCAACGCTATTCTTACTGTTCTGATAGTTTCCTCGAAAATTCTAGTGAAGCATGATTATAAATGTCAGTTCTTGCAAGGAAGTATTTGCAAATAGGGCTTAAGTGAATAAAAAAGTTATATGACATCAAACCTACTGCAGATTTACACGATCAGAACGAGACTTCAAAAGATGTTCATAGAATAAGTGTGGGTTTACTATTTTTGAATTTTCTACGAAAAGTACTTCATAGTGTAATACTACAAAAAGGTTGAAGGTAGCAGCAGTTTCGCTCTCAGTAGACAGTATCACACAATCAACTGTTTATACTGGTTTCAATGATTCGAGGAGAACACCTATACGTTCCAAGCTTTTTCAAGGACCAGATTGCCAAGGGAAACGTTGGATTTACTTCAAATTTATTCGCTGAGATTTTGCAAATATATTCTTCCTATTTAATGTCTTGCATCAACTCGGCGCCCAAATACCTTGAAACTGTTGGCTCTAATTTAGACGAAAGTTCTTATACATAAAGAGTATGGAAAATAATAATAAATAAAATATTTTATTAGGGCTAATTCCACCAAGGGAGAAATTAGTGGGTTACAAACTTTTATGAATACAAAAACTTGGATTGTTAGCTCAAATTTATATGGCTTCTGTTATGTATAAGCGACAAGATGGAACTCCAAAAGAGTAACTAATCAGAATACGACAAATCACTTTAAGTGACCTATTTCCATCTACTGAATAGCCGCTATCACCCCACCTATTTTTTACTTTTTACTTAATCTATTCTACTGTTATCAACTCTGCCTGTAGCTACTTCGTAGGCTGCTGCCGGTCCAAAGCCCAAGTAAAATAGGATGGTTGAGCATGGGGTTAGCGTCCCCATCCCGTAGAAAAACTAACTCGCTAAAAAAACGCTAATCAAAAATAAGGATTCAAACCATTTAAACTCTGCCTTGGGAGTTGAAGGAATAATTATGATGCCTCATGATGAAAGTCGAGGCCCTTCGGAATTCATGAGGCCAATGCACCTTCTAACAACCAGAGCAACAATTTTCATAGGTACATGGAACGTCCGGACAATGTGAGAGACCGGAAGAGTCTTCCCAATTGCTGCAGAAATGGGAAAATACAACGTGAGGGTGCTTGGGATCAGTGAAACACATTGGACGCAGGTTGGACAACAACAACTATCTTCAGGGGAGCTTCTGTTATACTCCGGTCATGAAGAAGAAAATGCTCCACATACACAAGGAGGACAATATCACAAAAGTTTATTACGGCTTTTGTTCGGGATACTGATAAACCCAACAAATTCACGATAGCGCTCAGTAACAGGTTCCAGACCTTTCATTATCTACGCAATGGATAAGGAACTACTATGGAGAGCAACTGGAAAGGTATAAAAAGGGCAATCATTTCAACATATCAGGAGGTTCTGAACCACAAGAAGCACCATCACAAGGAATGGATCACTGTCGATACACTGAATCAGACTCAAGAAAGGAGGTACAAGAAGGCAGCAAACAATACCAATAAAGGTCTTCAAAAGGGTATTGTTAAACAGAATGAGGGACTCCGTAGATGCCCAACTTTGTGGAACAATCAAGTGAATGGAATTCATCACTCTACATCAACTTCATTGACTATGAGAAAGCATTTGATAGTGTGAACAAGACAATATTATGGAGGCTACTTCAACACTACGGTATACCTGAGAAGATAGTCAATGTCATACGGAATTCCTATGATGGATTAAACTGTCAAATCGTTCATGAAGGACAACTCACCGACTCATTCGAGGGAAAGACAGGTGTCACACAAGGTTGCTTACTCTCACCCTTTCTTCTTCTCCTGGTGATCGACTGGATCATGAAGACTTCAATATCTGGAGTGAAGTACATAATACAATGGACAGCTAGGATGCAGCTGGACGATTTAGACTTCGCAGATGATCCGGCTCTTCTAACACACACGCAACAACAAATGCAAGAGAAAACAACCAGTGTAGCAGCAGCCTCAGCAGCAGTAGGTCTCAACATAAACAAAGGGGAAAGCAAGACTCTCCAATACAATACAACATGCACCAATCGAATTACACTTGACGGAGAAGTTTTAGAGGATGTGGAAACCTTCACATATCTGGGCAGCATCACTAATGAACATGGTGGATCAGATGCAGATGTGAGGGCGAGGATCGGAAAAGCAAGAACGGCATATTTACAACTGAAGAACATCTGTAGCTCAAAACAATTGTCAACCAACACCATGATCAGAATTTTCAATACAAATGTCAAGACAGTTCTACTGTATTGGGCGGAGACATGGAGAACTACGAAACCATTGTCAAGACGATACAAGTGTTTATTAACAGTTGTCTACGCAAGATACTTCGGATCCGATGTCCAGACACTATCAGCAATAAGCTACTTTGGGAGACAACAAACCAGATTCCAGCGGAAGAATAAATCAGGTAAAGCGCTGGAAGTGGATAGGACACACATTAAGGAAGTCACCCAACTGCGTCACAAGGCAAGCCCTCACATGGAATCCCGAAGGCCAAAGAAGAAGAGGAAGACCAAATAACACATTACGCCGAGAAATGGAGACAGATATGAGAATAATGGACAAAAATTGGATAGGACTGGAAAGGAAGGCCCAGGACAGAGTGAGTTGGAGAATGCTGGTCGGCGGCCTATGCTCCATTGGGAGTAACAGGCGTAATTATTATTTTACTGTTATCACTGACTTATAAACTATCTTAGTTGTTTTAATAATCTCGTATGTGCATATAAATATTGATGTATACTAAAGTTAAACCTGATGAGGATCTAATTGAAAGCAGTATTGTTCGCTTATACATGTTTTAAATTGATGTCAGTATATACTTTTCGTATGATGAAAGAAGATACGTCACACACACCACGATGAACAAACCGGCTGGTCAGATTGATATGAAAGATAAGTTTATTTTCAGTGTGACTAAGTTAACAGTCAAATATTCAGTAAATACATTTGGGTTTTCAAGAATGCACATAGGGTATTATATAACTCCCTGTCTAACAATAAAATGTTTTTCTTAAAAATAAAGATCACAAAGAAGAAAAATCGTTGACCAAGACGCATTACGTTAAAAAAAAATAAATCAAAGTGAGGGGTTGCGAAATATGATTGTTTTTTTTTACTGTCAGATGGATAAACAATTTTTTTTTAAATTTTGAAGTTTAGAGGTAAAGTGAATGAAAGAATATATAATGATGAGAAACGATTAAAGGTTTTGTTTTCAATTGAATAATTTTATATCAAATATTGTATCAAGTGGAGAAGTTTGTTTCACATTGAAATGAGTGTCATTAACCGGTAAATTATAAAATGGATTATTGGTAACATTTTTATTATTAGTATACGCATTATTTGGCTCAGTTTGAATTTGTTGTTTTGTTGTCCAATTACAAAACTGATCATCCATTGGGAATACTTTAGTCTGAAACTAAAAACACAAGGCCTGTTAATATACTAGAATGAAAATTAAAGTACAGTTAACAAAGAATACTGAAACCAATAGCCATTACATATTTTATCATAAATAAAATCAAGTTACACACAAACTTCTGAGTTGAACCAAACAAAGTTATTTTCATTTAGAGAAAAAAGTGGTAACAACCAACACCGTGCAGTAAGAATCAGCTGTGCGAAAACTCAGTTATTGGTATCACTAGATATTAGGTAAAAACTTGAGAACTTGTCTGCGATTAACACTTCGTTTATGCTCATTTAGCATTCACTGACAACCGAAAATAAGTAGTTTTTTATTTAAGGTGTTTCAGAAACAAAATACAAATGGGTTTAACAGGAAACTCATTTGCTAACCCTTAATCGAACACTTGTGTATAATTGGGGAGATTTGGCATGTTAGCATTATCGAAACTTATTACTATTCCTGATAAACTGTTAGTGTACTGACACTAAAACACATAATTTGGAACACTCGCATTTTAAATGAAGTGAAGGAATCCCGTATTGATAACGGGTAATCATTTTAAATTTCTTATGTTATAGAAAGCCTCAAAAGTTAAGGAGTAAACGGAGAAAGGAATTGCTATTTAAAATATAATAATAATAATAATAATAATAATAATATAATATGATTTCAGTGATGATCCTGAGAATCTATATCAGGAAACAAGCGGCACTCATCGTGATGATACGTTTTTGAGCTGTAATATGATAGCCATACTTGATATTCATTTATAAACCTCTCCTTTAGAGTAATCCTCTTTTTCTCTCGTACGTGCTCAGCGTTCTCCTTCAATAAAATGTTTGCTTAGGTAGAATTAACTTTGAGTATGTAAGTCATTATGGAATTAAATAATTAGGTTTTGCAATGAAGCTTGGAGAGTACTATAATCTTATTCTGAGATCCCAATCTTATCATTCCTTTCCGTATAAACATTATTTCTGTCGATAAAATCGATCTAAGATATAAGTAAAAGTATACTTTTCAAATGTATCTATTTTCAGTTGTATCTATAATGACATATCCATAAATTTTTTCGACTGATTTTTCTTAAACGATTTACTGGTCATTTGAAACTGTATCATTCTAGGTTTTACTGGTTACATGAAAAAGTAATCAAGGTTAAAGCGCATATATTTTATTAAAAACCATTCGTATTTCTATTTTATTTATCAAGATACATCTATACTTTCAGATCAAAGTAAATAGGTTCTTATATTTATGCAAATTTACTTCAAATATCTATGTAATAAATGATACTAAAACATTTTTTTATTCAGTAATGGCTAATTTTTTTTCTTGAATTTATACATGTTTATACATACACACATATATCATGTATTTAAATCAGATGTTTACGATAAGATAGTAGTAATATCGAATGAATAATTTACATATTATTCGACAAAATACTTCAGGTGTTTTTATTTGCTAGTACAATGCAAAGTAATATCTAATTAGATGACAGAAGTATATTCGTTTAGAGATTCAAAAAACACATCATAAACAAATTATATATATATATATATATATATATATATATATTATGTCGAAACCATTGGTAGAAATTCGATCGTTTTCTCCATAAACTTAGTCTAATATTTCAAAATAACTGACAGAAGTTTCGATTATGTCATAGAAATAATTGGAGTTTGTAAATTTATAAATAATGATATTTCTAATATATATAATAAACGTGTGTAATATAATTTAAACCTTTTGAGAATAGTAGAACTGTCCTGAGAAAGATCTTATTTTCTAGTATTAAACACATTCTAAGATAGTTTTCTTAATAAAAAGTCAAATGAAATATTCCTTGGTACCAGTAGATTGTTTGTTTTATATCAAAATTTGAAAAATTCCCATATTGTGATTTAGAACAACATATATAAGCGAACAATATTGTTTTCGATTAGATCCTAATCAAGCTTTACTCTAATATACAGTAATATTTATATGCATATGCGAAATTATTAAACCAATCAAAGCAGTTTATGGGTCATTGATAACAGTGGAATAGATTACATAACTAAAAATAATAAGTGATAAGTACAAATTGGTAGTGTAATGACAGGTGTACTAGCTGTGATAAAAATAATAAAGGCTTGAATCAATGTTACATAATAGGAAAATAGGTCATTACACTACCAATTTGTATCTATTCCACTGTTATCATTGTCTCATAAACTGCCTTGATTAGTTTAATAATTTCGTATATGCATATAAATATTACTGTATATTAGAGTAAAGCTTGATGAGGATCTAATCGAAAACAATATTGTTCGATTATATATGTTGTTTTACATCAACAAACGTGTTCATGAAATTCTCATATTAATAATCATCAGTAGATAGTAAATGGTGACGTATTGGTATTCGCAAAACAATAGTTCTATATTGAATGGTTACATATTTGTCACATCATTATCAGAAACCTAGATGATGGGTAATTATTGGAAAACAAAGCATATATTTATTCGTTAGGTAGTTTGATTCTTTACGTGATGCAATAAAAAAGTGTTTAAAACCAATCAATATGAAATTTTAGCGGTCATCTCCAAACATTCAAATTAGACTAAATATTATTAAACTGGACTGATCGAAATTTTAATCTAAACGTAATTATATCACAAAGTTAGTACTATTGTGTTTTATACAAATATTTACGGGAAATACCATTTAAATTGAGTTGGTGACAGTATGTAAAGAGTCCAAGCGCATCATGACGTTTTCCTTTTCTTTTTTGAAAGTCTTCATGTAATAGTTATCAAAATGAAGGAAAAATAATACAGTAAATGAAACAATAACACTTCGAACAAAGTTCGATTTTATCAATAAATATTTCAATGAATAAGTAAGGTCATAGAGAATGTAACAAAACGACTTCAAATACGAGAATCTTTTCAAATCAACCATTACGGGTTATGAAAATTTTAAATGTTCTACTTTCGAAAGTAAATCCAAATGAGTTTTATTCACCATATTGAAGTGTACCCCACCATACAAAAAAAGCATCAACTTACAGTTTGAATAGTTGGTGGTATATTTGACCAAATATTAGCTGTTGTTGAATATGACTTTAAATATGTGTTTTGTGTTGTACCTTTAATCATCTCCATAAATGGACTAGAATTATGTTTGGATATTTGATTATTCATATTGATTTGTGAAACTAAATATTATGAACAAATAGACAGTATTTAATAAAACAAACGAAAAAATTCGAATAATTTTTCAAAATATTTCAATTTAATTATATAATTCACATGGAATACATTGGACAGATTTATAAATAACCTAATTATCGTGTAATATTTATATTTTGGAAACTCTGTAACTTATTACTACTAGATTAAAGCTATTCATATTGAAAATTGAACAGGGTTTTATTCATGAATGAATTTGACTTAAATGTTTATTTAAACAAATGATACTTATATTATTTATAAATACTTATATACCATAGAAACAGATAGATGAAAACATCAAATACAAAGTGGGAATTTCTTATCATCCTAATGTTATTTTATTTTCCCATAGTGTTTAAAAGAAATTCATTCTTCAAGATATAATCAATGAATAAGAATTTGGAATCTATGTAGTTTCTTTTTCTTCAGAAGAAAAAAAAGAAAATCTCTTAATATAGGTGCTTATTCGAAAATCATATATACATATCTTTGGATAAGCAAAGATGGATAGTGGCTAGCAGTGGAATCCAGGACGCGCGTTTCGTCCTATTTTGGACTCGTCAGCTGGATGTACCTGCATCTCAGAGTCGATGTTCACTCTGGGACTCGAACCCAGTACCATTCGCTTCAAATGCCATCACGTTATCCACTCGGCCACTGAGTCCTGATTGCCACTTGCTTGTGCAATGGGGTGAAGTTTAAATTCAACTTAGTATTACTTGTTTGAATCTTCCCATTGAATTTAGGCTATATCGAGGCAATACGCACAGTACGCGCATATGCCAATAAGAGACTGACCAGTTGCAGTCCTAAACATCAATGGGAAGATTCAAACAAGCAATACTAAGTTGAATATCTTTGAATAAAAAAATGAAGTCATAACGTACAAAAGCTGAAGTTAAAGACAATCAGCTTATCTTTTTCCTTTGGAATAATATTCTTAGTTTACAAATTATTCAAATAATATGTGATTATTGAAATGTACTATTCGTTTTACTGTATAGTTAAGTTTTTATTCAATGTTATTATTCAATGTCACATTTTTTGTTTATTTACAATACCGATTAGTTACACATCGTTTCATTAGTTTATTCCCATAGTTTGTAAATATAAGCTTCTTTGTACCAGTGTAAATTTAATATACCTTACTTATACAACCTAATGTGTATTTTATACCTATGACTGATTTAGAATTTTTTGTGGTGCAGGCTGATCTGACTCCAATTCGGATGAACGTATGAATAAACTATAAATATTAATCTTCCATTTAACTCCGTATATTACCTAGGCTAATCACGTTTGTATGACGGTGGTAATAAGAAGCCAAATATGAATGACGTTGGAGGGATTTATTTCAGGCACACGTTAATCCAGATTGACGAAGCGAAGAGGAGAGAGAGAGAAGTGAAACGGATCGGAGAAGGCATGTGAGCCAACTCCATCTAACCAAGCATGAATCGATATTTACAGTCAAACAAAAATTAGTTACGAACCTGTGATAAGTGAGATAAGAAATTCACACATATACGCTCACATAAAAACAGACAAGGTCTATAAGCGAATAATTAACAAGGTCAAAATGTGGTTTGAGTAGAATGAACAAGTTTGTCTGTCCGGAAGCTAGATTAACCTATGTGGGCTTGAAATAGTACCAGGCTCTACAAATTCATCGAACAAATTCTATTGGCAAAATACAGTAATGACATAAAAGTGAAATAAATAAGTTTGTCTTGGAATGCTGATTGTACTGAGAATCATAATTATTTAGTGTAGAATTAATAAATATTATATTTCATGTAAAATAAATAAATAGAAATGGTAAAACTATGAATCATGCCAGTAAGTTTGACGACTATTAATCAGTTTGATCAAACAAAAGTGGTTAATACTTCAAGTTGATGTAAACTGACTGAGGCACTGATGTTATGTAAAATTTAAGAATTATATATGAGTTGTAATTATAACTTACAGAAATGTAGATCATTGTTACCAAATGACTGATTGGGAAGATTTTGAGACATTAAATTTGTAGGTGTAGAGTTTGCCCAGTTAGTCCCTTGGTTTTCGAAATGATCATCGAAAGTTATCCAGTTTTTTTCACCATCCTTTTAATATTGATTTAAACAGATAAGTGAACAAATGAAAATAACCGACTGAAATTTGGCTGAACTATGTCGAATTAGTTATGGGGTAGTGATGGCACTAAGAATCATAATCATTTACAATAATATTAGAAATGATGATAGAACGTTTTGCTTCCTTGAAGTAGTACAATAACGTGCATTATAATAAATGAAATGTAAAGTCTTTAATTTTTCATCATGTAATAATCAGTATTCTCTTGCTTAACTATTTATGCTGATTTAGGTCATTAGTTCAAGTCTGTAAAGTAAAGACTTATTAATTAAATTATTCATCAAGTACTCTAATGTGAACAATATCCAAAGTATGAGGGCTATTGATATCACGCGGTTTCTTAAACCGAAGTGTGTAGTGAAGGTCTAAACCTAGGACTTAATGATTAAAAGCTGAGCCTCTTATCCACTGAGCGACTAGGTCACTAAAGCATTCGAATACCTCAGTAATAAAATCTCTGAATGTTTGATTAAGTATGACATCTTAGAACATATACTTTCACCAAGAATTCAGGTTCTCTGAGTTAATTAATACCAGGTGGTACAAAACTTTGTTTCAGATCATTTTGTTTACTCCACTTAACCATCTGGTATATAATTTTTATTTATTTTCATTTAGTGATTTTCTTTTAAGTTATGTTTGAAACTTTGACTACTTAGTTTTATCTAGCCAAGGTCATATACTTAGGTCGATGATACAAAAAATCACTTGCGAGGTGGGTATATAGTTTAGTTACCCAACAATTTTTATTTTATTCCTTATAAGTAGCTAAGTAGCTAGGACCTACATCTCTTTAAACTATGAACATATATACCTTATAATGAACAAAATATAAAAATTACAGATCATAGAGTTTATAACAATAGAAATATAGTAATATAAAAAACAGTATAGTGAAAACAGTATAACAAATCAGATAATTCACTACGTACAATTACTAGACTTGTAAAATAATAAATTATTCGAACAATCGTATCTTACAATTTAATAACACAGTGCTGAAGAATGAATATATAAAACAACAATGAATAATTACCAATAATTTAACTTTATTTCTCAATACTTAATTCAGTAGTTCTCTACATAAATGAGTTTTCTAAGAACAACTGCTCATAACCATGATCCCTATCACTTATTAACAAAATCTTAGTTTATCTTTTCTGAATGATTACATTGGGTTATTCTTTGGTATAATAAACTATTAGTTTTGGCAATTTTATATCTTAGGCAGCCTAAAGCTCACGTCAAAATATTTGGATATCGAAATATGACACTGCTTTTATCCTGTCAGAAGATGTGGTCTCAAAATTCACACAATTCATCGTAAATCTAGTTTTATTTACGGGGCTTTTGGATCCACAGAACTATACCCTAACATTAAGTCAGTTAGGGAAACGAAGAGAACTCAGTCACTTACAGACTATTGTTGCAATACTTGAGATTTAGCCGAATCATATCTACATTACAGACAATAAAACAGGAACTGTAATATCACGGATACAATGATAGATTCTGTAAGCTAAACACACTCTTTACTAACTTATGAAGGTAAGATTTCTCGCGAAACAAATCGGGGGGGATATCGATGAATTTAACGGCAACTTATTTAATAATCACTACAATCAAAATTACCAAACAGTCTTGCTATTTGCAACTTAACAATACTTCAAACATAACCGTAGTGCCGCAGAAAATCTGGAGAAAACTGGACATTCCAGAAGCATACAAAACATAAAAAACAGTAGCGTGGAGTGTGGTGGTTATCCTTTATTTTCTACGGAATTACGACATTGTACCTGTTTTTTCCGGATGGGTATCTAATAGGGGAATCTATATCGCCGTTATAGAACTTAGTCCTCTTGTACTAGATTAGTGTGGAGGTTTCAAACCGAGAGACATATCACTTAACTCAACCCGCAACGACATTCGGTTAATAACCACTTGAGACTTATCAACATTACTTAAAGAATTTTCAGTTGATTTCAATGTAGAATTTGGTCACCGTACATCAAAAAATGACTCTTTCTGTCTCCCGAAAGAAACTCAGTGGTAACGTCTCTGACTGTGAAGCTGGGTTACGCGGGATCGAATCCGTCAGGGAACACCAGTTCCTTCAATATTACAGGTACACCTTGCTGACGAGTGCTATGTAGCACGACACCCAGGTTCAGGGTTTCCTGTCGACTACCTCCAACCACCATCTTACATCCAATGCCCCTTTCACCGTTATGCAAGACGGAAGCAGAAAGATAAGACTTTGGCACATTAACATGTGTACTTCACTGTCCTTATGGACCGGATGGCCATAGATCGCAGATGATGCCCATTAAAAGTAACCTGAAGTATATCCAGTCGCTTCACCTACCTCCATTAAGACACTACGATCTCCATCTTGTATCCTTCCTTGTCATGTATTTCACAAGACTTTGATGACCAATAACTGTTGTTGACCGAAGGCACATTACCAAACTATGTCCCTTATATTATCGCTCACAATCAGACGGAGTAGCGTAGAGGCTTGTTTACACTTCAAACTTGCCCTGCTAAAATCACTAGAGAACTGACACATCGGTTGTGACTGTACAAATATTTTTGTTTATATAGCTGACGACACTCAACGTGATATTTCTCAAATTATAACCAATAATGGAAGCACTAATGAGGAGGAAACTAGGAACCAAAAATCATTAGTCTTTCTTGTTGATTAGATCTGATTTCATATTTGACTAAAAGCCAACTGAGAATCTGTTGTGCAATTATAATCGATAAATTACCATAATCGACTTAAATTCACATTTCCTTCTTGGTTCCAATAAATGTCGGTTGAATTGAAAGAAATTAATAGATTTCGACCTAATCAACTATACTAGATTTCTGAAAGATATAAGATTCAGTCGGTTATAAACAGGCCAACAACATGTGTAGTATTTTATGGTTATAAAAAGGGAATGTCTTTTTTGATGTGTTTCCGAAATGTTACAGAGTTTGTAGATTAACTTATGAGGAATCTTCGTGATTAACTGCAATTTCATTTATTAGTTATTTTGCGATGCCAAGATTATCAATCAAGCGAATAATCTAATTATTCGTAAACTTGAGGACTTGATAACTAAATTATCTCTTAAAAACTTACACAAGACTTTACGACATAAACACTATGGCATCTTAAATGTGTAAAAAGCTACAATCAGCATCAGACTGACGTAGAATTACTAAAATCATCTAAACTGTAGTTCAAACTCTGATTGAACTTACTTTATTGCACGGAACGTTGTGTCCATTACTTGTGTATTGTTTTTGAATGTTCCCATTGTCAGTGCTATTTTGTTGAGATGAAACAGTGTTGTCGCTAATATCTATTAGCTGAATCAGATCAGGATTATTTTCCTCAGTAGTGTCGAAAATCTTGGTATCCGTAGAATGTTCTGATTTACTTAATATGTCCTAAGGAATTGTATTTGACACAATTTAGAGTAATGCGCGAAATGTAAATAAAATGGGCAACAATAAAAAATACGAAGTTTTAATATATTAGAGGAATATGTTCAATGTAGTATCTTCATTCGTGTTGAAAGTTTGATCGAAGAATCCACACTACACAACACATAAACATTCCCGTCAATAATCAGTTCTCACCAAACGGTAAAAGCTTTCTGCTTCAAACTTGATTATGTACCTGTAGTGATCGGATGATGATGGCGGTAAATTCTATTATCATAAACTTAGTGTCTAAAAAACTCAAAGATAATGAAATCAAGTCAGGCTACTCATCTGTTATACGATAACACAGTGTTTCTTGTTACAGTGTTGGATGATTTGTGGAAAAATGGAGTTAGATGCTATGCTTCTTCACCATTTTCATACAAGGTTTATCTACATTTTTATTAATTGTCTGCTACCTAGGACATTAAGTACTTGATAAATTGACGAACTACCTAAAAATATGCTGTAACTTGGAGGCTTCGTTATATTAGATGGTAAATAGACTTTAAAATTTATTTATTATGAGAAATGTATTGGTCACCGTGCAAAGCCAGTACAAGGACGTAATCTATTCTTAACAAGATCAGTAGTAGTTGTTATGTTGGTCATCACCCATCAGTGACTATATATATAAGTTCAATTTTCTCATAGGTATAAATTTCAAAACCTGTTAAACAGAGGAAAATGGGATTCATTTATATTTATGGATTCAGTTAACTTTTGTGTTTGCCAAGGTACAGAACAAACATAGGACTCTTCAGCGATGATGCGCTTTGCTATCACAAGCCTTGGAACATTTTTAAATTTAAGGTTTATATTAATAAACTTTACTAACAATAAATGCCATTATATCAATCAATGGTATAGAACGTCAAGAGGAAACTATAAATCAGAATCAAGGTTTCGTTGAAATTATGCTGTAACTCTTTGACCTTTTGTGTAAGTCATCATTTTAAAGCTTAAAGAGGTTACTGTGAAAACCTATCATACAGCTGAAGTGTGACATGGAATAAACTTGTGACCATATAACGAATACTAGATTACAATTAGAAAACATACATTGAATTGCATGAAAATAGGGTGCATTGAATTATACAACCAATAACGAACAGTCAGTGAACTTTGCTAATGTTTTCTGTTGACTGATAAGATAGTCAATATTTATTTTGTATTTGAGAACAAAAGGTTATTTCTTGAGATCTTATAACTGTTTTATTATTACATAAGCCTTGTTTCTGAAATTAATTGATCAAATATAACACGTAGTTAAAATCAAATGTTTCAAACAAACGTTTGTGGTAGGAAACATTCATCGTACTAAATTTGAGTAGTTTGTACAGTATAATTTAGTCAATAGAGAATAGAAAAATGTGTACTAAAATTACTTAAAACTTAAATTAGATCGACGAAATACAGATTCAAGTTAATGTATTCAAAATGCATTAATTGCAATGTAGACTGATGACATTGTGCTTTATATAAGTAGGTTATTGAAGCCATGTAACTATTTATATTGGAATACATTGTTGGATGTAAGTATTGTACGGATGTTTATGTGTGCTTTATTGGCAACTACTGCTTAAGTATTGAAAATACTGATGTATGGTTCTAAATTTGTTTACGTTAGTTTGTAGGCGACATTCGGTCAATGAAGTTTATAACTTAAAAAATATAATGAATTACTACATGTTTTAAATTAATGTTATTGGTTTTACTACTGAAAATTGAAAGAATTAAAAAATAGTCATATTTTTAAATCGAGAAGTTTTCAGTTTGTTGGGAAAATTTAAATAAATGTCAAAGAGCCTAGAACCAAGATATTAAAGTAATCCAAAATTATTCATTATTGACTTTAGTCATTTATGCATGAAATAGCATTCGATCAGCACTGAGAAGGACTTGACACGCATGACATTGATCACCACCCAGTGATCAATCAATTGGGATTACAGCTCAGTCCTACAGGAGGTCGCTCGCGGCCCGAATAGCTCAGTGGTAACGTCTCTGACTGTGAAGCTGAGTGACTCGGGATCGAATCCGTCAGGGAGCATCAGTTCCCCCAAGATTACAGGTACACCTTGCTGACGAGTGCCAAGTAGCACGAAACCCGGGTCCAGGGTTTCCTGTTGACCACCTCCAACCACCATCTTACCTCAATATATATATAGTGCACGCAGTGTCGAGCCACCTAGACTGGTGGTCACATTGCAACTCGATCGATAGCATCCGATCAGCACTAAGAAGGACTTGATACGCATGACATTGATCACCATCCAGTGATCAATCAATTGTGACGTATTTTTAAAATTGTTCAAAGTAAATTGGTAGTTTAGATACAAGTACATCAGTCAGTCAGTCAGCTACAACGTAGGATCAGGAACATTTATGCATCGGTCCAAGTTGCCATACCTCGTTAGCACAACAAGATGAACACCGGATTCATAGGAATAGTTGATTTAGTGGTGGTATTATATAAAAGATAGATTGTATATAAGGATATAGTATATCAAGTAAGAACGTTATGGAGCAATTTTAATCTTAAGGTTTAAGGGAAGATAAAGAGTGTATATACCTACGCCATTGTGATCGATTCTGAGCCATGTCACCTGGAGACTCCAACCATTGGTTACGATAGTCACGCAAATGAAGATAAACCATTTCATTTATAATAACCCTTACCATGTTTGATCGTTTTTGTAATTTTATCTTTGAGGAACTTTTAAGCATATAATGACTGCATATAACAGATGAGAAAGTGAAAATAGATAATCAAAGTTTATTCAAGAAAAAATATAAATGCTTTTTCTTACTTCATTAGGTGGTAATAACTCAAGGTTTGAGTAGATGTGCTTTAACACACCAATCAATTTCTGAGTCTAAAAGTTGAGGATAAATAGAAAACAAAGATAATAATAGCGCATTTGCTGGTGGAATTTCAAGTATTAATTATCACTTACACTTTATTATCATAGCAACTTTACACAGATACACTTAATGAAATTGATGTGTTGCTTTTACTTATGAAATTGATGTGAAAGTTTCAGGTACTTATGAAATTATCAACTAATCCACTCATTACAGATACTTCACTCTAAATTAATAAGAAAACTCATTTGGAATATTTCACTTTTCAGTAGAGAAAATAATGACACTCAATTTTAATCATTTGTCAAAATAAGCATTCTAACAGAACAAAGGCTCAATAGTGTCAATGGTATAAAAAGTATGAGCTACAACTAGGTTCATGTTTATTACTTATACTGTTAGCATACATTGTAAGTGTGAATGAATGATAATCACTGAAAGTTAAATAAAGAAATAGCATAACATTGTTGAGAAACAATTATCGTCAAAGATAATGAAAGAAACATTGTGAACAAATCAAAAGTACTAGGGACTTTTCTAAAATCTTACTAAATCTTACCTATTCATAGTTACTTATATCTGTTATCTGATGTAATATAGTAAAGACAATCTTTGCGTCCTATATAAGCATGGGAGTATGTTTCTGTTTTGTATGAGTTTTATTCTAGGGTTTCTATCAGTAAATATTATGAATTTCCAAATGAGGAGGAATGGGTAATTATTTTAACTGATGTCTAATCAAACAAATAATAGATGTATTGCCTTTTGATTATTTTGAGTAAATTTTATTCGTTGATTTCTCTTTTTCTTATAACTTTAATACTAGGTGAAGAAGGGTTAGGCTAAATTGAGGTCTTAATTCATAAATTAAAACAAAATTCTGTATTCCATGAATCCTAGAAACAAGATGATCCTAGACTAAATAGTTAAGACAATCAAACGCTTTATTTTCATAAATTGCCAAATGTATACACTGTTGTGAAACGCTACTCGGCTTTGACAAACAAGCTAAAGTGATGTAAAAGAAGACGCGTGACTTTTTAAACATTAAATCAACACTATCACAGAGAAAATATCCTACAGCGACGACCGTATAGGCTTAAATGTACTAATTAATTTGAAAATACCTTGGTTCTCACACACGTTCAACCTAACAAATTACAATTATTATCAAGGCTTCGGTTTATTAATCAACAATGCCGATTTATCAGACAATTGCGATGGATCATATGAAATACAAAACAAGGAAAATTGAATAAAAAGGGTCGAATCATTTGTCTCACAGTTTATATAAGTTTAAACTAAAATGTAACAACTGAAATGTAACAATTTTCATTTCGTTGTTTCTTAGTTAAATGTACCTAGGAAGCATCGTTGATAAACAAGGAGGATCGTATGCAGATGTAAAGGCGAGGATTGGCAAAGCAAGAACAGCACTTCTACAATTGAAGAGCATATGGAACTCAAAACAACTATCAATTAACTTCAAAGTGAGAATCATCAGTACGAACGTCAAGACAGTCCCACTATACGGAGCTGAAACGCGAAGAACTACTACATCCATCGTCAAGAAGGTAAAAGTATTTATAAACAGTTGTTTATACAAGATACTCAACATGCACTGGCAGGATACTATCAGCAACAGCGTTTTATGGGAGAGGACAAATCAGCTTCCAGCTGAAGAGGAAATTAGGAAAAGACATTGGAAGTGGATCGGACATACATTGAGGAAATCACCAAACTGCATCACGAGGCAATCCCTAACTTGGAATCCGGGAGGGAAGCGAAAAAGAGGAAGACCAAAGAATACATTACGCCGGGAGATTGAAGCGGATATGAAAAGGATGAATGTTAACTGGAAAGAACTGAAAAAGATTGCCCAGGACACAGTTAGATGAAGAATGCTGGTGAGCGGCCTATGCTCCTCCACGAGGAGTAACAGGCGTAAGTAAGTAAGTAGTTAAATGTTGCATATTCTGATACATCTGTAAATATTTTCTTTATTTCCTACAGCTTCTCTGTAATAAATTTAAATAAATTTAAGGGACGTTTTATTCCATAACTTGTATCATAAAACTAAATAAACGTAATTTTGGACCAGTGTGAATGAAGTAGTTAGTAACAATTTTCATCTCCATTCATTATGTAAATAAACTACTCGGGTCAAATCAATAAATGAATCATTTAAACTTACATTTTGATAAAGTTTATAACCATAAAATTGATGAACATTATCCCCAATTAATGTTTGTTTCACTATAATTCCACATGATTGTAAATCACAGGGGTCAATCCAAATAAATGTAATATTTTCAAATTTATGCACGTGATGTACTGTCTGAAATAATGTTGAAATGAAGACAAAATAAAATAAAAAAACAGGACGAGAGAGAGAAAAAAGGGTTGCTGTGTTGATTTAAAATTTAATTCAAAATATTTAATTTATATAATAGATTCAAGATATTTTAGCTGTTTATTTGTAAATTGAATATGTTACTATGAACAAATATTTACATATATTTCAGTATATTTTAAAATAAAAGCCAATTTAATTCTAAATGTTTATATTTGATAATGAATATCAACAAAATCAATTATGTATCTAACTTCAAATGCTAATTAATAAGTTTCATTAATCAATCAAAGACCACCATAAAATTAGAAAAAAAATTTATTATTGTACATCAGGTAGTAAATGAATCTTTACTGGTTGTACAGTATTCATAATAACTTTGTGTACTGGGTTAAAGTACCGTAGGTTTAATTAATTTACTAACACATTAGATTAAGTGATTTAACATTTTTACAGTTAATATTGTCTAGTGAATTTATGAGGGTCTAGCTTATAAAATCTTTAAAAAAAAATGAACAGCTTACTTGGCTCAAAACTTCATCTAATAACTTGATCATCACTGAATTGATTGATAGTTTTAAATAGTTCCAACATTTATCATACTTTATTCGTCTCATGTATAAAGCATTATCTTTAAAATTATTGTTATTTGGGTTTTTTGTCCTTTAATCCTCAGGAAGTCAAACCAAGCAATTAAGGATATGAAGTAGTACGATTCCTAGGATTTTCTTCCATTGACAATTGTCAGTACCGAAAATCACGTATAAGCTGACAGTTTAAGGTTTAATTTGTTGACTGTACTTCAGATGAACTGAAGACTTTGAGGGAAAAGCAAACTTTATTTCCTAACTGGTCACAAATCGGTTCGCCGTAATGACTACTGAGATCAACGTTGCCAACGCTGGTAGTGCAAATCCTTGCCACAATTTTAACTAACTGGATCTTGATGATTTGTATGGGTGGGCAGGTGTTTGTTTTTTATTGATCGAGTAGATGTTGACCCGAAGTACGGTTCGATATATTAATATCACTTACTTATGGCTTAGTTGAATAAATATTATAGTAGTCATTCCTTGACCAAACTTACATGTGGCTTAAATATGTGGCGTTTATTCTTGGATGATAAAGCACTAAATATTTTATTGTTCCAGCTATATATCTCCATCGAAATAATAAATGTTGTTGATTACAGTCTTGCATCATTTAACCGAATAAGGTATTACTTGCATACACAAATTTTGCAACATTCATACAAATTATACTAAAATTTCAAGGAAGTTTCTGGGTGATTATGTGAGAGAATTACGTAAGAATAAGGAAATTTGGTTCTTCACGCCTGAAAGGTAATTAAATCACTCAGTGTACACTATATTATTCACTCTTACTGGCGTTAAAATACATAACTTTTCGTTACGTATCTGGATAGTGATACACATTTATACAAATCAAGTCATCCAATCAAGGAGCTATGTGACACCAAATTACTACGCCTAGAAAAACTTGTGTTTTCAAAGGATTATAGTTAATTGCAGCTAAACCTCAAAAATATCTGCCAACTCCTACATTTTATTGTTTTTACACATAATCTCACTTTAAGAAAGTGGCTCTTAAAGAGAATACCACCAGGTGTGCAAATTATATTGTCAATTTTTACTGCGTTTTCACTGAAACTGGCATTTTTGATAAGTAAACGCTCTGAAAGTATTAATTGATCATTTTAATCAATCGATGTTTTAGGAGTCCCTATTTTTCACATTTATATAGACAATATGACACAAAACTGTTACTGTATGTACTATAAAAATCAATTCAACTTACAGAATTTCGTGAGCTAATAACACTAATCCCACTGGTGTCTACACGGATCCTAATTCTTTTCTTGTGTAATTTTGATGTAAGCAACTGAGTTTTAAGTAATCCGAGTGATCTTTCGCAAATAAAATCACCACGAGACTCAGAGACGGAGGTATTTCCGAAGAATTTAGCACGGTATATCTGCGGGACAAAATTTTCCAATGATCCATGTGTTTTGGATTCTTTGTCCTCCTTTTCAGATGTATCCGAACTGACTTCTATTTCATCTTGAATTATATTATTTTTTTAGTAACATTTTAATGACTTACCTATATCTAAAGGATTCATTTTTTCATGTTCTTGAGTCATTTTATTTTGAAATCACCTAAAGATAAATGTCAAAAACAGTTTAGGTTAGTCTGTTTATGCAGAGCAGCTGAAAACAAAGCGACGCAGGATTGTACAACTGTCTATTATATGCAATGGTATATAAATCTATGGGATGAATGGTCATATGTGCATTTTACAGTAACGATCTTATTAGTTTGATCGGAAGCTACTGGCTTGAGGCTTTACATCAAGCACTAGAGTCATACCAAAGAACAAACCGATATCAGATTGTCATCTCTTCTTGGACAACTGACTTAAATATCACACTATGTTATCTTTACCCATATGGAAGGAAAACATAAAGACATTAAGATAGCCTTGGTCATTTTCAAAGACGAAACAACACAACTGCTTACTATGTTTAAAGAAAAAACTATATGACGTCTCTATTGGTCGTAGTGAATTTACCAACACAATTCATCCCGCTCAGATAAAATACAAAAGTGAACTAGTCAAAACTGCAGCCAAGCAGTGAAAGAGAACAATGTTTTATGTCGACTACAGAACAATTATGAATCTTTGGGACGGTAACTCAGTTACAGATGTGCGTAAATGTCAGGTGGTAAAGGAAGAACAAGATCAAGTAAGAGTAATTGTTGGTTACTGTGCAATGATCACTTATGTGTATCTCATGATTTAAGACTAACTACGGAAGCAATGTAACCAAACTGGATACTCACAGTGAACTTCAACTATGATTACACACTCAGCTCTTTAAACACAAAAAACCAACATTTTCAGGTATGTTTCTTCACAGACCTCTTAGATTGCTTGCAATTTACTTAGTCTACTCCTTTCTACGATATTCACAATACCTCTCGGTTGTAATGAATAACCATTGGACTGGAGAGTGGATCTATCACTCTGACTCACAACATTGTTCATCAACTCACATACCTATTAGTTCCACCAGTTTTGTCGTTAAAATGTTCTAATAATGGTCAAAAAGCCATCATGACCATCTCAGAGACAAACAGCGTAATAAACAGTATGCAACCTAATTTCTGAGAAGGATTACCGTGCAAGACAAGCATTGTGATGGAGAGAGAAACAAACGGAGTTGTTTGACAATCGAAAAGCTGCGAATATTATCTACGCTGACTTCTGTAAAGCTTCTGATACTGGGTATCATAACACAATTGTACTGAATCTGGAACTTTTATGAGTTTCTTGACCTCTGCTAAAGTGAATCACATATTTTGGGAGAGATACAACGGAAAGAAAGAATAGGCACTAAGTGATCCCCTTGGGAACAAGTACTCAGTGGAATACCACAAGGCTAGGTTCCAGGTCCCTTACTATATATGCTCTGTGCAAGTGAAGTCTTGAGAAAAGTGACAAAAAACGACAACTTATGTGCCTCCTAGTCAAAAGTAACATTAATAAAATGGTCCAAATTCTGGTTGATTTCTAACAAAGTGGGTAAGTTTGTCTATCTGCAGAGTAAATAGGCTAAGGTAAATAACAACAACATAGAGGAAATGTCAGCAGTATCAAGCCAACATCACAATAATATAGAGATTTTAGTGATTCTTTACCAGATAACTATACCTCATAGATATTCAGCTGCTATTAAAAAACTATAAACCTGGGGATGTTAAGGCGGAAATGAACCGAGTTAGATACAAATGTGTTTACTCCTATGTATATAGTCCAAGTATTATCAAACTAAGAGCCTTGTTTAGGCCAAAAGCCACTGTTTGATACTTAATTTATACTTGTTGTATAAAATAAAAAAGATAATTGCTCATTCACATTCGGAGTTCCGGGATTACCATATAACGAGAGTCTAAAATACTTATAACGTATTACTTTGTCTTATCATTAAGTAAGAGATGACCTAGTTATCATGCCAGAAATGCTGACAGATGATTTTGGGTATGATATAACCTCTGTTCTTCTTCCATTTAGTTCAGTACGACTGAGAGAATATAACAGATGAGTTCACAACTAAACAGCTAACAAAAGCCCTCTTAACGGTAATAATACCTTGAAACTTTTTAACAGGAAAGACTGATGTTTACGCCTTTAACCATCACGTTCAAAATGAGACCAGATTAATAGAGGAGTCTACTAAAAGAAAATAAACACAAGCTGTCGGTCTTCAGTTTACAACACACAAAACTGAATATGGAACCATTAGTAAACATGGTCAAAGGCCACCTATGTAGAAGCCTCAATAAAGTTAGAAATATGAAGGGCTTTTCTTATATGGCGATAAACGTAGTGAATTTCCTATTTTGAAAAATACAAGTAAATTGTATGTGTTGAAATGACATATTCAATGTTGAACCTTTAAAAGCTCTGTTTCATTTGACGAAATCGTTGTGGTGATCAGAAATAAAAGTATTTACATTTAATAACCAATCACAATAAACAAAAATCGAAAAATGCTTAGTTAAAAAGGAAAAATAACCTGAGTTGACGATATAAAAATATATATTTAAAAAAGTTATAACATTCTGATAATAGATGGTTTGTTAAGTGATCGCAGTGTCAAAATTGATGTAAAATATAATAAGAAAGAAAAGCAAAAATTCTAAAGGTAGATAACGTTTCTGAATATAGTGCAGTATAATGTATTATGCTAGAAAATATAATTTCACAATTATTCAAAATAACTTTAATATCCGGAATCAATGAACATTCTGAATAGTGCTATTACCTATGTTTCCTATAGAAATAAGATACGATATATTTTGCAGTCAGCTACAAGCTTTGGTGACGAGGATAATTTGTTGGAGCATAACTTCCCACGATAACACACAACACAATTCGTTTTATCTAACGAAAGACCTTAAGAGTAGCATTGTAAAACAAAGTTTACGATATCCAATATTCCAATACGAAGTGGCATAAACCGTCGGATGCAGTGATAGCTTTTACTTGATCTTTCGTTCTTACAATGAAGTATTCTAAATATAAGACAGTTTTGGTCTTAACCTGGGTTTATGATATGAACAATAGATATTGTTCTATTCCATGTCTAGAATCGTTATCAGTTAACAGATCTAGCATGCCGTAATTCACTCACGACAATGCTTTCGTCTGAGCCATTGTATCTTATGTAGAAGCCGAAATAATGTCTATACTGATTCCTGATTGACAGGGATATTGTTCCTTGAGAGATTTCAAGGACGGCTATTGGCTTACTAGTAAAGTATTATACGATCTTAACTGTTTCCATATCGCCTATCATCAAGCATTCAACGTCCAATGTTCTGTTGTAAAAAGACTTATGATGATGTGTGGTTAATGGTGATTGTCAAATTCCATTCCAAAGCCAACAAGTTCACCTCTTAGTTTACATTTTTATAACTGACACTTCAACTACACTTGAAATAGAACTGACATATTAATATTATACGTCGGAAAAATACAGCTTGTTTTCACTCTTTTTATAATACCTGGGAGTGACCAAATTAATGAGTCAACTAAGAATTTTTCGAAATAGCGCAATTTAAGTCAGATAGATTAAAGTGAGCATAAATAAACGCATTCTGTATGAAATTTGCAACGAGTGGTAAGTCAAATGCCAAGGAATAATTAGTTCGTACAAATACCACACTGTTGTAAGACGAGTTTTCAGTACTCAGCTTCTGAATGACGATGTTGGCATCGTAATAACGCTTCATGAAAGCAATGAAAGGTATTTCAGATATCATCTATACATGATAGACTGTGTGACGAACTCTTTTATTTGTTACTCCTTCAACATTAATAAACGGTTCCATTGACAGTGATTCAATATTTTCTGATCGCAGGATGTATGAGTTTTTACAGTAGGGAGCGCACATAATCAGGTTTATGTTCTTGTAGGATCCTTCCGGCTTCTAAAATGCGAGTTAGTACATATAAGTAACTAGCAATGGATGGTTACTTATAGAGAAAATGAAATGACGTTATCGGGGCAGTCATCAATTTTCCGACAAAATAAGTATGTAGGAACGAAAAACAGAAGACAATATAATGTATTGAGGTAAATGGTTTTAGGATTTTATCTTTAACTTCATGAGAAAGCTTGAGGTGGACAGCAACTAAATTTGGGCTATTAAATCACTGGCAACTGTCATACAGCAACAGAAAGTGTGTACTTGGGAACTGACTACAGATATATTTTATGTTATGAAACTTAAACTGGAGAATATATACATATATATATACTTTCTAATTTCACATAGGCATCATATTTCGAACTATCCTGTAGCTGTTAATAATGCCTCAAAATCAATAGCTCTTTAAATATTCAACAACAGATGCTGACCACACTGTTTTAAGTGGACTTGTTTAACTGAAGGCTTTCGGTCATGTATCCGTACCAGGTCACGTTGCGACCCAGCGTGGGGAACAGCTCCAACGTTCAATAGCCAGATTAGAGTAAACGCTTCTCGATATATTGATAACGGATCAAATATATCTTTCCAATCTCTTCTCCTCTGACTTCCGATTTTAACCGACTGAAAGACGATTCAAATATAGGTGTAACTGGTTTATAGTTGTAAAACTACAACACCGGTCGTATCTTCAGTGGTGAGACCGACGTAATCTGGTTCACCAAGCGCATAAACTGTGAGTCTGTTCCTTTTTGGAATTTCACTATTCATTGTTTTTCTTTATTTGACTTTTATATATTGTGATATAACTTTTTTTCCGAGTTTTTCGGATACACTTTCATTATATATTTTTCGTTCCTTATAATTCTATGATGGAACAGACACCCAAGGTATTTAGGTTAAAAAAATTCCCCCCACATCGATTCAATTAACTCACTTCTGGCCTGATAATATCGAAGCCTGGTTCTCCTACGCAGAAGCAGACTTTTGCAGGCACGAAATCACGGGCTCGCGCACTCAAAGCCTCGCGGTCGTTGAGGCATAAGCGCGTGAATTTAACAGGTACGTAACACCTAGTATGTTTACTAGTGATGTTCCGGAACCTTACGAAACACTCAAACGGTCGATTCTAAAACTCGAAGATCTAACCGACCGACAACAGTAGGATCAACTCCTTAACAATATCGACCTGCAACATGGTTAAGCGATGGACATGTTGTTAAGGATAAGAGAAGTCATAGGTCAACTAACGTTCGACGATGGCCTATTCAAAGAACTTTTCTTATCCAAACTCTCAAAACAGGTGCAAGCAGTTCTCGTCTCGTCCCAAAACAAAGCCGTAGACGAACCGCCTGCATCTGCTAATCGCATTTTAAGAATTACGAAATCGACTGGAGCCGAGCTTTTTTCCGTCAAAAGAAAACCTCACTGTAAACCGACTGACATAGCCGAACTATGTCACACACTCACACAATATCTTAGATTTAGTGGTGAACGTAGTCGGTCAAAAACCCCACGTAGAAGTGTCCCACGTAGGCGATCTGTCTCTCGATCACGGAAGACATCTTTCAACACTCTATCGAAGAAAGAGAATTCACGCTTTTTAACGATCATAAACCTCTTACCTTCTTAGGTTCCTTGAACAGATTCCTTGGAATCGACTTTCTTAAACTCGCTCAGCTTCAGAAAGAAGACATTGCTCCTCAGCATGAGTTATCCTCGACAACTCTAAAACTGCGTATTAAACAGATGATGACAGGTAAGGAAACCTTACTATGTGACACGTCTACAGGTAGGGATCGCCCAATCGTACCAAAACATAATCGACGCAACGTCTTTAATACATTGCTCAATCTGTCTCACCCAGGTGTTCGTGCATCCATCAAGCTCATAGCCGAACGGCTTTGCTGGCCTGGTATGTGAATGAGTGGGTGCGCATCTGTGTAAGCTGCCAGATAGCTAGGGTCATAAGACACAACAAATGTCCCTTAGATTCGTTTAGTATTTTTTATTTGAATCTTCCCACCGATGTGTTAGGACTGCAACTGGTCAGTCTCCAATTGGCGTATGTGCATACTGTGCGTATTGCCTCGATATAGCCTTAGTTCACAAGCATGATAAGCAGAGATGGAAAGTGACTAGCAGTGGAATCCAGAACGCGCGTTTCGTTCTATTTGGGACTCGTCAGCTGGATGTACCTGCATCTCAGAGTTGATGTTCACTCTGGGACTCGAACATAGTACCATTCGCTTCAAGCGCCATCGCGTTATCCACTCGGTCACTGAGTCCTGATAACTACTTGCTTAAAATGTCCCTTAGACTCTTTCAAAACCCCTGATGCTCGTTTCGAACATGTTCATCTGGATTTTTTAGGGCCGTTACCGATTCAAACGGATACTCATAGCTCTTAACCTGCTTAGACTGTTTCACTCGATGGCCAAAAGCAGTACCTATTAAGGACATTACTGCTGAAACAGTGGCTTGCGCTTTCGTCGAACGATGGGTAGCAAATTTCGGCTGCCCTTCAACCACCACTACAGACCGCGGACGCCAGTTCGAATCTGGAATTTTCCGCTGTCTGACCACACTATTAGGAATCACGCGTTTCCGAACGACCGCCTACCACCCACAAGCAAACGCGTTCGCAGAACGCTTTCATCGACAACTTGAAGCCTTACTATCAGCTGCAGACGTTTTACAGTGGACAGACTCTTCCAATCGTCTTACTAGGTATCCGCAATTCAGTGGAGGCTGACATTGGATACACTGCATCTCAACTCGTTTATAGAACAACACTCCAACTTCCAGGAGAATTCGTGGATTCTTTGTCCTCTTCAATGAACATGGATCTAAACTCATACACGAGCAGGCTTACAAACACAACGCGTTTAGTTAAACCTGCTACCACTCGACCGCGATCAGCTGGTGTTTGCGTTCAACCTGACTTGCGATATGATACACAAGTCTTCGTTCAACGAGACTCACATCGAAGACCCCTCGAATCAGCATATGAAGGACCCTTCAAAGATCTTCAGCATGAACTTAAGTACTATGTAGTCGATAAGAATGGCACTAACGATACCATCAGTATCGATCGCCTCAAAGCAGCGTACTAAGAAGGAAGTCCTATCTACGTCGATTTTCCTTCGGTACAATCGAACGACACGGCTCCTACACTCGTTAAACCCCATTCGACAGCCGACATTCACGTTGATACTCCATAAGCTTTTTAAGTGTTCGACATTGGATGTTGACCACATTAGTTTTAATGAACTCGTTTAGCTGAAAGCGCTCAGTCGTGCATGCGTACCAGATCACGTTACAGAACATCGTGGGAAAAAGTTCCTACGATCGTTAGCCAGATTAGATCAGTCGCGTCTCAATATATTGATAAAGCATATAATATATCTTCCAACCTCCTCGCTCCTGACTTCTGATTTTAACCGACTGATGGACGATTCAAATATAGGTGCAGCTGGTTTATAGTTGTAAAACTACAACACCGGTCGTTTCTTCAGTTCTATATTAAATGTTGAAACCCTAGTGTGTTTGGGATTATAACCTTGGGATGAAATTGTTCTGTTCCTCGATCTAGATGAAAACATGTTACAAAAATCGGTTTGACTTCTTGCAAACGGAGATCAAGTGTAACATTCAACACCGAATTTGTGAGCCCAGTTTTAAACTCCAAAATATCACTGTTTTACTTCTGTACTTTGTCTTACAGGTATATCTACCGACAAATCAGTGGGATAATATCTACCATAAATTACATATATACGCATGTTTGTTCATACGTATTTTCGTAAAATCTTATAATTGGAATCATATTTTTACCATGTTTATTATGTTCATACATTTGTTTTGTTTAGGACAAGAAAAGGAATGACTCGGAAACTAGACAAACTTATCAACTGATTAACTTTATTTTAACCCTCCATAAATGTCTCCAGGTTTCTTTACCCGCCAATTCAGTAGCAGTGGTCGCTAGACCCCTGATATCTCGAAGGCTTACAAAAGCTGTCTGCTCAGTTCTAATATTTGTTTGGAGAGCAGATACCCAGACGGCTACTGACGCAATGGTTTCGAAGAATAAGTTCTAGGTGAACTTCTCAGAAGTATACAGCACTAGGGGCACTTAAGAAGCCAACAGATTCTCGACGAAGCTATTAGGCTTCATGGAACCATTATTCTAATTCACTTATAAAGTCTTAAAAATCACGCAGAATGGAAAAAGAAGTCCGTAATGATGCAAGACAGTCGTGCCGCTTAGTGCGCTATTGGTGAACATCTGTTCATATTATTATGACGAATGCCCTACCGGTCATAGCAGATATTATCTCATAACTAGGTAGCTAGCTGGTTCTGTACTTATGACTTGAGAATCAAAAAGAACAAAGATAATTTTGTTGTACTATACAGTCGCTTTTATAGGCATAAATGATTATTTGATGAAATACTAACTAACAAGTTTTGTGTTAAGGGAAATTTAGAGAGAGGATAAAAGCATGTCACAGACGATTCGGAAAGAAATGAATTTGAATTCGAATAATGATAAATAGTGAAAATCAGTTGAAAGCACAGAGATCAAGAATCATAAAAGTCACAGCCAGATGAGCTTCATGTGTTTGTATCCGTATATCTCGAATCTGTGGAGTTTGTCCCTTCAACGAGCCGTAGTAAGATCATTCGTGCAACTGTACAAATGTAGGAACATAATGTCATTAATGTGATATTAGTTAATAGAATTACATATTAATTTACATTTCCCAAGTTTATATGAGTTTAATAAAAGTGATACTTGATATATTGGAAACAAACAACGATATTATCAAGATTATTCGTAAAGTAGCGAGAAATATTGAAAGTATATTACATGTTATTAGAGCCGCCAAACAAAAACGATACTTCGAGATGATTCAAATATACAGAGTGAAAGCACAGCTTGAAAGGTTGTTAGATATCTACTTTGAGTAGTTGCTTTCACATTAGATAATACTGTTCAACAAACTTATTACTACTCAGGATACTTTGATAAGTTATTAGTTTTACAAAGCTTCATTTATTGTTTTAACACATCACATTTCTGAATTAAATGAGTGTGATAAACATTTATTGACAATAAGATGATCACTTTTTATATAGTCCACTGTAATCATTCTGACTAAGTTCATCAATCACTGCGAATTCACCGTATTATACAGAAAATGTATTCAAATATTTATAAACTGGACAATACAAACTCGACTTTCGAAAATATTATTAGAATTTCTAATATTGAAAAATCCTAATCATGTTCAAAATTAACTCCTAAACAGTGAAAAAAATGTTGTTGATCATATTGATAAGTTTACTGATACAACTAATTAAATTAGTTCTGATTTTTTGTTATTTGTTTTGTTGTTTAACTGCAAGAAGATGCTTATGAAGACAGAAATCCCGACAAAATTGTAAGTATGTTATTCAAATTTATTTTCCATATACAGCGAAGCAATTAAATCAACAACACTAAAATTAGGTGTGCAGAAATGAGGTTACGAGATTAAGAACTATAATACTCCGAGATAAAGTAGGACAGATACTAATTATTTGACTGACTATACAATGTTGATTGAAGTAGAGATATCGCGAAGAAGGCCTTTATGAAGTTGATTGACAACAGGGTCATATTTGAAGCTGTTTCAATAAGTATGACAGCTCTTTGAATAAATGTTATACCATATTGGTTCGATATTTACTTCAAATTGAGGATGCGAGATATATCAAGACATTCACACTTGAATCAAGAGAAGTCTACGAACACTTTAGCAGAAGAGGTTAATACGGGTTATTGAATTTTATAATATGCATGATGGAGTGACCTTAGTTACAGTACACTGAAAACCATTAAGCAATGGACAGTTGTTTCGACCCATATACTAATCACAGTTATCTGATCTCCCGGACACCTAACGAAAAGACCTGACCAGTTGAGTTCCACTACGTCGCGTGTGAAGCAGTTACCTACAGACAGCATTGGTAGACGGTTGTAGAATATCGCGAATTGACATGCAAACTACACAATGTTGGTTTAATAGTCTAAAGATTGGGGAGATGATGCGAGATATGAAGGTCTTGGGTTTGATTCTTGATGAGATCGTATGTATACATTACAAAGAAGCCCCAAAATAGAATGAAACAGCTGTCCTGTGCTCCTGGTTTTCGATGGTTGTCTAAAGTTAGTTCATGATGTCAATTATAAAAGTAAAATGTGATGTATAATGAAATAATAAATGCTCTTAGTTTTTATAGACGCAAAGTAATTAAAAATTGCACTCACCACGACCAGCTCGTAGACGTGCGATACTATCCAAGTGATTGTTCCCAGAACTTAATATTTTTTTCGTTCTTATATCATTTGTTTGACATAACTGTATAAGAAACATTAATTAGTATACGAATAAACAAATGATTTAGTGAGTTAAGCATTTGTCAGCCAAAATGAAAATCTACTCTTATTTTGACAGCCAATAAGAGACTTAAAGTTTTTTATGAGTGTATGCAACGTTAATTTGTAGATTTTCAGTCAAATCAGGTTATAGACTTTGTATATAAGTCTGCCATTTTGTTATAAAAGAAAAAAACGACTCTAATTTTCCAAACTAGTTATCTATTTTTTGATGTCTTTTTAATCTTCTCTTGGATGCTGAATCGTGGAATCAACTCACACCTTTCGCTTCTTTTTTTACATTGCCAAATCATAAAATAACTATACCGCCTCCTTTCGAACCGCATTCCAGAGTCGGATAATATACGATGTGGAAGTCCCAGGGATGAAATTCGTAATACATTCAAGCCACCGAAGTTAGTGTTTCAGGACAGTGACGTCAATTAAATAGTCGTTACTTCGGCTGGATATTTTGGTAACTGATAATACTGAGTAATTAAAACCCGGTTAGATTTTCAACTTTTATTATGAGTGATTAAAAAGCACAACCTAACATATAAAAATACAATAATTAACGTCACACAGTAATTTCGTTTTGTGTTTGTCTATCTGTGTAGAAAATACTGGTAAAGTTAGACAAGAATGTCGACATACCTGATTTGCTTCTTCTTCATGCTGTTTTACTACTTTTATAAATGCTGATTTTTCATGGTCATCACCATCGTCAACTTCACTTTGTTCGTATACATTTGGATCAGGTTCAATTATTTTTATGGACCGATCAATTCCGCTGACAGCAATCACTAAATCAATTAAAGGGTTGAAAGATTAAAATATTACTGTTAGAGAAATAAAATAAACAAATACAAGTAGGTATTCTGCCTTCAGGTCAATTTATTGTGACAAATATTATGCGAAAAAATAAGCAAGAGGTAGAATTTTTTTTAACCTATGTCATAAAGGAAGTATAACCGCAAAATTAACAAACATTTATTGTTGGAAAAGGTTGTTAAACTACACATTTGAAGTAGTTTATAATATACAAGATTACACGTTAACATAATTTACTAAACTAGTGGTAATGTTAACTAACTTGGAAAACGAGGATGAGGAATAATTCGATTTACTACAGATGTATCTGCTTTAATAGCAAGTGCAGGCTTTCCTGTATTACGATCCCATGCAATTAAATGACCACATTCAGATCCGGACAGGATAAAATTCCGCCCCCAAAATGTTGAAACTTTGACCTGCAAATCAATAAAACATAGTCTAATTTGGTTATCGAATACATAATGTAAGGAAATAAAACGTCTAATCCTTGACTCAATAAGTAGAAAAATCAATTAAATCATGATATATACCAGTAGACAAAAATTATAAAACAAAGTGCAGTGGACGTTACTCATAACACTGCTTGTAAGTAGTATTTTGCGGAAAGTGACCTCAAAGTTGTCGGCCAAAGTGGACAGTTTTAGTACAACGGAAGCACGGCATTAGAAGAACACACCGGAAGATGCAAATGGACGGTTGAAGGCTATGTATATGTGTTGCTTTGTAACTTATCGCAATAACTACACATTTCTCCTGTCTTTTGTCATATTTTTTTTAAAAGCGGATAGCTAAGCTCATACAGTAAGAGAAAAGTTAGTCTATTAATTATTTTTAAATCAAAAGACCCTTGTCTTCTCGATGGGATCATAATTTACGGACAACATTTGAGTGAGGCCAAAGTGAACTTGAGAAAATTCAACTGCCAACTAGATTTAAAGTTGTAAATCAGTGTAAGGAAATAGGACTAAGATCAAGAGTTACAAGTTATTGTCTTAGAATTATAATCACAGTTTCATTTGCGAAGTGACATCAGTTACAATGCCAAAATACTATTTAAACAAATGAATGAATACATTTTGAGCCAAAATTCAAAACTTTTTTCGTCTTAAATCTTATTTATTCTTCGATAAATTATAGTCTCATCTTCTACACTTGTTCATTAGCGTTGGTTGGCTAAAAGTAGGCAAGTCAGAGTGCTCCAGCACACTAATTTATGTCCTACTAGGAATTTATAAAACAATTTAACAGGAACCGAGTTTGAAGAGATTACAAAAATGAAATCAGATCTAGAAATACAGTAATGTAGTAAGAAATAAACAAAAGCTGCATCTTACTACAGCAACGTATTAAATTCAACTCTATATGAACTTGCATGCTTTATTCATACGGAGTAAAGCGCCTGAGTGATTGGCTGATATTTTTATGGTCTCCCAAACCATAACTTGCAACATCTACATTTATAATAAATCAGAATTTTCATACAACTTGAATATCATTGTACACAAATATCTTAATGGTACAATATTGTTTAGTGTTAAAGATAACTTAAATATGACGGATGAGATTTGATTTGAGGGAGTGGATTAGCATACAAATAAACGTGAATGGTATTAACAGAATTTTAAAAATGTGCTTAGAAAACAACATACCACAGTACTACAGCATTCACGACCACAATACTTCATTATTTCGCGACACCTTGGAGAAGAATTAATGACGTCAGAAATATATGCATCTGTTAAGTAATCGATAGGGAGTCTCTGTTCACGCTGAGAGCCTAAAGTAAAGAACAACAGTTGACGAAGGTGAATATGGACATGATATAGAAAGTAATGGTCTACTGTAACAACACAAATGCCAATAATTTAACTTGCAACTCAAATGTAAAATGCAAAAAGGCCAGTGAGGACATAACACCATGGTAAAAGTACCTACGCAATCAGATCACTCGCAAGCTGTTGGCTTTTAAATACAATAATTCCAAAAATAGTGAGAAATATATTTGTCATTTCAAACTCATAAAAAAATATCCAAAACAACAATAAATAATAAATTTCTGTATTATACCTGTGTAAGAAGTTTGACCAGTTGTTGATTCGGCAGGACTTGAAGATGTTGTTTGAGATTCAGTTGACGCTTCATCCACAGCACTTTCATCTGTTCTGGATCGATGCTGAGTGAGCCATCTGGAAGACATAACATTACATTATCTATAGAAAAGTAGAGGGATCTATGTGGTAAGTTTAAACGTTCATAACACTATGAAAACATTTTTTGGAAATAAAATTAAAGTTTTGTGCATAATTTACCCGTTATAACTTTACTACTTGACTTCTGTGTTACTGACGCACTAATTGATGGATTTTTATAAGGGTTATGGAAGGAAAGCCAGTTGATTCGATCACATATGTGTTATGAAGTAGCTGGATAATGAGGAGCAATGATACGTCAGCATAACACTAAACTTTATAGTTCATATTCAGCACACAAATACTAATCGATTTTAACTATTACGTTCAATATTTATCCTCTTGTTTCGAGCCAAGCTTCAATGATTATGGTATGTATCAAAACCGTTTGATAATAATTTTGTAAATGTAAATTTGAGCCGTTAGCAGTTGATGAAAAGCCTTGGAATATGATAAATACACATATTCCTGAGAATCTTCTCACTTTTTAAAATTTATCGATAGATTAGGTTATATGAAATTTAGAGTCAGTGTTTGTTATTTTCGGCCCTGCTGTAGACTACTCGCTTACTAGCCTAGGTTCGCGGTAGTCAATTTCTTCGAACCATGTATTCTACTCACTGTACGCATAAGGAGTCGAGAGGGCGTGAGAGCAATTCATTGATCTGAATATAGAGGGATTATTACAGAAATCACATAGATATTTATATCCTGAGTTATTAAAAGTTTTGAGGACAAGTATTGATGCACACATAATAACTTCTCCTCAAGACAATCTGAAATGTCCTACGTTACTTATAGCAAGTTCCCTAATGCACTTTTCGAATGCTTAGACATTGTAAGCAGTGATAGTGTTTGTAGAAAAAGAACAATACAAGAGAAATTAAAGTGATTCCATAATAATTTATAAAAATAGAGTTAATAGAAGTAGTAAGAGATTAAACTTGTATTTCATCTAACAAATTAACAGGAAACTTACCGATAGAGAGCAACAGTTAAACGTATATTTGGATCTGAAATAAGGCTATCTGAAACAAAAATAAAAACAAAATCTCATCGACGATTAGTGTGCTTTCAGATCAAAAGTTAGGTAAAAATTCATAATTTATGAAGATTGTAATAAAATACAGACAGTCACCAAATGGATATTCTTACTGAGTAACCATGACCCATGACCATGCTTGTGAATTAAGGTATATCGAGGCAATACGCACAGTATGCACATATGCCAATTAGAGACTGACCAGTTGCAGTCCTAAACACATCGATGGGAAGATCCAAACAAACAATACTAAGTGAATTCATGACCCATATGTTTTAGAATAAAACCTTAATGCATTAGATATCTCTATGTATAGCACATAGATAAGTAGGGATACTTGGAGATTTATAACGTTAATAACTTGTTTCGGTTTATGCAAACAGTAGAGAGATTTTAGTTATCTTTAATATCCTCAATCTTTGGTAAGTGTGCTAACCAGCATGACCTTTCTATCATACAGCCGTGAGTTCAAATTGATCATATACAAGCAATATGTAATTTCTATTACTATCAGGATGCAAACCTTAAGCCTTAGATATAAGAGTAGAATGAAGCTTGTATACCTAGTATCAGCATAAGTAGCCTTTACTTCCGACTTGATGAAACAAGAACAGTTACATAACAGTCGGTAACGGAGGATTATTTACTGGAGTGTTATAAATCAAAGTTATATTGAGAAATTCATCTTGAACTCGAAAACATAAACAAAAATGTGGTGTAGAAAAAAGGTTGAAGTGGCTTGCAACATCCAAACAGTGAGTAATGAGTTCCTAATTATTTATCATACTCATTGATCCTCGCTATCACAGAAAATTTGCATTGGAACTATTATAGTTATGTGAAAAATGAAGTAAATGCATACAAAAAGAATTGTAACAGTGAGAGAACGTGGGATAACACAAAACTGTACCAAATATTTTCGTGATACATGCTAGTGACACGAGTGATATATTAGTTGTAATGAGAACGCTAACCAATGAAAGATAATTGTTTTATCTTCCTCAATACTACTAACGGCTTCTTTACCAATATTGAAACCAAATCTATAAATCTCGTGTGAAATCTTACCTGATGAGCGAAGAGATTCTGTTTCAGATGATGGACTGCATGTATCCGTATTCGGTAGCCAATCAGGCCGCTTTAATAAATAATAACCCAAAAATGTAATAGTTATTTAGTTGAATGAAAATAAAGAGAATTCAACAGAAAAATTTTTTCGACAAAACCAAAAGCTGCACATTCGTATTAAAAGTTGCTTGATAAATATATGGGTTTCCAAAAGGATAGAGATTGCACCATAAAGTAGTCCGAGATTTTAAATATGGTCAAGTCACTTAGTTGCCAGAGAAAAATAATTACCATGATGATGTTGACTTAGACACCAACAAAATAAATAGTTAAAAGATTGGCGTATGGAAACTAAGAGTATTTGATTTCGTATGAAATATATATATATATAACGCATCTACTGACGATTATGAATTTAAATTGTTTTGGGAAAACATGACTACAGTACTGAACAACGATAATAATAGACTATTTGAAGGCAAACGCAAAAGCTACAAAACAAAGCGCTTTACAGTAAAAAGGGTTATTGAATAGATAAAGAGCAAAAGCTGCAGGAAGTTGCTCGTTTATAGGAAACCTTTCCCATGACACATTCAGGAAGTTTAAATATCATTTTATCACTTACAACGATCTGAGATAATTATACAGTTGAAGGGAAACCTAGTAAATGCAAGAGTTGTAAAGAGTATTTTTACAGAATAACGGAAAGTAAATGAAGTAAAAGTGTGCTACTTTACTTTGACTTTGAAAAACTGTTGCATCAAAAAACAATAAGAACATACCTGTACTTCAGAGTCGCTAAAAGCTTCTTCTGAATAAAGATCATACAAGAAAACGGGGGCATACATATGACTGACAAGTAAATGTTTCCCACCAAGATCCGACGAAGGTAACTGTTTACGGCCAGTAGGTAACAAAAACTGAGTATGATCCTTGTCATAGATAGGTTCAAACTTGACGGACGTTATATGACCTGGTCCATAATTTAGTCTGAATGTTTTGTTCGAATTTATCTTCGCGGGTAAACCAAGAGGTCTAGCTACACGAAATGGAGTTGGTTGGGGTGGGTCGCCCACAGCTGCAGAGGAGGACACTGTAAAATTAGACGTAAGTTACTAAAACAATATGGATCCATAATTGAACGAATGTCAAGTAAAAAGTTATGTGAACAAGCTCTGATAATCACAACTGTCAAAAAGCGACGTTATCTAACAAAAGTAATATCGAGTGTTCGTAAGGTTATTACAAGCAATAAAACTGCTCTGTATGTTGCCTTTTGATTTGTCGTAAACGTTTTATTACAACCCAAATGTAAAGAAATTAATTAAATTGACTGGTTTACCAGGTACTTAGGTGTAGGCCACGCTCAAAGTGTGAGGGCAAATGATTATACCTGGTCGCACAAACGGGAGTAAGGTGGGGAGGGGTTCGAACCTGGAATGTAGTAACCGAATCACAGTTGAACCCCTAGACCACTGAATGAACACTCCGCTGAGCCTAAAATCCATATAGCAATAAACTGAGCATGTACAGAAGCACTGAAGATGAAAGATAACGGTAATGATTGTCAATTTATTATTGGGTACTAATTGAATAGTGGACTTACAAGTGGAAACGAGCTTCCGAATATCAAAAAGACGTACAAAACCGTCGGCTGTCGCCAGCGCAATTGAACAACATCCATTCAAAGGATGGATATCACCAGCAGTTACTGGAAAATGAAACTTTAACTGATTGACAACAGAAAAATTTGAAACCCATGGTGAGTTTGTGTTGTTGAAACATCCTCGACTACAACTCGAACTTTTGCGTACGACGGAAGTGGCTCTGGTATCCAGAAGAGTCGCTGAACGGTCATGAGATAGTGTTATAAAGCAGGTAGGCATTTCTTGCAAAGTAAGAATCTGAAAACAACACCAAAACGTTAGCCAAATAGCAATGATATAGTGTAAGTAAAAAGGTAGAAAACCAAACAAAAGTATGAAACATTTGAAAAGCAAGTAAAAATTGTCTTAGTCAACCAAACAACAAGGCAATTTATAGTGTTTAAAATGCAACTACCTAATCTTGTTTTAAGATTTGTTAGTGATAACTGATTTCTTCATTCACGTTGGTAAACTGATCGGCTTTATTAATACTCCTAATAGAGGTTGATTCACATCTTGAGTAAGCATCTTATCAATGTGAGCTTATCGTAATTTCAGGTACATAGGAAAGAAAGTATTTTCAAGAATATATGAAGTACTGAAACTTGACACACGCAAAAAAACAATTACGACAATGACTATGAATTTCTCTTATACAGACGCTTAAAAAACTGACTAGACGACATATCAAAAGTACATAACTTTTACTTATCCCTTGGTAGATTTTCTCGACTATATTTCATTAATGTCTAGCAGCAACACTAACAACTACCAGCTGAGTTGGTGTTTGATAACAAAATCACCCGGTAATGAGAAATACAAATGTCATTAGGAAATGAATTATCTAATTATTAAACGAACTCCTTGTTTTCGCCTAGACAGAACACTATACCGTTTTACCATTAAGACAGCAGCTAGTTTTCGAAAGGGAATACTAATTTCTTCAGGCGTTCCACTTTCAGTAGTGACTTTAATAGTTAGCACTCTAACTACTCGCCGTAGAACTTGTGTCGAAAATGCGGTATTTATGGGAGCACTGTCATAGGGATATAAATATACCTAAGATAAAGACAGTTATCGGGATTAATAACAAGTGAAAACGGAAACCAGACGTAAAATGTAGTGAACAATCTTATATGGACTTAAACTCACGTCATACACTGCAAAGGAGTGACAGAAAATATTCTTGAGACTATCCTTTATACTAGAATTAGGATTAACATGGGTAACACAACCGCATTTAAAGCCAACAACTATCTAAGGCAATTAAAAATTTAAATTGAACGTTACTTCGCTTCCACAGGAAAAAGGGAGAAACTTAGCTGTAAAGATGTTACTGTACGCGGGCAATTTTAAAGTATAGACGTTTTGATTTTCAGAATCCTGATTGACAAAAATCGTTGTTATTAAACTAATACAGTCAAGAGAACAAACTTGTGAAAAAGCGTTAGCAATAGCGATGCATCTGTCATCTGAACCCGACAAAATATACTCTCCATGATCGTCCCAACAGATAGTATTAACCTGAAATACGAGGTTGGTGAAGACAGCAGACTTACACAACCACTGTGATAGCATAACTCTGTCTTGACTTTCAGTGAGTGAAAGTAATACAAGTTATCTATTTCTTAGCCAAAGAGTAAGTGTCACTTACCTTTCCATACCCATTCTTTGTTCACTGAACCTAAAAACTCATAGTTTATTCGGCCTGAGTTCATCAACGTAACGCCCCATCTAAAACCGCCTCCAGCTAATGACCTCAAGACAGTGAAAACATCAAATAGTTTTGGGAGCACTGCAGCCTGGGAAACTTCTACTAGTCTTCATTACAGAATTCTCACTCTTGATGATTTCCGTCCGTGAGTTTTTCAGTAACGTCAACCAAAGTTATATAGCATTCAAAAGTTTATTTCAACTGTGCGAATCAAAAGATATGACTTATAAGTAGTAGAGCATACGTTTCAGAATGTCCTACACAGTTCCTTAGCTTAATATTTTCTCAGAACACTTTCAGGTTTGTTTGTTTATTGTAACGTATTATGATGAGCTTATGTATTTCGGATTCGTGCTCGTTTCTAATCACGAATTCAGTCTTAAAAATCATCTTATAATTATTTGAAAAAGAGATCTGACTCAAATTAGGGGTTAGATATCATCAGTACTATGGCCATCAGTAAGATCACTTATCGTGTTAAAGATGCCATAGATATTCAGAGTTTGCCAACACTTTAGTCTGTAACGCTTATATCATTGAAGAATACAGACCCGGTCAAATCGGAGGTCAGGGATGAATGAGTTCGAAGATATGACTTGTAAGCGGTCAATACTGAAGATATTGTAGTAGTATTGTAGTTTGACAACTCTTTACCAGTAACACCTATAATGGAGTCGCGCCCACCCAGTTAAAATCAGAAGTCAGGAGCTTAGGAGGTTGGAAGTTATATTAAATGCGTTATCAATATATCGAGACGCGACTGATCTAATCTGGCTAATGATCGTAGGAAATTTTTCCCACACCATTCTGTAACGTGATCTGGCACGGATCATGACTGAGCGCCTTCAGCTAAACAAGTTCATTAAAACTAATGTGGTCAGCATCCAATGTCGAACACTTAAAGAGCTATTGATTTTGGGGAATTATTTACATCTACAGATCACTCCCCTCCTAGTGATGACCCTAAGACGTGACCAGCCAGAAGTTTAAACTCGACGAGTTTGTCGTTGATAAACACTCTTCTGATAGCTTGCTATGTTTAGCAGCGTCTGGTCGTCTTTCCTTACTATAACGGGTCAAGAAATACAGTATAGTAATCGTAAAACAAAAAACAATAGAAATCTCGGTTCTTTATAAACTTCTTCGTTCTTTTCCAGCCGTCCTGGGAAGGAAAAAATTAGAATGTGTGAGTGCATGTCGAAATACACTCGTACTTGCATTAAGACACAGAGTGAACAGCAAAGAACAAGTAAGTAAACCAATGGGCTTGCGACAGCGTAAAAGAGACTGAAAAAAATAGGATTTTTTATATATATAAAAAAATATATATGCTCATAAGTAAAACAATTGCTTTTTGGGAATAAATAAATAAAAAGAAGTATAATATTTTTTTTATAATATCGGTATAAAGCTTGTGATCTACGAGCAATAGTCGTTTAAATGTTCAGTAAATCTTATTCTCCTTCCAGAACGCGTTGCCTTAATTTCATTTTCAGACGCTTATGGAGTATCAACGTGAGTGTCGGCTGTTGAATGGGGTTTAACGAGTGTAGGAGCCGTGTCGTTCGATTGTACCGAAGGAAAATCGACGTAGATAGGACTTCCTTCTTAGTACGCTGCTTTGAGGCGATCGATACTGATGGTATCGTTAGTGCCATTCTTATCGACTACATAGTACTTAAGTTCATGCTGAAGATCTTTGAAGGGTCCTTCATATGCTGATTCGAGGGGTCTTCGATGTGAGTCTCGTTGAACGAAGACTTGTGTATCATATCGCAAGTCAGGTTGAACGCAAACACCAGCTGATCGCGGTCGAGTGGTAGCAGGTTTAACTAAACGCGTTGTGTTTGTAAGCCTGCTCGTGTATGAGTTTAGATCCATGTTCATTGAAGAGGACAAAGAATCCACGAATTCTCCTGGAAGTTGGAGTGTTGTTCTATAAACGAGTTGAGATGCAGTGTATCCAATGTCAGCCTCCACTGAATTGCGGATACCTAGTAAGACGATTGGAAGAGTCTGTCCACTGTAAAACGTCTGCAGCTGATAGTAAGGCTTCAAGTTGTCGATGAAAGCGTTCTGCGAACGCGTTTGCTTGTGGGTGGTAGGCGGTCGTTCGGAAACGCGTGATTCCTAATAGTGTGGTCAGACAGCGGAAAATTCCAGATTCGAACTGGCGTCCGCGGTCTGTAGTGGTGGTTGAAGGGCAGCCGAAATTTGCTACCCATCGTTCGACGAAAGCGCAAGCCACTGTTTCAGCAGTAATGTCCTTAATAGGTACTGCTTTTGGCCATCGAGTGAAACAGTCTAAGCAGGTTAAGAGCTATGAGTATCCGTTTGAATCGGTAACGGCCCTAAAAAATCCAGATGAACATGTTCGAAACGAGCATCAGGGGTTTTGAAAGAGTCTAAGGGACATTTTAAGCAAGTAGTTATCAGGACTCAGTGACCGAGTGGATAACGCGATGGCGCTTGAAGCGAATGGTACTATGTTCGAGTCCCAGAGTGAACATCAACTCTGAGATGCAGGTACATCCAGCTGACGAGTCCCAAATAGAACGAAACGCGCGTTCTGGATTCCACTGCTAGTCACTTTCCATCTCTGCTTATCATGCTTGTGAACTAAGGCTATATCGAGGCAATACGCACAGTATGCACATACGCCAATTGGAGACTGACCAGTTGCAGTCCTAACACATCGGTGGGAAGATTCAAATAAAAAATACTAAACGAATCTAAGGGACATTTGTTGTGTCTTATGACCCTAGCTATCTGGCAGCTTACACAGATGCGCACCCACTCATTCACATACCAGGCCAGCAAAGCCGTTCGGCTATGAGCTTGATGGATGCACGAACACCTGGGCGAGACAGATTGAGCAATGTATTAAAGACGTTGCGTCGATTATGTTTTGGTATGATTGGGCGATCCCTACCTGTAGACGTGTCACATAGTAAGGTTTCCTTACCTGTCCCCATCTGTTTAATACGCAGTTTTAGAGTTGTCGAGGATAACTCATGCTGAGGAGCAATGTCTTCTTTCTGAAGCTGAGCGAGTTTAAGAAAGTCGATTCCAAGGAATCTGTTCAGGGAACCTATACGAGACAAGACGTCTGCAACTACATTGTTTGCTCCAGAAATTTGTTGTATGTCTGAAGTAAACTGCGAAATGTAGTCCAGCTGTCGAGACTCTCGCGGTGAGTACTTGTCTGAGGATGAGCTTAAAGAGAAGGTAAGAGTTTTATGATCGTTAAATAGCGTGAATTCCCTTCTTTCGATGGAATGTTGGATGTGCCGTAAAGCACAGTACGTAGCCAGGCGTTCCTTTCCGAACGTGCTGTACCTAGATTCACTGTCTAGCAACCGTCTCGAGAAAATCCTGAAGGTTGCCTAGAGTGGTTAACCCATTGGTGTAAGACTCCTCCGATTGCTCAGTCGGATGCGTCTACTGAGATACTAATGGGCGCTTTAGTCTCTTGATGTGCGAGCAGGGTTGCCTTAGCGATATGTTTCTTAACTGTGGAGAATGTTTTTCGCGCGTTGTCATCCAAAATGATGGATTTCCAATTTTCACGAAGTTGGTTGGCTAGATGTTTCATAAGGATGCACATTTCGGTATGAACCGTCTATAGAAACTTACAAGACAGTTGAATGTGCTCAATGACCTAATGGTGATCGGTTCTGGGTAATCCAGAGGCCGTATGCCTCAATAGTTTGTCCTAAGAAGTCTAGGGAGTTGGTTCCGATTTGGCATTTCTGTATGTTTACAGTAATGTCATGCCTTTGAAGTCGTTCGAAAGCAATGCCCAGATGCTGGAGATGGTATTCGCTGTCGAGACTTTCTATCAGACAGTCATCAACGTGAGAATGTACGAAGTTGAGGCCTCGGAAAACTTCATCTATGAACCTTTGGAACGTCTGGGCAGCATTTCTTAAGAAAAAAGGCATTCGCGTAAATTCGTAGAGTGCAAAAGGAGTTATGATAACGGTTTCTGGAATATCATCATCAGCCGTAGGGATTCGGTTATAAGCTTTAGCGAAGTCGATTTTGGAAAAGACAGTTGTACCTTTCAAGGTAGCTGTCAAATCGTGAATGTGAGGCAACGGGTAACGATCGAGAATGGTTTTAGCATTCAGACGCCGATAATCACCAGTTGGACACCAATCGTTGCTATCCTTTTTAGGGACCATGTGCAAAGGAGATGACCATGGGCTATTTGACGGTCGAATTATACTTGAGTTTATCATGTGATCGAATTCGTTTTTAGCCAATCTAAGGTTTTCGGGAGCCAGCCGGTGTGCTTTGAGAATACAGGTGGTCTTGTAGTCGTGATGTGATGTTTAACATTGCTGGTTACACACAGCAATTTCGGTTGCGGTTGATATATCACAGAGTACCTATCCAGTAATGGTTGATATAATGGGTCTATTGTGTGCTTAATTGTGACTGGAGATAATTTGCAACCAGACAAAGAAGTTACACAAAAGATAAGTTAGTGTTTCCGCCTACTAGCCTTCGTCTACGTGTATCAGTGAGTAGATTGTGGTGTTGTAGCAGGTCTATACCAATGATTGGCATAGAGACATCTGCAACCACGAAAATCCAGTGGATGGGTTTGCGTAAACCCACGTTAAGGTAGACGTACCTTTTCTCGTATGTGGCGATCGGCTTTCTGGTCGCTGCCTGTAAACTTAAAACAGACTCGCAAAGCCTGTTGTTAGCATTAACATGAAGAACGCTGACTTTTGCGCCAGTGTTGACGAGGTAGCGAACTTTCATTGTCGCATCCGCGACGTATAACAGACTAATGAATATGCTTCCTACCATACTAAGGAATATGAATATTTACTGTTTTTGAATATGGAGTTGATCCGACATATATATATATATATATATATATATATATATATATATATAGCCTTCAATAATGCGTAGTTCTAGTCCTAATTTCATTTCTTAAACTTTTCATATGATTAAATGTAGTTTAGGCAATCATAGTAAAAATAACTCAAACGCATTTCAAAAATGGAAAAATAATTGTTTTTAACAAATTAATTTATTAAAAGACCTACTTTGTTATAGTTTCTTTCTTATCCCATAGGTCTTAGATGTTTTTCGTCGCATTACTTTTAAATGCTTGTCAGACTAGTAATATACTACTTATAGGTTTATAAGAAATTGTATAATGTTACACTCAACAATATTTAGGTCCACGTGAAGTGCAAATGGTTTCGGACGAACAAATCGGTTTTATTTATTTTAGAGTAAAGATTTACAGGACAAAATATGTGTCAGAAAGCTAATCTTTTCTAGATGTATGCTAACAACTTATTTATTTTATTTGACATGGTAATTCAAAACATTTTGCAAACATATACTTTTGATAAGGACTTTATCTTTATTAACGGATTTTTACTGTTTTGAATAATAATTTGAAAACAATTTCCTACTGAAAGAAGGATGTTTATTTGAAGTATAGAAGGAGTACAGGGTGATGGGCCATTATGATAGCTATATTGGTCTAACTACGTTTACTTCATTTAATAAAACGGCAACACTCTGTAGATTAATTTGAATTAATAATTAGGTAAGATTGAATATGTGAAAGCAATGCGTTTTTAAATAATGGTGGTAATAGGCATCTTATTTTTAGAACTGGAACATAAATGTTGGATCATAATACGTTAATCAATTTGAAGGTGAGCAGGACAAATATTCTTTATTGATAGAAGCTAGTATTACTAGAAGATAACGACAAAATTTTGTAGTTTGCAGTTCTGAGTCCTGCTGTAGTAGATTTGTATATGGAGCTTCAATTCTATGGCTGTAAGTATTAATCAGTTAATGAGCAATAACAAGTGTCGCATTGTTTAATCGCTACACCACTCTTCTGAAATTTAAAAATCCGATCACTGCGTTATGTATATAAAGATAGTGGTACCTTTTATTTTCACTTGAACTGATGAAAGTAAACAAAAAGACACCTGGCTAAATGAAGATATTTTCGTGTAAACAGATCAAGTGGGTTTGTATTCATGAAAGAGCATCAATTCTCTTACGATTGCAGATACATTTTGATGATCAATGATAACTAGGATATAACTTTGGAAAAGAGCTTTTAACTATTTCTCTCTGAAAGCAATGCACATATTATGAAACTTATTATCATAGTTTATATTTGTATGAAGTGAGCGTATCTACTTTACTTAATATTTGGATTAGAATAAAACAATAGTTGATGAATATATTTTTCTGGTAGCCGTAATCAAAATGTTGTGTTCAGATAGATATCAGTATTTTATTCAATCATAAGCTATAAAAATACAAATGATATTTAATGTTAGCTTACTGTTAAAATACTATAGAATTCGATACAGGGGAGTATTACTTTCATTACCGTATACTAGTAAGCGGACAAGAGAAACTTTTAAAATAAATAATACATAATACACATTTTATAACAATGTCTAGTTTCACTTCATCTATGAATATAATTAACCTGTGGGGTGTCAATTTCGGTTTAAAAAAACGTCAATTACAAGTAAAGTAACGAAAACTAATTTACCAATTTCTCATTTAGCATACATTAAAATTCAATAACACTGGGATATGGAAAAGCATAACGTTTATTACTGATTGATAGTAAACGATAGACTTATATATATATATATATATATATATATATATGGGTGTATACATATCTGAGAATGGTACATATACGATTGAATCGATAAACTCGATAAACCTAAAACTCTGGAAATAATGTCATACACAAAAAAACAGATCAAAAGAAAAAAAGATTATTTAAAAAAAATGAGAAACATACAAGAATATAAACAAAATGAAAACTGATCCATAATAAGAAAAAAGTAGATGGAAAGGAAAAGAAGATCAATGAAGAAAACAAAATCCCTAACAAGAATGTATCACAAACGTAAAATGGGGGGAAAAATTGAAAAATGAAAGAAAACTTTTTTATTTAGGGAAATTAATATCTTACATGGATATATATATATATATATATCAGTAAATAAATTCACAGTAGTTGTATTCGGTAAAGATCCTCTTGCTCTGTGGGAAACAGGTTACTTCGAATTAAAAAAAGAAGTGCTATACAAAACACTATTACAATCATTATTATCAGTATACATTTATTCAGTAGTATATATATATATTTTTTCTCATTTAGTAAATGCATTTTTGTTTCTCTATCTTGTTTTATTAATAACCAAGCCTCTATTGTTGATAGTTCGTTTTCTGTAATATCTATATTTAGGTGTGTTTACAGTGGATTTGTAAAGGAATTCAACAGTATAAAAAGATTAAAAATAAGAGGACTTATATTCTGCAATTAAAATAAAGAGAAATCAACTCATATAATGGTCGAATGAAGCTAAATATTCAAGAGTAGCTGCATAACAAAATGCATATTGATCAGATGTTTGTATAGCATTGATTCGTTGTGTACGTAACATTCTTGTAATCAAAAACATATCTACCATACCTTCAGATCTCATTCTGTCTAACAAAATGCTTAAACATATAAATACACCGGTTCTTCCTGATCCCGTACTATTTGAATGAAATGAAATAAGAAATCAAACATTATTTAGGTGAAATAATGACAAAGAATTAAGTACAATTAACAAACTATACGTAAAGTTGTCTCAGTTATAGGGAACTTAATAGCTAACTGAATTCTAGAAAATTTTCAGAATAATCATGGATATTGACTACGTAAGTAGGCATGTCATGGAGCTATAAATATTCTGTGCACGTCACTGACAAGTTGGCTTAAGTGTTTTGATTATAACTATTTTTTTTTACTTATCACAAGACAAATGCTTACCGAAGAATGGCAAGTATGTTATCTAATAGCCTGTGAAACTATGCACTTGATTAATTCGTCAAATGTTTTCTTCAAAATCAATGAAATTTACTGGAGATACTGACAGAAATAAAGCACTTTTAAAACTGTACATTCAACCACAAAAATATCCAAATTGCACATTGTTTGAAACAGTAATACTTTTCAACACTTCAAGTTAAATATATATTGAACAAAACTAAATGTGATCATCTTTTATATCTTCAGGATTCATAACTTACTCTTCGTAGAACGGATACTTTCCACTACAAAGTAATATTTTTATGAGTATTAACTATTAGTTAAGTAAACAACTGATAATTAATTATTTTGTTAGGTCTTAAAAAAGAAATTAAGTAAGCTGGTAAAAAATCAATCTAATTATTTACAGGTATACAAACTATCCAAGGTTTACTTACTTGCAGTGCACAGTTATAGGACCATCTTGTCCAAATTGAATTTGAGTTTTATGCACTTGTCCAATTAAGTCAATAATAGCTTCGGCAGATTTAGGTACTATACTGTCATGTGGCCATCCATGAAGTTGAAATTGCCTTAAAGTACGTGACTGACCATCTATTGTATTAGTTAATCGAAATTCACGTAATATGAAATGTGGCATATTATACTCAACCATAGGTTCAACCATTAAATTTTGATATCTTGTCGATCTATCACTTGGCCAATATTGATTAGTATCTGTTGGTATTAAATTCATATCTCGAGAATCACTAAATGCAACTATTATAGGTGAATTACATTCCCAAATTAATCTCCAAAAATCATCTACTGTATTCGGTAAAGGTGTTTGTGTTGCAATATAAGCCCGACTCTTACGATATCCATCTATGTAACTGGCATTAATATAATCTGATCCATTTACTCCACGGATTAATGACAAACAGACACGATTAGATTCGTAGGGGAGTATGTCTAAATCACGGTTTTTTGTTTTGTTATCATATGTCAGGGCTGTAGTTATTTGACGTTTATTTAGTAAATTACGATTTAATCTCTGAAAAGTAGAATAATTTAAAGAATTGAATAAAGCAAAAGGAAATAAACAAATAGCTATAGATCATTTCTCTACAAACTAACCATCAGCCAGATAAATTATCACCGAGAACGATATATTTTTATTCAGGATAATCAATAAACAGGGAACCTCTTAATTTAATACTAATGATTAGGATCAAATATATCAGAATAAAGATTTGAAACACTGATGGCAGAGGTTGACAATGACGTTGTATAGCAAAGTGACAGAGGTTAAAATATTTATCATTCAATGCATACTTAATAGTCTAAATGGATATTATTAACCACAAAGCTTAAATGTTCAGAGTTTGATTCCTGTAAACTTTGGTCACTTAACTATTTGGTACTTTAACATGGTTACAACTATTTTGTGTATATATTGTTAAGAAATTAATTAAATGAATTGTTACGCCCAGCTGTTTTACTTAGCAAATTTTTATTAAGCTAATATATAGCCTTTGTATTTATTACACTTGTATATCCTTGGAGACTTCGTTCAGTATTCATTAACTATTTGTAATTACACTAACAGAATGTCATGTTTTATATATTTCATATCAAACTTTACATCTTGATGCTTCAAGTTTCTTAGTTGATTTAATATTCAAGGGATGGTTGAAGCAACATCTTTTTCTTTTCTTTCAAACGTTAACATCACTAGTTTTACAGTTTTGTCTCATTTCTTAGTATGAGTCGAAAAAAATTTAGTATTAAAACAATTATATAAGTAAATTAATTTCAGTTTAAATAAAATTCAGTTGGGCATAACTTAAAACTATCAGATGGGGTTTTGTAAAGATTTCAGTATTTTCATAGTTGAAATCATGAGTCAATTGAAGCTAGACCACCAACGAAAACCTGGAAGCACTGAACGGCCGTTCCCTCCTAATGTGGGACTCCTCAGTAGTGCGCATTCACGATCCCGCCTCACAAGATTCGAACCCAGGACCTACCAGTCTCGCGCCAGACCACTTAACCGATAGACCACTGAGCCGGCATCCAACGGTGTTAATGTCTAACTTCAACCAATCCACGAAGTTTGAGCAACCGTCGACCATTGTCTTCAGTGAGTTGATATTTCACAACAGACCTGGTTAAATTTCACTGGCCACTGCTTCCCACTAAAACTCCAGGAAATATTTCTTGAAGTCAGTCACTAGCGACCAAATGATTATAATCAGAAGGGGACTGGTAGGTCCTGGGTTCGAATCTCACGAGGCGGGATCGTGGATAGGCACTGCTTAGGAGTCCCATAATAGGACGAAACGACCGCCCAGTGCTTCCATGTTTTCCATGGTGGTCTAGCTTCAATTGACTCATGATTTCAACTATTAAAACTATCATCCTGAAAACAAACAAACAAATACAATATGATATTATTTGCAGCTAAATTAAAACAAACCATCATTCATACGTTTCTTTAGAAAAAAACGTGTACTTACTTTAAATTCTAATTCTAAACTTGAAATTTTTATCGATGATGTCAAATGATTATTATCTTGTAAACCATTTGGTAATAAATTATAACCAGCTAAAACACATGTTGGTACAGGTTGACGTAATTTCACAACATGATTATATAATCCATGTGCTGTAACTTCAGTACCATGTACTTCAGCTGCTTCAATAAATACATCGTAGAGAAATGCATATTGTTCTTCTGTTTGTACCATGAAATTTCTTTGTGCACGCATTCTACATACTGCACCAAATATATCAACTGAATTTTCATGTTTAAGTCGTTCAAGCTGAGAATCGATGACGATGAATGCGCCTAATAATAAACGTTATTTAGTTGAAAAAAGTTTATTAGAAGTATTTAATAGAATTCTGTGCATATGTTTTAAATGAATAAAGTAAGTCATAAGAGACTCCCTAAAGATGGAGATTTGTAGCTAAGGTGGACGATTTTGATGGAGTTTTGTTCTCTGAGCTGGATGGTTAGGTCGTGGAGCTTTCATCGTCCTTCTGAACGGCATCATCAGCACAAACTCCTCAATCTATTTTGATGGTTGTTAAATTAAGTGGTGTGTAAGATTCATTTATTTTACTTGAGAATAATGAATTTACTAGAGACATGTGATTGAAAAGATCTTTAACATAGTATTACTTCGTTTTTGTATGAACTGCCAGCAAAATATTGGGATAAATAGTTACAGAAAGAAGTTGATATTAGGAAACAGGACAAAAAACTACCGATCGTCCATCAAATCAAATTTATATATAATAGAAAGGATAACCAAAAGAGATAGGAGCTCTAACGATTAAATTTAACTATTCAACATATAACAGTATGGTATCAAAACACTCAATTCAGTGGTGATGATAAATAAAATTTGTTTTAGGTACATTTTCAATTAGACCCATATCGGGTTTTACTCTAATATACAATAAGATTTATATGCATATATGAAATTATTAAACAAACTAGTACACCCGTCATCATACTATCAAGCTGTACATTTCATGTATTGGGTTTAATTATGCAATCTATTCCACTGTTATTACTGACTCACAAATTACCTTGATTGGTTTGACATTTTTTCTTATATACATGTAAATATTATTGTATACTGGAGTAAAAGTTTGATGAAGACCTAATTCAGAATCACTTTGATTGCATATTCATTTATTTATTTAAACACATAAATATTGGTACAAGGAAGCACCAGATAAATATGCGCCTAACAAATGTCATTTGATTTGTGTGAGGACTGTGATACTGCTCAGGTGCCCAGACTGAAGCAGGTGGTTTTCTTAGGTAGCCACACCTCATTAACAATACAGGGATTTCAAAATCTTGAGTAAATTTGCTGATTATTTTTTGTTGTTCAATCAGTGACTGAACTCCACCTGTAGCTCTTCTGTAGTTGCTGATGGCCCCAAGTACTGGCAAAGTAGGAGGGCTAGGCATGGGGGTCAGCAACCATGGCCTGTAGAAAACAACTCAACTAAAAAAATAAACAAATTAAACTATTTATACACTGTCCTACGAGTTGAAGGAAGAATTATTACACCTCATGATGAAAGCAAAGATTATTCGGAAGTCAAGAGGCCGATGCCCATTCTAACAATTAGAACAACCATTATTATAAGTAGATGGAATGTCCGGACAATGTAGGAGACCAGAAAGACCGATCAAATACCTATGAGGAGACACAACTTGATAGTTATCGTAATGAACGTAACCCTTTGAACCCAATCTGGATAGAAAAGATTAGATTTGGGGGAGATGCTGTTGTACACTGGCCATAAAGAAGAAAATGATCCACGCACTCAGAGAATTGCTCTGATGCTCTCCAAGGAACCAAGAAAAGTACTGATAGAATAAGAATCTTGTTGATCCAGAACCATTAATTTATCATTGGAAAAGAAGATGGAGGGAATCACAACGAATGCTATTCAGTAGTATGCACCCATCAACGATAGCGATGAAGACGAAAAAGATAATATTTATGAGACACTACAGTCGATCGTAGAGAAGTGCACAGAAAATGACCTGACCGTCCTGGGAATGGACTACACCGTATATGAAGAAATCATAGGAAAACATGGACTGACATGGATTAATGAATGAAAATGGTGATATATTTGTCAATCTATGTTCATTCAACAAAGTGGTTATAGACAGCACAATATTCACCCACACTCACACATACACAAAGCTACATGCGTCTCACCGGATCACACGACACACAACTAGATCGATCGTATTTGGATAAGTAAAAATTCAGAAGTTCAGTGGAAGACGTGTGAAGCAGGAGAGGAAATAACGTGGCTTAAATCACCATCACTTGGTGGTTGCTATGGTGAAACTGAAGCTAAAGAAGCAGTAGACCTTAGAAGAAACAGTATGACAAAGTTTCAATACAGTCAAGTCAACGGATTCAACATGGATCTCAACAACGGCTTCCAAACCTCAAAAATCTACTGAAAGAAGAGGAACCTACCATGAAGGACAATTAGAAATGGATGAGAGAAGCAGTTAATTCAACATATTGAGAGGTGCATGGCCGCAACAGGCATCATCATGAAGAGTGGATCTCTATGTTGACCCTGGACAAGATTCAAGCAAGGGAAAACTAGGAGACATAAGTTAACAAGAAGAAGAACGAGAATAGTCGGGACACAAGTTGAATACACAGAAGCAAACAAGAGATTGAAGGTGAGCATTAGAGCTGACAAGCATAAATACGCGGGAGAGCTAGCAACGGCAACAGGAAACGCCGCAAGAGAAGGAAATGTGAGACAACCATATAATACAACGAAGAAACTGGTGGGTAATTATAGTAAACTTGAGAGACCGGTCAACGAGAGAGAAGGCAAGCTAGTCACTGACATTCAAGAGCAGAACAACAGATGAGTAGAGCATTTTGAATAACTCTCGAATAGGCCAGCTCCATTGAATCCACCAAAAATCGAAACACCACACACAAATCTTTCTATAGATGTCACTCCACCAATGATCGAAGGAATCAGGGTGGCCATCAGGCAAATGAAGAGTGGGAAAGCAGTAGGACCTGACAATGTACTAGCCGACGCACTAAAGTCAGACATAGAAGTAACTGCAAGTAGGATAAGTGCCGACAGATTGGAAGGAGGGATATCAGGTATATCAAGATACAAAAGAAAGCTGATCTGAGCAAGTGTGAGAACTAAGGAGGCATCACACTACTAGCGGTACCAGAAAGCATTTTCAACAGAATGTTCCTCTTTCATAAGGTTTATCAGGCGTAAGTAAGTAAGTAATTAGTGACTGGGATGTTTCCGTGATTTAAAAAGTTTTAAGTTCTAATAATTTTATCCCATTCCTAATTTTTTATTGAAATTCGATCCTCTTTATTTTAATAAGACATTAGGTTGATTATCTACACTTATTAAAGAGTCTGCTTCTTTAAAAGGAGATGGTAATTTGATAAATTCATTCAGAAATTATCGTTTAAGTCTAAGCCAAGTCAGAAAAGTGAAGTAGGAAGTGAAATTTACGATTTCTGACCAGGCTTTTCATGGACGTAAAATATTTTAATTGTAGCAGGAAAATATCACAGATACTCATCCCTTTATTTTCCTATTTGTAAACGATAGGATCTATCTAGTTAAAAACCAGTTAGATTGTTGAATGTCTGACCAACATTAATTATTGATTTTGTCAGGACAATGAAATGAATGTCAGGGTTAGTTAAACATATGCAGAAGTACTGAAAGTACTGTAAAACGTAAATAAATGTTTTAGAAAATGATACAAGATTACCTGTACGACCGACTCCAGCTGAACAATGTACAATCAAAGGTCCAATTTCATCGGAAAGGTTTAAATTCATGGAATTATGAATATCACTTGATTGTGATAATTTTAATTCTCTTGAATTAACTTTCTCATCATTAATTAAACGTTCTTGTTGTAGATGATGCATTAACTGTGAACGTACTTGACCAACACGTCGTATAAACAATAGTAATGGTTGAGGATAATCTGGTGTACCATAATCAGGCCATGCTGTGAATTGGAACTGTTTAATCTCACGCTGTTCAATATTCATATTGGAATCATTAATACTCCGATGTTGATTGAAGGCAACCGAATCAGTTTCTAATAAATTAGTTTCATAATTACGTTGTAGAATAAATGTGCGCAATGTGTAATAAGCAAATTCTTGTATACTTTTTACAATCACAGTATATGTAGGCACTGAGGTATAATCAATATCATAATTTATTTTACTGTTATACTCCTGTTGTTGGGATTGTTGTTGTTGTTGTAAAGTAAATACTTCTTTTCCTCTATTTGGCCAATATTGATCACACTTAATACGTGCTCTCTCTTCTAAATGTGTCATCATAACAATTACGCGACTATTTTGCTCCCATACCATTCGCCAAAAATCATAAAATGTACCTGGTAATGGGCCCTAAATAAATACCAAAAAAAATGTTACGCATATAATCGTAAAGATAGATTGATTCAGAAAATTAAATAAAATCAACTACTTAGTGGACTCACCTTCAAAAGTGTTTGTATGTGACAAGTTTAAAATTTCTTACTCGTCATTTGATTTTTTTATACGTTGTAATGTGATCCTAGTTAGTGACTATAATTTATGATCCTTGTGGTGGAAAACGAGACTCATTTATACAAAATAATATTTAGATCAAATTTATCATGATCGAAAAAGTTTATACTTTATTTCGAAATTTGTTTAGATACATTTCGTTAAATTTGTAAATTTTTCATTCCTTTTCTTGTTTATGTGATCCACTATTTAACATTAGAAGATCATTATAAAGTAAACTCGCTAAACTATCTATTTCGTTGGGATTTTAAGTGCTAACGATATCTGATATAAAATGTACCTGAAAAAAATACACATTGGACGGGATGATCTAACTTTGACGACAATGAACCTCGTAATTTTTAACAGTTAAATTCATTTGGATCCAGAGATTCTCAAGTAAGCACAGCACTTTTATCTCACAGTTCATCCTCATCTTTTATGGTTGTCAAACGGCAAACTTTCAAGAATCTTTTATTTTTAGTAAATTTTTCTTCAATAAATATCGCTGCAGTATACATTATAGTCTAGAGTGAATTAGGTGTTATACCACTGACTTTCCGAAGAAGATTAAGACTCTGAAGTGTGAACTTTCAACTTACGAAATTAATTACTTCCCCAGAATTACCAAATGATAATAGTTTATTCTGAATAACTATAAGTTATATGAAGTGAATCAATTTATATGTAAGATTAAATATCAAATGTTTAATCTACATAGTGTGAAATACAGTTCATGATTGTGGTTACATATATCTCCTATATAAAGTTAACATTATGTTCATTCTAACATATGAATTCGATTGGCTTACTAACATTATTCATTTCTGTGTTTTCAGTAACATTTATACAGTGAGACATTGTGCTAGCATAACTGTTCCTAACAAAAATAACGCCTTAACATTTTTTCTGCAATGATACTTAACGAGAAATAAAACGAATTAAAAAAACTGGTGGTCATTTTTGTGTCACACTTTGTGGCAGCACAACCGAATTATGAAAACTGAAGAAATTAAAACAGGGTTTGAAGCTACAATCTACTAGTTGAGAGCCAATTTTATTATTAACTAATCCACTGACATTCAATGTTGAAATCTAAATCAACTGTCTCAAACGTGACATGTGGCTAAAACATATTCTAAAGATGTTTTACAAACTTTTATGACAATTTATAACACTGTGAGTGTTGTTGAAGACTGATAGTTTTATGCCTAGAAGATTTTTCACTGATTTTATCAGAACTGAGCAATATATATGTCTCCAATATCCTCTTATGATATATTAAAGATATTTTGTGGTATTTTTCAACATGAATCGCTCTAATTTTTAAGTCATCTTGTTGAAATACCAAAAATAATGAAAAAATATATTTAGGATTTTGAAAATAGATACACGGTCACTACAATTGCAAATGTTCCTTAAACTTTAATAGATTGTCGTTTCTTTTCTCAGAGTAGTTTGGATAACAGAAGACTTAAACTGACGTTTGTGCATGATTTCTATTTTATAAATAATCATTATGTTGTGTTTCTTTATTAATTTACTTATTAGTTCTTTAAACAAGATATAACTATTAAACAACATACCAGAATAACCTTTCAGTAATAATGATTTAGATGTACTATACAGTGAGTCTCGTAAGTGTAGTACCACTTGACCGGTATGGAAATGAAAACAATAATAATTGGAGTAAGATTAGATCTAAGTAATTTTATCATATTCGGATGAGAAATAACCTATTTGGAACTAACTGGAACACTTTTCGTAATTGAAGTTTCTAATGTAAAGATCAACTGCCACTGTGATGATAGATGAAATTTATACATGAAATTATATTTGCAAAAAATAGAAACTCATTTCATTATGATATCGAGAAATACACATCATTTACCTGAGTTGCAATATATGCACTTTTCTTCTGATATCCGTCTATAAAATTAGCATTAATATAATCAGAACCTGGTATACGACCGATCTCGTTAAGAACTACACGTGACTGATCATATGCAATGATATTGGCATAACGATTTTTTGGTCTATTCTCTTCCATATTGGCATGTTTCCATGTTAGGTTGTTTGGTGCTTCAATACTTTCATACTCTTCTGATATACCTATTCCACTGTCACGTTTAAGCGTAGCTACATATTCTGGTAAGCGTAATATCGGTATTGCTGAACGTATCGGTGTATGTACTGGTGTAGGATTGTCTAGAAATGAGTAAATCAAAAAAAAACTTATTAATTCAATTCATTTTCAGTAGATGGAGATTGATGCACGCAAGTAAGCTTTACAATTTATCAGAATTTCAACCCTTCTATTCTTTGTAAGCAAATAGCTGGCTGAAAATTTCAGTTTGAGATTATTTTCTTTGTTTGGTAAACAATGTGAATTTTCAGGGTGTTGAAACTTAAAAAAATGATTATTGAATTGGAGATTGTGTTAATTCATAAGTTTCAAAATTATAATCACTTAAATCATACTGAAGGAATTACAATGCATTATGAAATAACGCTAGAAAAAAATCACAAGCAAACGTGAAAGTACTTAGTACTTGATTATCCTATTATCCAGTGTATTTTACTAGTAAGAAAGAAGTTATGTTAACATTATTAAAAAACATAATACATTCAGAATGCATTCAATGAATACTAGTCCAAGTAAGAAGCTTTCAATTTGTTCTGAAGCATATTCCAATACTGAGTTCAACTATTATGCAGTGAAAATACTTTACATATTTATACCGCTGGATATTAGATACATATGAAATAAAATCCACTCAACATATTTGTAATAACATTTATGTAAGTATTATGCAGAAACTAATGTATCAAATCACTGTTAAATGCAGTCGATCTCTGTACGTTTACCATTTGTGTTAAGTAATGGATTTTAGCGGTAAGTTTTTTGATGATTTTCTTCATGTTTGTCTTTAATTTTCATCAGTTTCTTATTAATGCTCATTAGTCAATTAAATGTTGTTTTGTTCAAAATAAATTTAGATATTTAATTTATGATGTTTGGTGATTTCTACAGTGGTTTTTCATTTAGTGATTTGTCCAATTCTAAAGAATCTTATACTATGGAAAGACAGTTGTATAAGGTTCATATGTTTTCCATAGTTCTCCTATTTACTTCGTTTGTTAATAAAAAAACACTAATAAAATTTATTTCATGATTACAATAAAAATTGTATCTTTTGACAAAAAGAGATTCATAGTAATAGTTATGAGTTAAGTGTAAGATAGTGTAAAACTTTGCTAAACGTGCTAGGTTGTTGTTGAATAAGCTTGATAGCTTTCAGCATTATATTTTTGTATGTATATACGACAAGATATCAGAAGTGAATATTATTGCATTATTATATGAAAAATAGTTTAATGGTAACGTCTCTGTGAAGCTGGCTGAAACGTGGTCGAGTCCGTCAGGGAGCATCAGTTCCCTCGAGATTACAGGTACACATTGCTAACGAGTGCCAAGTGGCACAAAACCTAGATCCAGGGTTTCCTGTTCACTACCTCCAACCACCATCTTATCTCAACATAGTGCACGCAATATCAAATCACTAGACTGGTGGGCACATTGCAACTTGGTCGATAAGATTCGATCTGCACTAAGAAGGACCTGACATACATGACATTGATCACCAGCCAGTGATCAATCAATTGAAAAACAAGTGATTTCAAAAGATCAACAAAAGCCAACAAGTTATTAATTCAATTAATAAAGTTATTAGATCCAACCGAAATCAGATTGGCATAACATACAAGAACTCCGATGACAATTTCTAGGTAAAGAGTTATGAAAATAACTTGACCAAAAGCTTTAGTATTAAAATAGTGAATTAATAAACCTATAAATACCTGAAGTTCCCGAGTATTTATAACGCAGCGGCATTCTACCTATCAGTGCACTAATATATGTTAAGTAACTGTAAATATGATTGTACAGTTTTAATAAATGACATCATTTAAAAGGAACTTTCCCATTTTTAATAATCATATTGGTGAACGGTCGCTCAAAATCGTGGATTGGTTGAAGTTAGACATTAACACCTTTCGGTGCCAGCTCTCTGGTCTATCGGATAAGGGCTCCGGCTCGAGACTGATAGGTCGTGGTTTCGAATCTCGCGAGTGCGGGATCGTGGATGCGCACTACTGAGGAGTCCCATAATAGGACGAAACGGCCGTCCAGTGCTCCCAGGTTTTCGATGGTGGTCTAGCTTCAATTGACTCATGATTTCAACTATGAAAATACTAAATTCTCCACAAAACCCCCTCTGATCTATAATCATATTTCATCAACAGTTGAGACCTTTTCCTTTAGTTGTAATAAAGTATGTCCGGATATTTAAAGTGCTTCAAAATTGAAGAACTCATCTTTCTAAAGCATGACATGAGATCCAAATGACTCACTAAGGAACAGTTTCAGTATTCCATTTAAGATTAATTAGCTGAATTAAAATTAAAAAAAAACGTATTTCCGAAAAAATCCAAAAACTGATGGGTTAATAAACACAACAGTTAGAGACCTACTGTTATAGGCGAAAATAAATCAAGAGCTGATAATGAAGCTGTCTTAGCTTGGTGTTTTTAAACACTTTTTTATTGAAAGACATATATTTAGATGTAGAAAGGAGTGTTCCGTTGAACTGTGCATGGTGCTAAAGAATCCGAACTCTCAAAACAATTGGTCTTCCTGGTAAATTTGAATAATAAAGTTCAAAGACGGAAATTATCGGAAGTATGCGATACATTAGCTTAATGAAGTTGTTTAGTTGATATTTTTTATTTCATATACATAGATCTTAGCAAATATACGTATCCTGAGATTGTCCGAAATTTAGTACACCAGCATATTACATCGTTTTAGTACTCTTTGTCTCTAGAACAAATTAACTGAATTCCGGATTCTGCTAGTTTAGATATGCTTGACCAATATAAAATTATAAGTAAGTAATTTCTACATAAATGATTCATGTTCGTGAGAAATTATATTAAGTTACCAATCATACAAAATAATTGAAGTACTAATAAATTTGATTATCCAGTATAAGTTTCATAAATTGCATTAAAAACATCCTTTCTGGTAAGATAAACACAGTATCCAGAATAAGTTTTTCATAGATATCATCATCAAATTAATTATTTATGGTATATGCATGTATGCTATTTAAATTTTGTTTAAAATGTACTGTTAAGTAAACAGTTTAGTTCAAATATATGAGAGAGAAAAATAATAAAACAAATGGAATGCTTGTTTACAATGTCGATTTCAAACATAAACGTAATCACAAAACTAGATAATTGTGAAATTTGAACTCTGCCTATAGCTCTTCTAAGGTTATTACCAGTACCAAGACCGGGTAAAATAGAAGGGTTGGGAATGGTGTCAACAACCATGTCCTGTAGAAAACAAATGAACTATAAAAGACGCTAGTCAGACAAATGATCTAAACCTATCCTGGATGTTGAAGGATCGCCATTTCCAAGAATTATGACGCCAAAGAATTAAAGTCGAAATTATTCGGAAGTCGAGAGGTCGATGCTCATTCTAACAACCAGAACATCTATTAAAGTAAATACATGGAATATCCGGACAATGTAGGAGACCAGAAAGACTGATCAAATACCTATGAAAATGAGGGGACACAACTTGACAGTTCTCGTAATAAGCGCAACCCATTGGACCCAATCTGGATAGAAAAGATTAGATTTGGGGGAGATGCTGTTGTACACTGGTCATGAAGAAGAAAATGATTTAAACACTCAGAGAGTTGCTCTGATACTGTCCAAGGAGGCACGAATAGCATTGTAAGATACAATTATTCATCAACAGTTGTCTACGCAAAATACTCAACATTCACTGGCCTTATACTATCAGCAACATCCTTCTATGGAAGAGGACAAACCAGCTTCCAGCTTAAGAGGAAATTAGGAAAAGACGTTGGAAGTTGATCGGACATACGTTGAGGAGATCATCAAACTGCATCACGAGGCAAACCCTAACTTGGAATTCTAAAGTGAAGCGAAAAACTGGAAGGCCAAAGAACACATTGAGTAGGGAATCAGAAGCAGATATGAAAAAGAAGAATAACAACTAGAAATAAGTGGAAAGGATTTCCCAAGACAGGTTTGGATGGAGAATGCTGGTGAGAGGTAACAGGCTAAATTAAGTCAGTAAGTAATTGTAAATTGGCTCTTTCCTAGGTGTTGTTTTAAATATATTATTAGTCAATTTTCTTACATGTATTTAGTTTTTTTTAAAGAAACTAAACATTTACTGAATAGTATAAATAAACGTTAATTGTGCACTGTTTAATTTTGAAATGTCATTTTTGTCGGGTTCCTTCTGTTCATGAAATCTAAATAAGATACAACGGTTATTCTCTAATCAATAATCTGAGGGAAGGTAAGCGAACTAATACAATTTATTCTTATTTATTATATTTTTGTGTATGTAGGTATATACATATAAACATATAACATAACCCTAATTTCTCCATACATACATTCAAAAAATATTTTATATTATTTAAAAAGTAAGATTGAAGTAGCGTGATCCCACGGAAGATATTCCTGTATATTCGCGTTGTTATAGCGGGACATTATAGGTTTTCAATATTTTTGATATTTTTTTCTTTAAAACAAAACCAAACAAACTTCGGAGATTATAATGAGATCTATGATAATGATCATTGGGGCTAAGGGAAACTTCAATAAAACTGTATTAATAATGATGTTTATCGAATACGATTGTTGAAATATTGACAAAATTCGCAAGCATGGTAAGCCACTATCCATCTTTGCTTACCATGCTTGTGAATTAAGGCTATATTGAGGCAATACGCACAGTATGCATATATGCTAATAAGAGACTGACCAGTTGCAATCCTAACACATCGATGGGAAGATTCATACAAACAATACTAAATGAATTTGAGCTTCACCTCATCGCACAAGCAAGTGGCTATCAGGACTCGGTGGCCGAGTGGATAACGCGATGATGTTTGAAGCGAAAGTTACTGGGTTCGAGTTCAAGAGTGAACATCAACTCTGGGATGCAGGTACATCCAGCTGACGAGTCCCAAATAGGACGAAACGCGCGTCGTGGATTCTACTGCTAGCCACCATCCATCTTTGCTTACAATACAGTGAATTTGTTTAATTTATCTTAAATGATACGTTAATTCTATGCTAAATGGTTATTAAATTGTTATTGAATATTACGGGAATAAGGAAGCGTGTTTTTTAAAATGATTCGAATCGCCTTTCACAATGTGAAATTCCTACAGGATTTTGATACGTTATATTAACATTCGATTACTACTTATTGCATCTTATCAATCTATTGTAATAAACATGCATAAAGTCACCATGGTGATTTAGTGAAGAAAGTCTGATAAAGAAAATGGAAATCAGTAAATTACGAATGACAATTATTGAGGCAATTATTAATGAAGGATAATTTTCTTTATACTAAATAAATAAAAAATGGTTAAGACAGATCTGTCCTACTATGAAATTAAAATTTTTTCTATCAGATCAAAGTCTTGTTACTACAGAATTTCAAAACGATAACAAAGAAAGATTATTACATTGTTATGTGAATTCATTTGGTAGATATTAGATATGTAGTGTCGGTTATTATGTCAGGCACACATAACTTATTCTAACTTCCGAGCAGGCCGATTCATTCTTCTTGATTCACATTTTGATCTATCGCTTATCAATCATGACTGTTTTTATATGAGCGTGTGTGTGAATTTCTTATCTCGCTCATCACATGTTTGTAATTTATTATTATCTGACTATAAATATTGACTAACGCCTAATTAAACTGAGTCGGCTCACAGGCCTTTTCCATCGACCGTCATTTCTCTTCGCTCCATCTCCTTGATTGTCCATTCAGATCAACAGTTTTATGAATGATACATATGCAAACCGTCATTCTCGTATTTGACATATTTAAATCCGTTATTCAGTAACGCGATTTAAGTCGATGATTACATACAAGGGTAGTCATCATGTATATTTCGACAGCAATCGTTGGATAACAATCATTTGTCCGATCTAACTGGAATCAGATATGAAGCCATTAAATTATATTGCTACACACTATGAAATATATGTATGAAAGACGAAATAACACTATATATATAGTACTTTCATGAAAGTAATACTTCTGTTATGTGTCCAACAATATTTATGAAGAAACAGTATCAAATCAGATGGAAAATTACCAATTACTGTTACGTTTAATACTTTCAAGTATTAATAAAAGGTCCGTTAGTGCCCAAAACTGATATATCTTTTGGTAAATTAAAAGAAAATTCTTTTGTTGAATGATATTTATTGTTAAACATAGATACATATTCAAGATAAATCTAGTAGTATCATTGAAGGGATCATGTAAGAATCCTCGACCCTGATAAAGTCGAACTATTTTTGAAAAGTGACAAGAAACACTGATGAATAAACTGAATTTTTCAAACTTAGTTATTTATACTAAAATAAACTTCAAATCTGCATATTATAAATAGACTATCAAGTGAGTCAGTGAAAGAAGAAACCATTGCCGAATAATATATGCTTTAAATAAATCATTTTGACAAAATTTATTTTAGTCTTTTTTTTCCTACAAAATTTATGGTTATTCAGCACGGTAACTTGCTAACACAGGTAATTTGATTAAAGTGAAATTCAGCAAAACTCATTACTGAACTGGTGTTTTTTGATAACTTCTTGATTTATTGCTAAATGTTATTATCGTAGGACGGGTTTAAAGAACAATATGGAGTTAATCTTTACTAAACAGAAAGTATGTCTTATTTTGAATTATTTGACCAATGTATATCATTTGAACTGATAATAACTTGATAAGCAAAGATGGATGATGGCGAGCAGTGCGATCCGGGACGCGCGTTTTGTCCTACTTAGGACTCTTCATCTGGGTGTACCTGCATTCCAGGTTTGATGTTTACTCCAGGACTCGAACCCAGTACCATTTGCTTCAAACGTCATTGAGTTACGTAATTAGCTACTGGGTCGTGATAGCCACTAGCTTATCCAGTGGGGTGAAGCGTTAATTTATTTTTGTAATGTTTGTCTGAATCTTCCCATTGATGTTTATGATGACACTTGATCAGTCTTTTATTGGCATATATGTATTCTTAAAGCAATATCGAGGTAGTTCACACAAGATACACATATATCAATTAGAGATTGATCAATTGCAGGTACACCCAGCTGATGAGTCCCAAATAGGACGAAACGCTCGTCCTGGATTCCACTGCCAGCCACTACCCATCTTTGTTTATAATGCTTGTGAATTAAGGCTATATAGAGGCAATACGTACAGTATGCATATATGCCAATAAGAGTGATCAATTGCAGTCCTAAAAATCAATGGGAAGGTTCAAACAAACAATACCAAATGAAATAATCTTCATAAGTTAAACAAATTTATTGAAGAAATGACCAAACTCAAGAAAAAAATAAAAATATTTAACGTACTAAATTTCATCGAAAAAAAGCAGATTAGAATTATTCAGTACATTGAAAAACATCCTAAATTAATGTTTCATAAAAGCTCATGGTATACATAAATACTGAGGTGAAAAACGTATATATTTATAAGTTTTATGTAGTGTTAATTCACCGTTAATGACAAATCAAATGCAATTTTTAAAATTATGATACAAAAGTGACTAAATTTATTAAAACATATGACAGTGTAGTGTCAGTTGCTATGTCAAGTCCACATAACTTATTCTAACTTACGGACCTTGTCAATTATTTGCTTATCAACCTTGACTGTTTTGATGTAAGCGTATATGTGTGCACTTCTAATCTCACTCATCACATGTCTGCAAATTATTTTTATCTGATTATAAATATCGACTCATGCTTGATTGAATTGAATTGGTTTACATGCTTTCTCCGCCGTGCGTCATTTCTCCTCACCCCATCTACTTGATTGTCCATTCAGATAAACACTTGTATGAAATATAAATATTTAAAAGTTCATTCTCTTATTCGGCTTATTTAATTCCGTTATTCACTAACTCGTGTTGAGTCGATAATTATATATGCGAGGATAGACGACATATGTATTTCAATAACAATCATTCATACAATCGAATTGGGGTCAGATCTCGGACCATTAAAACAGATATGTGGATAGCTTTTAGATTTGAGATATAAATATCATAAGTTTTACAAAATGTACATTGACAGGAAGACATTATCAGCAAGAAGTTTTCAGTTACTTGAATATATTCATTAGAAACATAAATGAGATAACTCTATTTATGTTCTTTTTAAATGTGGTGAAATTCATTTTCTTTGTTAAATTATATTAGAATTAAATACAACCCAATTTTATGGGAGAAATAATAAAATAAGCATATGAACATACATTTCAAATAACTGTGGTTAATAAATACACATAAATAAAAAAAGTTCTTACCTGGTGTATCCGGATCTGTTGGTTCATGTTCAATAGCTCCGTTGGTACCTGAAAAATTCTGAACTGATTGAGGCATTAATGGAGTTTTCAACATTCCATCTGATGGTGTTAAGGTGATTGACATATCATTATCTATAGGTTTAGTTCGACGTCTTCTGTACAATTAAATCATAAGTAAATAAACCGTGTTTACACCAAATAGATAGTACTTCTTTGTTTATAAAAAGTAGATAATCAATATTCAGAGTTATAAACGCATAATGTAAAATAATATTAACGTTGTATGCATTTTTATAATAGTCGAAGTTATATCAAAACTAATCGGTCAAGGATGGAAAATCAGGTTCCGTAACTATGGTAATTGATCAAGTTTCCTTCAATACATTTCAAATACTAGTAGACTGTAAACTCATATGTACTTGAGAATTGATACGTTGTTGTAATTTCTCAATGAATAAGTAAAGACGTTTTGTAATATGACTTAGTGTAAACTAAAATTTACCAATAGATCATAAATACTGATTTTTTACCACCTGTATAAACTTAGTGATAAAAATGGTGTTTGGAAGCTAATGTTTGCAAATACAGAGATTCATCATTGAGTGTTTTTTAATTCTTAGGAAAAGCCAGTTCACTCACTTGTGATCAGCCTCAACTTAACTATTTGACACATGGTTGAATATACGTGAACAAGAAAGGTTCTTATGACAGAAAAGTTCTATTGACTCCATGAAAATTTTCCAACACTAGTAGTCATCTAGTAATGAATTTCTTAAATACGATAATCACAAATAAACTGTAACCGAATTCAAGTTGGTGTGATACAATGTTTTATCATGGGGTGTATGGATTACTATAGACTAGTAATGATATATTCTTACTGGCACAAAAAACTGATCAATTAGTTTATAACTGATCAAATTCTTTCAAAAGAGAATATAATGGTTTTTCAAAACCATAAGATCATGTAACTCATTTTTTGGCGGTCATTCCTTTATGTCTTTCAAAATATATGACAATATATCATTATTAGTATATCTTCAATTATACAGTACTGTAACTCATGTCTTATGTATACAACTTGTTATCAATTTTATTGTCAGTTTGAAAAATTATTCATATTTTCAAAGTCTAATCTCGATTTCATCATGCTCAGTTGTTCTGTTAGCTTGACTAAAATGTAATTCATTTTATAATTCATTAGTGGTCAGACATTATTTTATATATTCGGTGGTACTATAATATATTGACGACATAAAAGTGACCTTGAGACAGTTTATCTACTCACCCATGTCAAAAAAGAACTACAAATTAATATGAGAAATTAGGATTTAGAGTTAGAATTTAAGGTCATGAATTAAAGGTGAAGGTTTTTTATCATGAAACGATATCAGCTACAACCGAAACATGATATTTAATTATATGGATGAACGAATTTAGAGCCAAAATCCAAGACTTATTATCTTTAATTTGATTGGTTCATTCATAAATTATAGTCTTGTCTATAATCCATTTTTTGTACAAAAGATGTCAATAAGTAATACATTTTATTTGGGTGAAGATCAACTTGTTTCTCAGTCAGTGAACTTCAATGTTGAATTTCTTAATTTTTTCTTGAATATTTGGGATTTTTTCCATATAAGCCAAAATGCATTATCGTTGAAATATTCTTATAACCTAAATAACTTGAAGAGTTTCTAATCAATAAACTCCGCCTGGGGCCCCTCTGAGGCTATTGTCGGTCCCAAGTCCGGGTAAAGAAGAAGGGTTGGGCGTGGGGTTAGTAACCTCAACCAGTAGAAAACTAACTCGCTAAAAAGGCTAACCAGAAATAATTCTAATCGATAAATATTATTTATTAAACAAATGATCAAAGCCAGTGAGTAGTAAAGATTTGTTCTATCTTGATTTATGATTTTATGTATTTGACATTTATAGTCTCTTTCTTATCCTATGTTGATATTTTTATGGTTAAAAAAAATAAAAGAAGAATTTACTCACCTCATCAAACAACCAATAGCAGTGCATATTGCAGCAATTATACTAAGAGTTGCAATGATTATAATCAATGTTATAGTGAAAACATCTGTATTATTAGCAAATTTAGCAAAGAATACATTTTGTGAATTTGTGTTGGATGTTTTCATTGCACTTGTCTCACTATTCTCTTTTATAATGGATTCACTAGCATGCATATCACCAATTTGTTGATCTGTATATGTGATCGCTTGATCTGGTTGAAAATGTATTGACCATAAACTTGGTGTACATAATTCTTTAGAAAGATTCTCTTCATCTTCTAGTGATTGTTCACGGTTATATGGATAAGAATCTAATGGTGTACTGGAACCTGTTGAAACTGTATTTGTATTGGTACCAAATGGTTGCATATTTGGATAAATACACGCTAGGACAAATGCCTAAATTGTAGAAAAAGGAAGAGATAGGGAACAATGAGTTCTGTTTAATTTAAAATTACATTATATTTATAAGTGATTTATCGTCGCCGTTAGTTGACAATTTCTAATAGAAGCACGTTGTTTAGGCTCCCAAAACAGAAAACTTCGATATGTAGGACTGTGATGAATTTTGTAAACTAGTATATCGATCTAACATCAGATTGCAAACACTTTCCAATATATGAGTCTTTGAATACTGAGATGTTTCTTTCATATAATAATAAAACTGATTTCTGAAATAACTTTATACTTCAGAATGAATAATAAAGTTCTATGAGAAAAGTTAAGACCAAGATCTTTATTGTCAATGACAACAAACACTTATTCCTGTGAAATACTTATGTAAAATAAGTTCTAACTCATATGAAATGCTTGTTATTCATTCTCTTTTTTAAACCAAATTACTTCTGTATTTCAGTCATTGTATTTATGATGATATATTTCTTTACTGATAAACACGGAGATAACAGTTTTAAGTTTAACTATTTTCTTCAATATTCAATGGTTCTTCATTTAGGTTAATCACAATTTTAAGTAGTATATATAAATATATAGACTTTTTCCATAACTGTATTTATTCTATTCAATCATTTTAGTTTCTTTCAAGTATGAAATTTTCTTTGTAAACATTTTAAGTGTTCAATCTTATACCTATTCTCGAGTTGTTTTATGACAGTATAAAGGTAGGATAGAACTCTTAGTTTATACACACACTTGACTTTATATAAAAATTGTTTACATAATAATAAGTAAAAAATTATTTTTTTATTTTTGTATAAGTGTATAGTACCAGTTATCATCTTATAAATAAACAAAATTGAGATAATCTGTCAATGATTTATTAAAACCTTTGGCATAGTCTTTTAAACAAACAAACAAACATATAATGACAATGGTAATTTGTCGTTTTATATTATTTATTGAATAAGAGATAATATTGAAAAGAAAGGGGTTCAATAGTTTTACCAACCATATTCTATTCAGGTTTAATCTATTTCAATACTGCAAGTCGGAATAATAAAATAAATAAATGTTGATTATTTATTGTATACCACTATTCATATTTTAATTTCGGTTAGATTGTGTTTTTTTTATGTGAATAGATTGGTTTCTTAGTGTTATAACGCTCGGTTTTTCATTGTCTACACGAATGGGACGTTAATTTATTTTCGACGAATATCTACACTAGATTCCCTCCCAGGACTTCAACACAACTCAGATCAAGAACAAGTGATAAGCATGATTAGAACGTTAATATATTTCCACATCAAGAACCGACAACAAGCTGACACAATTCAACAACAATCAATAATAATAATAAAGATAGGAGAATATATAACTTATTTCACTTCTGTCAGATTATCTAAAAGTCTGACTATGCAAATAAACAATGATTGTTTATTTTGTTAATCGCATTAATTTATTATTAACATAGTGTTTAAGTGAGTGTTATTAATGTGGTAGCGATCTATTTCTGATGGATCTATTTATAATGAGTGAAATTTTTAAATATTTCAACAGCTCAGTGATATAACAGTTGAATAGAGTTGTTGACATTTAACACTTCTGAAAACATTCTAGTTTAAATAATTTTTTCGAATTGTGACTAGCACAAGGATCCTATGGACCTTCATTTGATCTTATCAACACGACTGTGAATATTAGTCGAATTTTATTTATAATCTATAGTTTACGTTATAATTAGTTTTGTTATCATGATATTATTTAAATTTGTTCTATTCTTTATCAATTTACCCATCATATTGTGGTATGTGCTACTGATATTGACAGATATATGTAGTATGTATCATCAAAAGAAAGTGAAATGCCTTGGGACAGAAAGTTAACAAGATCTAATAAAAGAGAACGAGAGGAAAGAACAAATACTGTGGAAATGAAGGTACATTGAAGTCTGAGACGATTGATTGAAATTTTATAGAACGAACAGTCACGTTTAAGACAATTGATTGGTATTTTCAAAATCAAGTATTTACTGTATGGTTCACAGATTTTACTAAGATGTTCTGTAATTTTGTGTTCAAATCCATTCGAATGTTCCCATTTCTATTCTCATTCACTACAACAGTAATTTTGTTTGCTCATACCTTCTTCAAGCATCATTATTCTGCTTATGAATACCATAAATATCATAGTAATATTTTTAGTATTTTTCAGAATCTCGTATCTATTGTACTATATTGTTTACTGTAGTCGTAACTCTTTTCATAGATTTCTAGCATTCAATTGAGTCACGATCGTTCTCTCTCTCCCTCTCTCACTTGTCCTATCATTCTATAAATTAAACTCGTATACTTTGGAAAATGATCATGATTCACCAGTAAACTAAATAAGTTTATGCATATTGTACACAAAATCATATTTTTAAGACATTTTATCCATGAAAATTAATGCATCAGTGAAATAGTTAGAGGACAGAAAATGAAATAAATTTATGTTGTGTCTTAATGCTTTTGTTATTCATTCTATAAAGATGTTTATCAAAAGAGCTAATTATATCAGATGTAATAATTTGTTCGGCTTTCAAAAAAACACAGTAACAATATTCTTCTTTTAGATATATTAACCAGATTATATTCAATAAAATCATACTTAGTTAATTGACTGACATTTACATTAAGTAAACACTCAGTTTGATACATTGATTGATCAATTTATGGTATTAAGTAATCAGTTTTAATCTGTAGGTAGGATGGTTGTAAATACAAAATAATCATTTTAATTCATTTGTTTAAAAGCCCTGATACGGCTGAGAGTGAGGAGATTCAGCTCTCCCTCTCGAAATGCTCTCACATGGCCACGCGTATATAGCCTCTGACAGGGAAGTGCTACTCACTGCCTTCTCGTGGCGGAAGTGTTGTTTACGAAAGTGAGAGGACGAAAAGCGAATGACCGGCACTTCAACCGGATCTGTGGATATTGAGGATCCACACAGAAGAGTTAGATAACCCTTATTCCGAACCAATGGTGCACATGAGCTCCAGTATCCCGAGGGAACAAATGGAATATGAATCAGTCGTTGGTCGCCGGCTTCCATGGGACTGCATCTCCTTACGATGCCCCGCTGCCTTGTGGATCAGACCCTTTGGTCAAAGGCTCCAGGTGTGGCCCCCTAATCAGACCACCTGCTTCAGTTTGGGTACCTGGTCAGTATCACAGCCCTCACACATATCAAATGATATTTGTGTGGCGCACATATATTTAGTTCCTCCTTGTACCAATATTTATGTGTTTAAATAAATAAATGAATTTATTAAAAAAAACAGTGGTAGGATAACATTGGGTAATTCAACTTTTAGGAAAGGTAGCTATCTTATATAAAAGAATTATTAGAATCATTTAACAGGTTTAACTTTAATGAAATCAAGTATATTATATCATTCTACTTTTTACTCATATCAGTATTTAATATTTAACAGTATGAGATCATTTTTATCGTCTAAATTCTTTATCAAATATGAACAACTGTGAAAATAGTAAGAAGAGTTTTAGGTAGACCTAAAAGTTTATTGATCACAAACAAAACGGGAGTTTAAGGTTAACTTTTTTATGAATTTTCCCAACACTATTACGAATTAAATTTTATAAATAATGTGAATGAAAATGTATGAAATGAATTAAACTTTACATTTTTATTGGATAAAACATACAAGATATTCGGTGAAATATCTGATAATTGAATTGTGGACTTAAGAACTAATGAGTTTATGTTTCATTTAAACTTATTTTAAAATAAATTTGGGTTTTATAAGCAGATTTGAATGTTTATCAGTGGTGCGAATCAGGATACGTTTCGTCTAGTGTGTGACTCGCCTTCTGGGTAGATATGCATCCCAAAGTTCATGTTCAGTCTGAATTGGATTCCCAGTGTAGACATCAACTCCGGGATACGTGTACATTCATCTGAAGAGTCCCATATAAGACGAAGTATATTCCGGATACCACTACTAGTTGCCATCCAACTCTACTTTCAACTTAATTTCAGTATTGAGGTAGACCACATGGAATACACATATCCCAAAAATAACTTATCGATTTCAGTCTTGCACACTAGCAGGAACTTTGAAACAATCAATAAAAATGATTCAAGTTCAAGTTCATTTTCTAAAACAAGATAACTTATTATGAGTTCATTTTTGAATTTCGATTAGCCAATGATATTTACAAAATCACACTAGGATGATATTTGAAAACATGCAAACCTTTAGCATAAAGAGGACTTTAAACAATGGCCTTCAAATTACCACCATGAAATAGAAGAAATGACTGCCAGTACAATATTGATTTCATATTATTTAACAAACTAATGTTTCTAGTTGTTGAAAACGACAGTATGAATTTAATCAACCGCTGATATTTTGACGTAAAAATGTAAGAAGCTGAAGTCGAAATCCTACTCATCCACCTGTCCTCTCTATCTGATAAAAGAAGATAGCTGTTAGGAATAAGTAAACACCTCCTATTCCATAGCTCATATGTCTACCAGATACAGATTTACTGAATGTAACAATATACATAACATTATAACAACCCAGCTGGAGACCTTCTAGTTTTATAGTGAGTTTCACAAAACATTATTGTCGAATAAAAAGACATTAAAAGTCTTAAAGCTACACAATCAATTTATCTTTTTATTTTAACAGATACCCAATAAAACACGTTCATAAATGTCTATTCTTCAGAATGGGTGGTTGTAGAAAATCGGCAGAGTGCCTTGGAATTGAGATTCATAATTCTAAGAGACCAACCGATGTGAGTGTATTTTTTTCATTCTGCATTGACCTGGTAGACTTGTACGTGTCGACTCAGTTTCAAGTAATCTTTTTACCTGATTACAGTGTTAAATTCTCCATTTATATCTTTTGGCCTGATTTATTTGCTAATCTATTCTAAATGTTTCTGCACCAGTTGTAATATACATTCAGTGAATCACCATTTTTACATGTAAACTTTCAATAATGATTATTCAGTCAAAAGACCAAATTTATTATTTCAACGGTAAAATAGAAGTCTTTATTGCAATCATAAACCGAGCAATGTTAGACTACCGTTAAAAGCTTGGGAACAACGGACAGCCCTTTTGTCCTAGTATGAGACCCCTCAGCCAATGTGTATCCTCCATCTCAGGACCTGTCTCACGCGAACGCTTAAGCTATAGACCACTGAGCCCGCATCCAACAGTTGTAATATTTGATTTCAACCAATCCGCGATATTGAGAGAATATCTTCCATGACCAGTGGAGTTCAACTGTGTCAGTGTGGAGGTAACTACACACCAAAGACAATGGAATATGGTTGCGCAATATAGTTGATCGGTTAAAGTTAGACATTACCACCGTTGGATGCCGGTTCAGCGGTCTAGAGTTTAGGTGTTCAATCGAGTCTGGTGGTCCTTGGTTTGGGCTTCACATGAGGGATCGGGGATGTAATTTGCTGAGTAGTCCCATACTAGGACGAATGGGCAGTCAGCTGTTTCCAGGTTTTGAATGGTAGTCTAATATTGGTCAAATCATGATCTCAATTAAAACTTAACAATCTCCACAACTTTATACTAAAAAATAAAAGTTGTTTATTGTGAAGATGATTTCTGGTAATTTGTTTTCATATGAAAATCATTCCAGTATTTCAACATGAACATTTCGGAAATACGATTTTTTTGTTAAATTAGAAGCTTATCGAAATCTAGTATTTTGTCATTCTGTTCATCTAGACACTAAAAACAAGTAGAATATTAAAAATTTCAGACATAATGTTACTTTTCACTACACTGAATTTAAAAGAAAGCGTTATTGTTATTATCATTCTTATTTTTATAAAAATTGAGTTTTAGCCTTCAAAAGTTTTTCAAATTCATTTAAACAAAATTAGTAGAGAATTTTTAGTTGAAATTCACTTGTCATCATGTGCTGAGATAATATTAAGATGTATCAGTACCGAACAGTTATTTGTTTTTATTTTGTTAATTGTCAGGAATGAGCACTAAGAATCTTTTTTAATATTGTCGACGTGAACCTTAAAATATTATGAACAGCAAGATTTCGTAAGTCGATTAAACAGGAATTCATCATTTCATGTTTCCAATTACATTTACTCAAACTCGATGGTGTTGGTTTCATTCAGCTCGTAATTTACTTTCATCCTCAAAGGCTTTTTACCAAAACTTTGGGACTATTTTTCCAAATTGTTAACTTGATGATCAAAAAATATCTTAAAGCTTTCTAGGCAAAACCTTTAAGCGACACTAAAGTGACCTTGAGAGTATCCACCTAATAACTAGGACCGATGAAGGTTATAAACCAGGGTGAGGAATTAGAACTATGATTTCCAGTTGATGGTGAAGATTAAGAATTAGATTCAAGGTTTTCGTCACGAACTGATATCAGCCATAATGCCAAAACTCTATTTAGCTAAATGGATGAGTGAATTTCGCGCCAAAACCCGAGACCTGTTATATTATACCTGATTGGTTCGTCAATAATTATAGTCTCGTCGCTTTCTATTTGGATGATGATAATAACAATTATTCACTTTGAATTACCTTGTTCATAGTTACTTTATACGCTATAAGAAAACTAGCTATTCAAACCACTAATCAAACTTAACATTTTTCTATTCCCATTTTAAGGATATAAAACCAAGAACTTATTTACTCTATAGTTCATAACTTGTTTCATAATTAGTTTCAGATGTACCATGAAAAATTCATCATATATGTCCCATACTAGAACGAAACGTCCTTCCCATACTTCCAGGTTTTCAATTGTGGTCTAATATCGATCGATTAATGATCTCAATGAAATATATTTTCTCTTTGAGAATCCTTTTTCTACCTTTGTCATCAACATTGGGTTATGTAAAACTATGGATATTGATTTTGATACGAATTACCTAAACACTTAGCATTCCAATTTCGTTTAACAAAAAATAGAACAATGATGAGGGAAAAAGTCACTCTGATTTAGTACATAAATCCAATGGTAACACATGATTTTGTACACGTGTAACATTCAAAATTTATTGCCTAATGCAGTAATAATTTCCCCATTTATTTAATTGTATTAAGAAGCTACTGTGAATTCATCCGTTTAAGATTTAAAACAGCCCAAAAAGTCTTGGAACCTTTGTAAAAGTTAAATGTCAAGTATGAATGTTAGAAAATATGTCCAAGGTTTTTAATTGAAAGTATCAAAAAGAAACTACATCTAACTTGAGGTTTAATGCAGAACCAATCATGATCGATATGGTGACTTTAAAGTCATAGCACAAACATTAAACCAACTTGTTGGCTAACGACTGTTTCAATCATCTGATCTTAAAAATACTTTAGGTGTCTGAAAAGACAATTGCAAATGTGGGAATTAAACTTTTGTACATTATTCTGAATTATTTAAATCAGTATGGTATTTAACCGCAATTTTGGTTAGGGTTCCTGCATTAGGTGCTAGATTAAGTTTAGGGTAAGTACGCTATGTTCATGATGTTACACTTTTAGGTTTAAGATATTAGAATCAAGGTGTTAATGTATGGATCTATGGCATATATAAAATGAATCCTAACCCTAAACCCCAGGGCTAACACTAAAGTTTGGCGCAAAAAATAACTTTTAGTTAAAATATTTTCTCAATCAGTTGGAATTAATAAATTGTTAGTAAATAATCTTGTCTTTGGTTAGAAATTATTCGTTAATACATATTGGTTTCTTATTGACTTAAACAGCTCATAACCTTAAGGTACTTCAATAGTATACTTTACATTGACCAAAAGAAACTATCTAAGACGTATGGTCAATGAACTTAAGGAATTATTATATCACTGAACTGAAACATCTGTGCAGTTCTGTTGATAGTCATTTATTCTCCTGCCTTCATAAATAAGTCTATTTTTCATCATTAATGACCAAATGTCTTTCAGAGATTTATCTCAAATTTATAAATATAAACATTGTATTATTAGTAGTGTTTAAAACTGATTGACTTTCATTTGTTTTAATCAGTACTGAACTAATTATTATTATACTTCAGATGAGTGAAAAACTGAAAATTTCCACTTTCCTTAAGTTAATATGAAAACATATAATTTATGTTTGTAAATAGTTCTGTTAAACTTTTAGTGGAACGTTTTATAGAAAGTTTTAGTATATTAAACAATCCCATTGTGAAAATTAGAACAAGTCTATTTACTTACGTTTGACCTCCTATTTCCAATGTTTAACTATTGATAAGAATTTTATTATCGTAATTTAATATTCTTACTACTATCAGTACACCTGTCTACCCACTATCAACCTTGTACTTTTAACTGTTATGCTCGGTAAAGTATTCTGTTTCATTGTGATTATTGACTCAAGTTGCGTTGATTAGTCTAATAATTTCGTATAAATATTTGTGTATATTAGAGTAAAGCCTGATGACGATCTAATTGAAAACAATTGTTCGCTTACATGTGTTGTTCTAAAAAAATTTTAATCATAATTTGTAATAGCATGAATCAATAATTTATATGATAAATAATTTACTTTATAAGCAAAGGTGGATAGCGGCTAGCGGTGGAATCAAGGACGCGCGTATCGTCCTATTTGGGGCTTGTCAGCTGTATGTACCTGCATCTCAGAGTTGATGTTCACTCTGCTTATAATGCTTTGAATTAAGGCAATATAGAGGCAATACACACAGTATGCACATATTCCAATAAGAGACTGATCAATTGCAGTCATAAAAATCAATGGGAAGATTCAAACAAACAATACTAAGTGAATTGAGCTTACTTTATATTTTTGATTTTTTATCAATGGTCTACCATAAACTAAAATTTCAGGTAATGAATTTGTATTTAATTTCTCTGAAAATGTTAATTTATCATTTTGTATTTGGTGACTTCGATTAATATCAATGTTTGATTTATTAAAAATAGTATTTCTTTTATATCGTTTCTTTGTTTCTGATATTGGTATATTTAATACTATTTCAACATATGATCCAACAAATGCTTCTTGACTATATTCAGCTGCAATAAATATATTTGGATTCCAAGATTGTGATGCTTCATGAAGCTTAAATCAGAAAGAAAAGAACATTCATTAGAAAGTTAATTGAGACTCATCTGTATTAAATGTCTTAACAAAAAGAATACAATATAAATATATAGTTCATTATCATGTTGGAAACTAATCTAAAGGTTTGTAAAATGTGTCTAGTAATATAATAATAAGGCTAATGAAGAGAGAAAATTCAAATTTATGTAAATGAAAGACAAAAGTGACGTTTTTTCTTTATAGTTGAAAGCGTGGATCAATTGAATCTAGACCGCCAAGGAAAACCTGGAAGCACTGGACGGCCATTTCGCCCTATTATGGGACTCCTCAGCAGTGTGCATCCACGACCTCGCCTTGCAAGATTCGAGCTCAGGACCTACTAGTCTCGCGCCAGAGCACTTAACCGATAGACCACTTGGCCGGCGTCCCATGGTGTTTATGTCTAACTCCAACCAATCCACGAAGTTGAACAACCGTTCACCAATTGTCTTCAGTGAGTTGATATCTCACAACAGACCTGGTTTGAACTCCACTGGTCACTGCTTCTCACTAGAACTCTTGGATTTACCTCTCGAAGTCAGTCACTAGTGAGCATATGATTATTATTATCAGATTTTTTTGGTGGAGATTTAGTATTTTTCATAGTTGAAAGCGTTAGTCTAACTTTAAAGTGGATAAATATGATTCCTAAATAACACACAATTTCATTATGACTACTAAAATATACATGAAAATTAAGCTAACAAATACATTTTTTAATTTCTGTTATCGATATTCACTTGTTACGTAATAATAGGGAAACTCAGGATGAAACCAGTTATCACGTAAGATCCAATTCATATACCAAGACACCAGATTTCACAAGATATGGGTGAATGATTGATCCCTTTTGAAGAAAAATTGCATGAAATTATCGAACATTTTCATTATTGTCATATTAGACGGGTAGCAAGTATTGTCGATGGTAATGGATAGTATTCATCGCTTCTTAGCATGAATTGACTTATATCACAAATATAAGCCAAGTAATCTTAATGTGAAGTGATCTAAGTTTGACTCTAAGTTTCTAGGTATTATCTCATAAGCTATAATGGATTCGCACTGCTAAAGAGTTTCATAATATATCAAAGAGTCATCCAGTGACGGATGATTTTTTATTGTTACCTAAAGGAGTTCATTTGGTGATGTTAACTGTCTTTTTACTGTATAACCAAATACAGTATACAGATGGACGCTTATTTTTAAAACACTGAAAAAGAAGAGTTTCTTTGTCCTCTACTGAGTAGAGATTGATCGAATGTCACACATTTAACTTAATTTAAATCGTTTAAAAAGAATGACAAACAAAAAGAAATTAAATAATTTACGTCTTCAGCTAAGAGTATATTGCTTTCAAGAGTTTTCTTGTTTAATTACTTCCTTTGATGTTATATATATTTTTATTTTCTGTCAAAGATTTTAGTGAATTCCGTTTGATAAAAACAGGCACAATATTTATACTACTGGTTTATTTTATGATGTACTCTAGAAGGTAACAAGATAATTTTCTTTCTAATTACCAAAAACCTATTACCTATATTTTCATTAGATTCAACTGATTAGCATCCGTGTGTGATCATATTAGTTATATAAGCAATAAGGATTCAAGTAAGTTGACAAATCGTTTTTATTGTAGTTAGGTGATTGGATTTCTAGTCGTAACCCTCCCAAGCGAATACTTTGAATTATCTACTGAATTCTTTTTTCTGTAAGTAACAACTAAGCTATTTCCCACTGAAAGTGTTCGGTTGACAAACTCATCTTTAAATGACTGATGGTTGAATTAAACGCTATATGTAGTTTAATGAATTTATTCAATAATGAAACAATAATTTTTTTAAATGTGAACCATTTTATTCTGGATTCTACTTAGATCAAACTTTACTTAGAACAAATTGAGTCATCCACCGTTTTATTGTATATAGGTATTTCAGTTATGATATTTATTTCTTTGTATAGTCTTTCCTCGTCCTTCATCATACCTTTTATTGAAATCTTGATTTACGGACTTGAATTAATATAGATCATAAAGGCAGTATATTTTTAAATCAATGTCCATTAGCGAAGATAGATAGTGGCTAGCAGTGGAATCCAGGAAGCGCGTTTCGTCCTATTTGAGACTCATCAACTGGATGTACCTGGATCGCAGAGTTGATGTTCACTCTGGAACTCGAACCCAGTACCTTTTGCTTAAAACGCCATCATCCATCGATTTTGCTACTGAATCGTGATAACTATTTGATTGTACAATGAGATGAAGTTTAAATTCACTTAGTATTGTTTGTTTGAATCTTCCAATTGATGTTTAGGACTGCAATTTGTCAGTCTTTTATTGGCATATGTGCATACTGTGCCTCGATATTACCTTCTATCTCAAGCATCGTAAGCTAATTACTATCCATCGATTGCAGTCCAAAACATCAAGGAGAAGAATCAAATAAACAATATCAAACCAATCAATGTTTATTGTTTAAATTAAAGTGCATCTTGAATAAGATCATATAAACAAAATAAATGTCACAAGAATTATTATAATATTTATTTATAATAATAAACGTAATATAAATGACGTAATCAAATTTGTGTATAAACTGATCAACAAAAATCTAGTTAGACTTCATTTTTGTATTGATTTTTACAAGTAAATATTCAAGACAAATCAGATCTTTCCCATGAAATTTAACTTTTTGTTTTCCCTAATTTTTTTAGAAAATTAATTGTTTTTCTCAGATAAAATAAATAAATTTTTTGTGTAATGCATACTATGAAAAAACGTACTTGAAACTTGCTTTTAAAAAAAGAGAATAATCTTACTAGGTGTAGTTTTGCGTTAAAATGTTGGTTAACTCAATCACTTATAATACTTTACACTTGAGATCATGAATCAATTGAAGCTAGACCACCATGGAAAACCTGAAAGCAATGGACAGTCGTTTCGTCCGATTGTGCGACTTCTCAGCAGTGCGTATCCACGATCCCACTTCGCCGGATTCGAACCCAGGACCTACCGGTGTGGCGCTTGAGGAGTCCCACAATAGGATGAAACGGCCGTCCAGTGCTTCCAGGTTTTCCATAGTGGTCTGGCTTTAATTGACTAATGTTTTTAACTATATTACATTAATTATTAACTAGTTGACCCTGAAGTTGGACAGGGTAAAAGGAGCGGCTGAACATATTTTTTTACATCCAAACTTCGTTGAAATATTCTGGTTTTTTGAAAATTTCAAACTGTGATCAAATAATACATAGAAAAGAAGAACCAAGCTTATTGGTTTATAACAAGTTGAAACTTTACACCTTTCTCAGTTGGTCTTATTGTAATTACATGCATTTTATCAATTAATGTATCAATTTTCGTTCCAGATCTATGTTCCATGTAATATTTGATTTAGTTCTGTTTAACTAGTGATTCGATTATATTCAGACTAACAGATAAATATAATGGAAAGAAGTGATCAACTGTTCTTTAATAAATTTTTCCCCACTAATATTACTAACATAATAATCTATAGTGTAATCTCTTCATAAGATAATTGGAATTTGATTCCTGTTAGGAATGATTATCATTTGAATACTTGAAGATAATTCTCAAATCAAGTGTGAAATCAAATAGTTCTAGGTTTCACAAATGATATTGGTTTAGTGATCTTACATCGTAATAAAGTTTTTAATTCGAACTTTCATGCACAATATACACATAAAACGTAGATATTTTATGGTAAATAGGTAAACAACATTACCTTACTCAGGCTATGTAGCTAGATCAAATGAAAAACTACTAAAGAAACATTTTTATTATCTCTATAATAATATCAAATTACAGTTTTTTGATACAACCTACTTTTTGTGGCCAATTAAATTCTTTTGATTTCGGAGTTAAATTTAAAGAATCTGCTGTAAGAACTTTAGATAAAATCAAATAATATCTTCTTATACGACCAAGACTTTCAGAGACACGAAATACTCGTATAATTACTTTTCCTGTTTCTGGTTTTACTGTGACTGGTATCGGTCGAGGAACTAGAAGTGGAGCTAAACATTAACGAAAAATAAATGAAAACAAATATTACGAAGTTTATTTTAAAGTGGTTCAGAGATTCAAATACATCAAAAAGTCATTTTTAACATTATGCCGTGAATACTTTGTGTTTAACCATTTTATTAGATTGTTTAATTTCAGTGATACCACAATCATCTTCTAGTACCACCTGTTACCGTAATATCGTATGTTTGAATGATTTCATAACAAAGGTAACTATGTGATTAGGGCATGTATTCCAGTGAATTTGTCAAATGTTTACCTTTAGGTAACTCAGTGATGGAATAAAAGCATCGGTGAAAAATTCGAGAGTGAAATAACTCTGGATTTCTGATGCTTCTTACACCAGATTCAAGTACAGATATGAACCTCGAAGTACTTAAGAGTTTTCTTTATGTGCATACATCACTCCAATTAATGATAATAATCTATGTACATTATATGTTTAAACATGTCGCTTTTTATTCCAGACTTAATAACTGTAGCTTTGTAACACAATAATTGATGAACAAACAACTTATATACATATCAAAACTCAATGAACATGAACTTGTTCAATTAGTATGATGAAAGCACTCAACTCCTCATTTGTATTAAATAAACAATATGTCGTTGTTTCCAGTCAGATAGATCTACGAAATATCTTTTAACTAAAACCAACCAAGTAGCTTAAATTCATCTTTCTTTCAGGGAGCCAGGAGCAGCCTGAATATTTTTGGGGTAATATATCAGACAATGAAACTGAGTAACAGCCGCCCGAACACCACAAATGGCATTATTCTCTTCAAAATTGTTGAATAATACCAACTAGTATAAGAACTAGATCCAGTGTCTTCTGCTGATTACTACTTAAAGCTTATCTCATTTTGATATGCATTATTACTATTACTAATGACTTTGTTCAATATTATATTTTCAATACAATATATAATTCTCAGCACAAAGTACTCCAACAAGTATTTTTATTATTTCTTGATCGATCTTGACGATAAATATTGAGTTATCACCAGTTAGGTATCAGCATTTTAGGAATCATCAACTGAATAATGTTCATTATTTTCAGTGAATACTGCCAGCCACCACTGTGCTTCTGACTGTACTTTTTCGTAACTTGCACAGAGAAACGTACCTGAATAGGTTATGAGAATAATAGATATAACGATGCGTCAAAACAAGCTGGCCGCTCTTATGGTTTTATTATCAATAAAAAAGTATCTGAAGTGCTCAACACACAATAAATAATAAATAACATCACTTACGAAGCATTTGTGTTCGACAACTTGTACGTCCTGTTGGAGTTGAACTGTCTATAGTTGCACTTTGATCATGTTGTGCGTAAATAGGCTTAATTTGTACATCATAAACCGTATTCGCTTCCAGTTCATCGATGACTAATTCATACTGAGGATTATCTGAGGTGGATGACATGTATCCACCATTTGTGTTAATACTGGAGCTAGAAGATTGATCCAGCATTGATGTTGTAACTTCTACTGAACGTGGTTCATACAAAATTCGATGCGGATGACTTCGTTCATCAGCATATGTTTTAGATCCAAGTAGTTGAATCTGTAATTACGTAGGAGATAATGTTAGCGCTATTTATTTGTAAGTTTTAATTTCATTAATTTCATAAACTAAGTTAGCGAAGTCCTATTAAATCTAAGCTATTATCTGCAAGATAATGTTCTTCATGAAGTAGAATGTTCAAGATAGAAAAATTTTAAGCTTTCTATCAGTTGATCACAACTGCTTCTATCAGGAACTAACTATCCAGTAAACAAACTATACATGAATATGCCAAACCAAATTATTTCGATGTTGTTCAATTAACTTACTTCAAATTGGTAAAGACCTTCAAGTTGACGAGGGCGTCTCCAGGAAATTTTAAGACTTGCCTCACCAGGTTTAGCTGTCTCTAAGGTTTGAACCCAAGTACATGACAAATGACTGATTCGTTTTAAATCTTCCGGTCCAGAATTGCCCAAGTTATTAATTTCTTTATTAGCTCCATTAATTTCATGTGGATTGTATACCCCAACATGAATAGGTTCACTCAATCTTCCATGCCTCCGATCTGCTCCTCTTGATTTTATTCTTATAACATAATCCTTTTGTGGATCTAATAAGTCAAGTGTAGCCATTGTAACTGGACCAACATCCAAAATCTGCCATGTATTCAAATCTTGTGTATTTTCGTTTGTTGAATAAAATATACGAAATCCAGTTATTGGTATTTGGGGTTTCGTGATAGGCCCAACAGGCATTGTATTCCATGTTACTTTTATTTGTCTTGGATTTATACGTAGACCATTAATTTGTGATGGAGGTTCTGGTACTATTTAGAGTAACAACAAAATAAACATATTTAATATTGAATTCAAACGACAATGTTAATTAACTCAGAATATAATAAGTAAATACATTAAGAAAAATAAGCAGAGAATCACTGCTGCAGCTCAGAAAGGTAGTTCTAAACTTCAGGACGTCGAAATAACATTTTCTGAAAATTTGCAAAAACTATCGTCAAAACTAGTTAAATGAAGTACGTTATGTGAGCTGTTTATTAAAGTAAGAACAAGTTGTAGCTTGGTTTTTGAAACACTCGACTTTATATCGCTTCGTGGTGGGTGCGAACCTCACCTCCATCTTTAGTTTAGACCATTGCCTAGTTTGATTTAGTTTGGAGCTGAATCAGCGGTAGCTGTGTTACATTTTTGAAACATAGTTCATCTCATTGTTTCTAGTCATTTGTAAATAACTTATTTGCCTTAATTCTCTATAATACTATATCAGTTAAAGATTAGAATTACATTTGACAGTTTAATTTCGTCTTCTCTGTCATTCACGAACATGATAGAAGTAATACATAACATATCAGTGAATAATGATTTCGAAATGGATAAGTAAATGAAAACATAGGGTGTTGTTGTCGGAAATATTATTAAACTTATTTCATTATTATTGCAAATATCCAAGATTATAAACAAAATCAGTACAGTTTCAATCTAACCATAGTTAGTTTTGTTAAGAAAACCATATTGTCACTTATTTTATACTTCATTTATATTTGAAATGATTTATCCTGATTGTAATATAAATGTAGTCCATTATTTATAAACAGTTGTCTACGCAAAATACTCAACATTCACTGGCCAGATACTATAAGCAACAGTCTACTGTGAGAGAGGACAAACCAGATTCCAGCTGAGGAGGAAATTAGGAAACGACGTTGGAGGTGGATAGCACATACATTGAGGAAATCACCAAACGGCATCACGAGGCAATCCCTAACTTGGAATGATGAAGGGAAGCAGAAAAGAGGAAGACCGAAGAACACATTACGTCGGGAGATTGAAGCAAATATGAGAAGGATGAATGTTAACTGGAAAGAACTAGAAAGTATCGTTCTTGATAGGGTTGGATAGAGAGTGTTGGAGGGCGGTTTGTGATTGTTTACGAGGAATAACAGGCATAAGTAAGTAAGTCTTATTTACAAAGTACGGATAAAATGAAATGTTTTCTCTTAAGAATTTTAAAAAAATTAAAACAAAAAATGAACACAGGATTGTAAATAAAAGTGAAATACTTACATTCAGCTGTAGTACGGATTGTACTAGCTGCTGACCATGGTCCTGGTCCATTTTTAGTCAATGCTCTTACTAAAACTGTATAAAATGTACGCTCTTTAAGATTTTCAATTTGTAATAATGGTTCTTGTGTTGTTGTGATAATTTCAGTTTCATTTGGTGCACTTGGTTGAAAATATTTAACCTAATTTATAGGATATTTTTAAATTTTGAAAAAAAAATATGAAAAATGAAATTAAAATTATTGTCAAGTTCAAATAATCATCTTGTTCAATCTAAAATTATTTAAAAATTTTTTAATTAAAAAAATATATCAAAAAATGTAATAGACAATTTGTCACACTGTAGAGGAAAACTAAAAAAGATATAAGTTAATTATTAGTGTCACTATTATGTTAAGAACATTGACGTGTTTTTAGAGATAATACTTTCCTCATCTAAATTTTCAGGAGTTGAACTTTTATCAGGAGATTCACTTGTTGACTTAGAATATGCCTATAATATAGTTCTATTCGTGAATAAGCTGACAAAATGCAGAGTTTTCTGACTACCATAAGCAACAATGCAAGCATGTTCGGAATGCGATTCTCTCATCGAAATGAAAAATGTTACTTTAAGATTGGGTTGCATGGACACCTGAACTAATGATAGGGAGTGAATTAGTTGAGCGGGTTGACGGCTTCATTTATCTTGGGAGTCTCATCAGCCCTTGTGGTCTGGTGTGTGACGAAATCTCAGCACTGATCCAGAAGGCTCGTCTAGCTTTCACCAACTTGCGTCATTTATGGCGTAGGCGAGATATCCGTCTACCGACAAAAGGAAGGGTTTCTTGTTCAGCTGTTCGTTTCATCCTACTTTATGGTTGCGAAACATATCCGCTAAGAGTAGAGGATATTCGTAGGCTACTAGTTTCTGATCGTAAGTGTTTTAGAAGCATTGCTCGTATATCCTGGGACCACCGGGTAAGTAATGAAGTTAATAGGAAACGAGTACTTGGTAAGGATGGCAAATCGATTGAGGAAGTAGTGTAGCTTCATCAGTTGAGATGGCTGGGACACGTGTTACGTATATTCAACCACCAACTGTCCCGATGTGCTGTGTTTTATGGTGTAGGAGTAGGTTGGAAGGAAGCTAGGGGCGGCCAAAACAAAACATGGCACAAATCCACGAAGTCACTGACAAGTGAACTGAGCCATGTTGGTAGGTGTAAACTACCTGGTTGGGATTCACAAGATGATAGCAACCGATGGTTAGAGACCTTGAATGACATGGCTCAAAATCGTTTGCAATGGTAAAGGTGCATCCACTCTTTATGTTCTGCCAAACTCTAATTCTCTGAATTCCTCATGTCCCTATCCTTTTTCTCTTTCCAAATTTATTTCACCGTATTATACTCCTTCAATAACATCTTCAAACCCTAATCTTTCACATAATGCTTATACTCTTACTACCTCTACCACTAAGGGATTTGAATCGACAGCTAATGTGGTATGGCAACTCGAACTGATGTACGTACGTACGAAGTTCTACGTTGTTTCCGACTGACTGACTACATTAAGAACTTATCATGAATTCGTTGACAATTTAGTTCCCATAAGTTACTAATATTATTCTACACTATTACCAGCATTCTTTTGTACTAATAGGGCAATTATATTTAGCCATTATCCGTGTACTAAATCTATAAGATCACTTACTTTGATTTATTATATATCATGTAAATAGATTTTCATGAGATTTTAGTTTATGCTGAATTGTATGATGTAAATACTAATTTTTTTGATTTTTAAAAACGTTTTTTAACGGTAATAACTTTAGTTATCCCCATAGAATAGCTGGTCAAATAATAATAAGTCTAATAATTTGTTTCGTTTCGCAATACATTCAACATTGGTCGTATGCTTCATCAATTATATGATATGAATTCAAATAAAAAGTTCATAAGTAATTTCAAATTTACAGAATTCCATTTGATACAAGAAGTCATCTACAACTGTTGTAACTTGCATATAATATTTTTCCTTATTACGACCCAGCTATTCCTATTGCTTAGTATTCTTGAACACCAATACACTCGACACGTCCCCAAATTAGAACACGGTTGAACAGGGAAGAAATTATATTCAGAATAACAAGGATATATGGAAGCGCACTAAGAAATATGTTAGTATATTTTTAGTTTTTTACATGAGTAGATTCTAGAGTATTCTCCAGGCATCGACTAGCGCTGACTGGATAAGAATTAGCCAATCGGCGTGCAGCGGCACAGTCATGCATGAAATATGCTTTAATCCAATCTATGTCCCGCTAACAACAACATTCTTAGGTAAAATCATTTTCCGACTTATTTTACAAGTAAAGGACTTTTTAAGTGAATTCCAGATAAAAAACCCTAGAATTCACAAAAATCAGGTAAACAGTGCATACAACTATAGTTCCATTTTAAAGGTTTATGTAAAATATTTAACTCTGAAATAATTACCTGATAGCTAGTAATTTCTTCAGTCCATTTTTGTCTTGAAGGTGGGGTCCATGCAACTTCTATAGCAGTTGCCGATAGTCCTTTAACACGTACATGTAGTGAATAACTTCCAGGTACTGAATTATTTTATATTGAAAAAAACAATGTAAAGAATAAAATTAGGAATTAGTTCTTTGTCCAAAAACAACAATGTAAGACTAAGTTTCTATATTTGTGTTTATTTCACATGAAATATATAGCAATCAATTGTCATACATTTTAATATATCTCATTAAGTTGTTTCATGGAGGATAAGACCAGTGATTGGTGAAAATAACAGATGTAAAGTGAACTGTTTTAAAATATATATTCATTCCCTTAATACATTTATGACAGAGAATGCTGTTTTAGTGCATAGTTATAAATTGTAACTACAATAATTTTCCTGACTAAATTGAATGGAAGGCAGGTATTCTCATTTGATTGAAATCAGGTGAAATAAAATTTACAATAATGGTACCACTTAAAGATTTAAGCTATCTGCGGTATATTAAAAAGTTATTCGACTAGAGTACCTAGAACTTCCGTGACTGATGTCATTATCTGTTTCGTTATATTCAATAACTGTTTATCAAAGCTCACAGAGATGATCCAAAATGACTTCAAAACAAACACCAGATTTCAATATTCTCTTGAAGAAACATAAGTTATCATTCCTAACAAAGTATTTTAAAACTGGCTAGGTCGGAATCTGATGGTTCACTTTTTCCTTTTGCTTATTTATAGACATAATTAAGTTCTACCAGGCATGACAACTCCCTGAAACTTTGTGGAATGCATTTCCAAACTTACTAGTAAGCTGACATATGATCATTATTTAGTTGACAATTTTATTAATATTAGTTCAATTTACATACACGTTTCTCCACAATGACTGTAAGTGCGTATATTTAAGGAGGGAATAAAGGAACCGTCTAATGCTTCATGGCTTCTATCGTTTTGCAAACTTAAGTCAGTCTGTGATACAAGTTGTCCGTACATTCGTTATTTGGTATGTTTGCTAAGATATACTTATTTCATTTAGTAATAAATCAGATTAATTTTAATACTGTCCTAATTTCTGATGGATAATAGAACAAACGATAATTATATTTCAATAATAATTACATCCGGTTATTGAAAAAACTTATTAACGACAATTTAGATAATTCTTTTCCATGAATTTATACTGTTTTCCTGAAAAGTAAAACATATTGAAACTATGTAACTACTAATTGACGCCTGTTACCCCTCGTAAACAATCACAAACCGCCCTCCAACACTCTCTATCCAACCCTATCAAGAACGATACTTTCTAGTTCTTTCCAGTTAACATTCATCCTTCTCATATTTGCTTCAATCTCCCGACGTAATGTGTTCTTCGGTCTTCCTCTTTTCTGCTTCCCTTCATCATTCCAAGTTAGGGATTGCCTCGTGATGCCGTTTGGTGATTTCCTCAATGTATGTGCTATCCACCTCCAACGTCGTTTCCTAATTTCCTCCTCAGCTGGAATCTGGTTTGTCCTCTCTCACAATAGACTGTTGCTTATAGTATCTGGCCAGTGAATGTTGAGTATTTTGCGTAGACAACTGTTTATAAATAATTGTAACTTTTTTATGATGGATTTAGTAGTTCTCCTCGTTACAGCTCAGTTCAGTAGAACTGACTGTTTTGACGTTGGTTTTGAAGATTTTAACTTTGATGTTGGTTGAGAATTGTTTTCAATTCCATACTTTCTTCGATTGTAGGGAAGCTGACCTTGCTTTGCTAATCCTCACCCTTACATCTGCATCAGATCCTCCTTTTTCATCAATGATGCTTCACAGATACGTGAAAGTGTCCACCTTTTCCGGAGCTTGTCCATCAAGTGTGATTGAGTTGGCGATCTCCGTGTTGTATTAGAGGATCTTGCTTTTTTCTTTACTTATGTTGATATATTAGTACAATATATTTCTAAAAGTCCTGATTATACATTGTGTTACAATGTATGAGTGCGAAATCAATATTCAAACCAAATTGATGGTGGAAATACATGTACATATTGTTAGACTATTTAGGATACTGAAGTAAATCATGAGATTACAAATTATAACCGTCAATTTTATCAAAGATTTTTACTTGTTTACATTAAAACTGTGGTTAACTATCTGGTGATAGATTTTTGTTTTTAGAAAATCACGTTTCGTCTAGACAGTTATGCAGCAAAATAAATAAATGATACGAAAACAGAATGCGATCAAGTGAAATTTTATTTCTTATAGCCTGATTTAAAGATAAAATTCATAGACAAATTTAAGTAAAAGGATTTCCGTCACAACTCAATTAATTAATTTGTGTTCAATACTTTGGAAGTTCATAATGTTTAGGAATATCAAAAAACGAAGTTAAAAGCATTACTGACGATAGTCTACACAAATATGGTGATGCAAAGTCTTCTTAGATAAAAGCTGTTAAACTCAATCTACTGCTAAAGTTATGCACAGTGTTGCGTAAGATTATTTGACCATGTTAATCTTTAGATTATCAACTCAGTGGTAATAAATATGTTGACAAGCAAAGTTTTAGTTTAGAGTTAATATATATATATATATATATATATATATATATATATATGAAGGTTTTGAAAAAGCACGGTTTATAAATATTATGTAACTGAGATGTTAAGTGTAACTTAATTCCTGACTAAGTTCATTAGTTTTCATTATCAACAGTTTGACTGTCCAAAGAAATTCGAAAAAATAAGCTGATCTAATTATAAAGAACAAAGTGAGGAAACAGATATTCTAGAAAAATTGCATGTGAAAAATTTATCAGACATTTAATAAAATAATACTCAAAGTAATCTTCTAGTAATAAATATCACAGGAACTATTACTTATGTGCTTCTTCCAGATTCAACATATGGCATCAACACAGAAAAACGAAATTGTCAGGATGAAAATAGGAATATTAGGAGTTGTAGTAGAATCACTGGTAGTAAAAAGCATAGGTTATAAGGAATATGATTTGAAAAAGTATGAGTTCACAGACTAAAAGGCATAAAACTATGTTTAACCTCAATATCTAAGACAAAGCAAATAATGTGTGCAACTGTACTACCATGATAGATTATGAGCCATAATAACCGACGTTCCTGACTAATGATCACGATGATTTTGCATACATCAACCAGATAGCCTATACTTATTAACAGGCTTCAGTTCAAAAGGTATTGACATCATAGACAGATGTCATGTAATCATTTGACCAACCTTAGTTTTCTTGTAACTTATTCCTACATCAGTTATGGTCTGTAGGAATACATAGAAAGAAGTAAAAGGAAATAAATAATAGATAGTTTCTCCTTTAATTCAACAAAAATTTGCATAATTTAAATTTTATCTGAAATACCTTTAACAATATTTATCGAAGAAGATTAAGATCATACTGACATATTTCGTATAAAAGTTTAATATTATCAAAAAGTAGGAAGTGGTCTGATGAACTACCCATATGATATTTGTAAAGTCTAAAAAACCAATGATGCTAATTTTTGTAAAATAATATCTGATAAACAGTATGATCTATTAGAAAAATGCTTTACAGTGAGATATACGTTTATAGGTAATGAAACTGAAGGAAATTATGGAACAAATCAGTACAGTAACAGCGGTATGGAACTGTCATGAAAAGAAATATGATGTTTATCAGAAATGATTGAAATTAAATTAATTGTATGGTATTATTAAAACTGTTTACCAATAATACAAATTTATTTGAACATCCCTATTAGCTTAAAAACAATAAGAATAAAGAAACAAAAAACAGTCTTACCATCTTCAGGTGTACTGATATTTAATTGAGCCGGTAGACCAAGATCAACTCCATTGTAGGCAGCCACTTCAAACTGATATATACGTCCAAATTCTGAATATTTGTAGAATAGACAAAGTGAATTGAATGATATTGAAAGTAAAAGAAATGAAGTTGGATTTGAAAAAAAAGTTAAAAGATATTTATTGTTTTTAAATTTAATATAATCAAAATTACATTATAAGCTATTCATGAATTCAGAGCATTCCTACTTTATATATCATGCCAGAAATATACTGACATATTAGAGATTCATCTTGTTACCAAAAAACTTATACTTTTATTTTAAATGAGATATAAGTATCGACAATTAACTAGCAATTATGTTCACACACATAGAGTTATATTGGAGTGTTTTGTTTTATTTGTCGTGACTATAAAAGAAACCCAACGCATTGTGTGAATTATTACATATGCCTCCTTATCAAAAAGAGAACTTACATTTGTACCAAGTTGAAACTGGTACGGAAATCTTCTACATTCGTTGTAGCGAAGGAAAATAACGTATTTAGTTTCATACTCAAAATATAAACTAATTTTATAAATTTGGGTTAAAATGTCAACCATAAGTTGCTTTTATTAGTTTAAACTGCTAAGGAAAGGAAAGTTACAAACATTGTCTTGTGAAGTTGTCATACTTATTGCCAAAAATACATAATATAAATATAGTGTTTGTAAACAATATCGAAGTACTATAAAAACTCAGAAATATTCAGTAGCGAATGCCATGTAGAAATACATTAACAGAGGAAAGCCCATAGAGATTTCAGAAGATTAATTATTTAAAGAAAAAAGAAAGATACATAATATGATTACTGAGTATTTGTGCATCTTCGATGACCTTAAGACATAGTTTTTAAAAAAATGTATGATACCAATATTTTCCAAGTCTCAACTCATCTCTTGCTAACCTATATTATATGGTTAATGTGTTATTAGATAATAACCGCATCAATTTACTTTAATATTTAAATATATCGGGAATGTAACAGTTATATCAGTTATACGTTATATATCTTACTACAAATAATTTAAATACAGTAACCTTTATAAAGAAACATCTAAATTATTTACAGTAGTAATATGGCTCAGTTTCTTTATTGTACCATCGAATAATAACTTTTGGCGATAAATTTTAACGCTATTTTCATCTGTAGGTGACGTCAGGATAAAATTAAACAACATGGATCACTGAATAGCGAAATTGCAATTGTTTAGAACTTTCCAGTAGTTTATATTTCAATCCTTGAATACAGAAGATGAAAATCAGCAGCTCAATTTTCATAAAGACTACGATACCACTGAGTTGGGATGCAGTTATTCACACACTGATAAGTGGTATTATTGTGTGATACACATTCACAGTTAAATGTGTTAGACTGAAATTTAACTACTGCATTACATATATGCAGTTTAAATCCATGAGAAAAGGAAAAATATAGTAGTTTAATGGTACATGAATTAATGGTCGTCTTTTTAAATTTTCTCTTAAAACGAGGATCAGTGCAAACCTAACTTTGGGTGATGGGACAAACAGCAAACTGTATTTTTTAATTCAGTATATTTCCAAAAAGTTAGTCTAGTTACATAGTAGGGTAACTTATTTCAATTACTCACGATTGAAGTTTAGGAACATAGATCTTTCTAATAAGTTATATTTTATGAAAGGAAACGGAGTATTTTATTTTATTGATGTGATCATACATCACTGTTTGCTTGGGTTATGGGATAAGATTACTTTAGTCAACCGGACTTGTATTAATTATTAACCAGTCTGCTTTTACTAAATTAACATGTCCTTCAATTCAACTAAATTATTAGATTATTTCAGTTATTGAAAATTACTATGGTATAAATCGATGAAGGAATTTAATAGACGTAGTTAAAAATATCAATCCCTTTAATTAATTTGGATAATGCAAGACGAAGTTTATGAGAAGTACGTGATCTTTGTTTAATACATTTTGAACAATCCGATCATAAAAATGCTTCTTAAGGACATAAATGAATTATAAAAGGTCAACTAGACAAATTGGAAGTTAAGAAGAAATAAAGATAATAATGAAAGCAATGTGAAGCATCACTCTGAATGATAAATCAATACTACTAGGGTAGGTTTAAGGTGAGAACAAAATATTTCCGAATACAAAGAGAGGCTTTGAATTTCCATATGATCAAGGATTGAATTAATCTCAGTATATGCTTTAGATACTTTTGTCCAAAATTAGAAATCCTAAGTTAAGATCAATGCTATAACCTGCTTCGGCTGATGAAAGAGAATGGAAAATTTTTAAGATGGAGTGGATGAGTATTTTTTTTTTAAAGTACAAAAATCACTTTGGTGTAAATGCTGTTCACATGTTTTAACTGTATGTTTAACAATGGAAGAAAGTAGATGTTTGTCATATGCCCATATTGGGACACTGGATTTTATTTATTTCTACAGCCACTTTAATATGTCCTGAGACCTCAACTTGTTATTCACTATATCTATTTGGCCACACATATGTAAATTGATAAGCATAGTAGGATATGATGCATTTGTTTGCATATATTTTAGGATTTCGAGGCAAAGACTTTGCTTATTCAGTGATAATGACCTTTACTGCGTAGTACGGTTTTAATAATAACTAATTTGGTTTCAATAGAAAACTTTTTGACTCAAGACTGAGTGATAGGGTAGTGTAGACAGGGTTTTTTTTGGTGCAAGAAGTTTAGTAGATCTCATCGGATTATAACTTTTCCAACGATTTATGAGTTTTAGAAGATAATCATTCTTCATTAGTATTTTGTTCACCAGCTTCACCTCATCTTCTGTAGCATCATTTGTTAGGTTTCTAAAAACACGTTATCGTTCATTTCACATGCAACTACAGTTGGCTGAGTATCACATAGTTTTTTCTTCATAGTAATTTATAAAATCATATTTACTGTTTGATTTATGAATTCATGTATCATTATCAGAAGGGTGTTTTTGGGATGAATACAAGCTTCACTGATATAGTGTGTCTAAATTATAAGTTAAAATGTTGTTAAGCGTATTAGTTTCATAGTATATATATTTACCATCATATAAAATTAAACGTCAAAATAATCTGGATAGTACATTGTACACCTTCAATACCACACTGACAGGATTACTTAATACAAACTAAGAAACAATACGAAAACTGAATATCATGAAGATTTTCTTTACAATGTCAAACTGAGATCAAATAGTACTCTTGAATTATGTAATAGGTCACTAACCATTATCACTTCGTGATGTTATCTACATGTAAAAGTTTTCACCAATTATTATTCTTCTCTTACTGAATGAAATTTTTCTTACATAATGATTAGGCGAGACTATAATTTATAGATGACCTGAAGTGACCCTGGGAAATTCCAACTCCTTATTAAGTTCAAAATAAGGTTACTAATCAATATGAAGAATTAAGACTATGAGTCTAGATTTAAACTTTCAATCACTAACCGGCATCAATTAAAATAAAAGAATGTTATTTAGTCACTTAGACAAATTAATTTCGTATAAAAATCCTAGAGGCTTCATTTTAAATCTTATTAGATTATCCGTACACCATTAACTATTTGGCTGCCCAGTCCTTCCAGGTTTTCCATGATGGTCTAGCTTCAATTGACTCATGATTTCAACTATGATAATAATTATTTCTTATTTAACTTATCAACAGGTGAATTTTCTACTTCATCTATTCAAGAATAAGTTATTCAAGCAATAAATAAAAACTAATCGGATGTTATAATTCACCATTTTATAAGTTCGTAACATTCAATACTGTAATCTTGTCAATGTTATTGTTATTCTCTCATTTTCAATAAAATTTATATCTAATCAATGAGAAAGGAAATCACATTTGTATTTGTGATACATACAATGCACTGTATGCCTAGCTAGTTTACGACAAATTATTATTACTACTTCTATATTTGTAATACTTTATACACTGGTTTAATAATAATAGTCATCATTCCATTTTCAATCCATTTATCTCCATAAAGAAGATATACTTGTTTTTTGTATCTTATTTAGAACATCGTAAGATTTGAGCTTGATAACCGACATAGTGTGGTGTGGGCTACTTATATCCACATAAGTAGTATATAGTGATGGTCAGACATAGAATGTATTTTGGCAGAAAACCGATAAGGAAAGAACTGAAATGGTGCGCAATTGGTAGGAAAATGCATAAACAATGAAATGAGAGAAGATGGATCGATATTTACAGAAGGAACAATGAAGATTGAGACAATCGATTATTATTTTGTTAATTAACTGTTTACTGTGTGGTTATCAGATCTTAGTAAGACAGTTTGTAAGTTGTGCCTAAATACATTCGATTGTCCCCAGTCGTGCTCTTGTTCACTACAATAGTACTTGTTTTGTAAATCAATCGATTACCCATCTTAGTTACCAAATCTTAGTACCATTTTTGTAAGGCAAAAAAACAAGAAACACTGTATAATGAAATGACTTCAATACATTTCGTATGTTCTAAATTATCCACAGACATAGTTATTTCTATTTATGAAATGTTTTTTTGCAAATATGATTTTATTTTCAGTATAAATAAAAATTTGAATAATGATAACACAGAGGATAACAGTAGATCAATCACTACTTCATTACCAGATCACATAAAATCTGTTCTGTATACATAAGTTAATTTGAACAAATAAATAGTTAGTTCTTCTGCTTAAAAATCTTCCTTTAGATTGTCAAAATGTCATTGAAAAAGTTCAATTATGAATCACTATGAGACAATTGTTTATGATATGCCTGCCAGAGATATCAATATGAAAATCAAGTCCAATCACTATTTGTTTCCTTGGTTTATGTTGTAACATTCTTCTATACATGACTCTCATTGTTTTTTTTTTGAATACATGAACACTGAAAGTATAGATAAACTCCTAAATGTGACTAAAGCTAGTGGACAAGGTTTGTATAATACTAATTCTAGTTCGATAAATATCTACCAGATTTAGGTCTACTTTGAAAAGATGTTTTATAATTTATTTCTTTTTATTCATTA